CGAGGTTTTTTTCGCAAGCTCTCGGACAAGCACTGAGCATACAGTGCTTATTAATATACGTTGGGCACGGGCAAACCATTATATATAATTACTTACATGTAGTTCAGTTATGCAGCATACCTACATGTATAATGGCAGAGTCAGACATTGTTTTGGACAAGATTAACTAGCAGAGTAGGTTTACATGTTTCCTGTTTCATTGCACTGCTATTTAAGGATAATTTATCCCAGCGCAGCCATAAACCACTGGAAAATTTGAAACAGCAGGTGCCTTGTCAGTGATTGTTTAGTAATAGGTTGTCTCCAACACTCTTGAAGTGGTTTTGTTACGCCCCAACTACATGTATAGCATAAGTCCCAACTGTAGTGCTGCCGTTGGGCTGGCCCAACAATTGTTGACCAATGTCTGTGGGAAATGTCTCAACATTATCCAAGTCAATGTGTCTCACACTTGACGCAATTCATCTAAAATGTGGCACTTCATCTGTTCATCTAGCTCTATGACCAATGACATGACATTTGTAAACAATATGACTTTGGCACATGCTGGGCACATCATGCACACAGGACCTCTCTGCTGTAGTTGGGCCTGCCCAACTGTAGCACTCTAGTTGGGACGGGCCCAACTATAATTGGGACTGATGCTATAGCTTGGGCATAACAGTTTCACTTCCTCCTTGCTTACTGCTATTTTCCTGCACTGTGCTCTTCTCAAGAGTTGCTCTGATTCGACAAGCTGACTAACGAGATTATTTTGTCATCAAGTTTGAGCGAAACTGAAGAGGCACAACATGAGAGATTTAGCCCAGGGGGTGCACTCCTCCTCGATGAGACACCCCATTGCCTCTTTTGTCAAAGCCAGCACGTACATGTACATGCATGTACCTGACATGACATATAGCTGGCATGCATTTTAATCAGGTCACACTTTTTTGTTCTCGGCCACCTGGAGACCAACATCAGCCACATCTGAACTGGCCTTGGTACATGTACATGTACTTGTCTGTTACATCAGAAGAGGTGTAACTCTTTCCCACCTGAATTTATCTGCTCTGTGGGCACTAGTTTCTCCTTCATACCTCCATTTTCGGGAGGGGGCACTCATTTCACTCAATAGCTTCCGTCACAATTACAACTCTTTGAGTCTGACCATAGCCACGCGGATGACATGTATCGGTATGATGTAGCGTATAACTATAGTATAAGCATGGTATAACTATAAGTTACCAGATTTTTCTTTCTCAAAATTTTGAGCGCGGGGTGCTTGGGGATATCCTCCATGGGCCTCCATGCACGGGCCTACATCACTTATTTCATTCTTTTCCAACCTCCATGGCTTTACGGCTGAAATACCTTTCTGTCAACTAGTTTAGTAAATTCAGCAGTCCTCCACGAGAGGCCATTCCCTCTTTCACAAAATTTTCAGATGTCTTTATAAATGGCGCCCGCACACAATTGAGGCGCATGCGAACTCAGCAATAGCGCCCTCTCTTAATCCTGACCAAAAAAATCAGTAAGAAAAAATTACGTTTCGATTCAGTACTAGACTAGATACAGTTCTGATGTAATGGCCATTTGAAGTTAATGGCCACACTGGACTCGACACGCGCGCTTCGGGAAAAAGTATATTTTGTCAGACTTGTCGGAATAAATCTGTGTCCTACGGCTATATCAAGGTTAATGACCTTCCAGCAACCGAAATCCAGAGAAGGAGTAAATAAAGCAAAAAAAGAAAAATTAAAAGAAATAAATTAAATTGATTCCAATCACACTAGTATGAGTCAGTTACATCAATAAAAGTTACATTACTTTGAATGTTTTAATTTAAAACAGGTGGCTCATAAAAGCCAAATGAGAACCCTGACAGGGTCGATGTGAGAAAAAAAATACAGGAATGGCAATTGTACTCGTGTATACCCTGCCCATATCAGCTCTCGGAAAATAAATGTGTTTTCATTGTACATTGCCCAAAATTATACATCACACCATTGGGCCTTATACAGCAAAACAACGACCAAGTGACACAGTTATTGATAAGTGAAAAAACATCTCCGATATTAATATTCTACGTATTATGGGTCTGCATTGGTTCAGAAATGAAAAAAAAAAACTAATATACTACCAAGGCCTGTCAGGGACGTGAGTTAGCGTATGATGGCTGTGCTGAAAGCTAGACCACAAAATATATATATCGGAAGAATTCTTCTGACATCTATGGATAGGACAGACAATCGCGCGTGCACATGCCGCACGTAGCTGTTCCCGAAGCCTCGTACTGGGCATGCGCTGTTGGAATATTAACTCTCTGAACCATGAAATTGCAGCGTATAATCTCTGCAGAATTATCTGAAAGTAAGGCAGTCACTGAGCCGTGAATATGCAGTATGTAATGTTCAGGCACATTACAGTGTGGCGTCACCTAAACTTTGGTGTGCCAGAAAATTGAAATTGGTTAATGGGCAGAATTAAATTTAACGGTTCGCATTTTGAACTCAGCTGGTAATATCATCGGGACATCAGTGAACAACAACACATTTTGCCTGGATTGGATTTATCCATAAAGCTGATGACACTGATGCATGTATATATATTTTATTTTTTTTCAAAGTGACTGCAATTTTGGTCATTCAACGATCTGAAAATCGATCTGAGCAGTTTACCATTGCCAACTAAACTCTGATGCTGATTCACTTTCCAATTAAATAACTTCATTTAACAGTACGTTTGGAAAGATGTAGTTGAAAAGTTTGCCTTAAAGTCGAATAAATCGGAAGTCGGAGGACGTGTAGACCCCCAAGGAATGGTACTATATGGGCAACATGACTTTCTGATCAGAGGATAGACCGTCAGATCGCACGTGCACATACAGCTTACACTTCTTACAGTACCGCACCCAAGAATATCGTAGGGGAAGCTCCAACAGGAAATCCCCCCCCCCATATAGCTTGTGATGCTCACCCCCGCCCCTGTTGTGGAATGGGGGGGGGCCTGAATTTACGATCATATCAAAGCTCGTGATTTAATAATGTACGTGTATAATGTGTCTTCATTTTTAGGGGGAAACCCTGCCGGGCTCCTCGGCCCCTAGACCCCCACCCCCCGGTTACAGTTGAAGGAATAATGCTTTTGCTAGTCTATGCTCAAATACATATTTTGTGAATATTTTGGACATCAAGTAAACATGACGCCGTCAAGCAAACAAAGCGATGAAGCATAACCTCATCTTTTTTTTCAAAATATACGGGCATGAACTCATGATACCTTGAAAGCCAAAAAGCAAAAACGCCGGGCTGTAATTATGGCACAGTGTACACGTACCATGGACTCCAAACATCTCATTTTTTGGTAAAGATAATTCTATAGACGTGAATGAAATAGTCAGTAAGCTAAACCAAGGGCATGTGGATGGATGAAACAGTGCAGTGCTTGTATTGTGGATGAATTTTTGTGTACATGCTATAAGTAAAACACATAAACGCTGGCAAGTAAAACTAAAACTTTACTGATGGAACAATGCATGTGTAGGCCCACCAGCTAGTTATGCCATCATTTTTTAAAAATAGGTAGGCCTATCCTGGAGATTTGGGATTTTGGAACTTGTCGCTTCCAACTCGGGGTATTTTGTCGTGGCTAAAACTGGTAAATTTGAAACGAAAATTATATTAGAGGTCGTACTCTTACGGAAGCGTATAAGGGCCACTTGCCAAAAACAAATTCGAGATACTATCTCGCCGTGGCGAGTTATTTATCTCGAAGCGGCGAGTTTGCTTAAACTAGCTCAACGCGCTGAATATTAAGACTCATTCCGACTACTCTTCTAATCAAGGCTCCTGTATCCCCCAATGTCCACGTGACCAACACTCCCTCCAGATTTCCGGGAATAGTCGAACTATTCCGAACTTATCCTGTCTATATTAAGTTCAGTTTAACGTCAACACGTTTTCTTTAATGCCCCTCAAAATTTTAAAATTGTTACAAAGATTAAAATGAATAAAATTGGTAGCCAAATGAGTAAAGGGAGACGATGAAGACCATTTGGATCGTATCGGTAATATTCGGGGATTTCCGGCCTTGTCTGTTCCAAGAATTTTGTGAACTGTCCGTGGTATACTGGTCGCAGTACGCCATCCACTACAAAGTAGAATTTGGGTTAAAAAATATTTTAACATGTTTTGTTAACATGAATGCATTTTACTTTTCAAGCAAATATGTTTTAAGCGAATGTCATTTTTAAAAACTCGTATTTTAGTTTCGTATATATTTTTCAAAAACCGAACAAAATCTGAAATCTCATTTCTTTTTTAGATTCCAAATCGAGTGAATTTTAACGTAATCTCTAGGATTGAATGAATTTTTAAAGTTCAAAATTCTTCAAAAATAAAACAAAAACTTTACAATGTGAACATTTTTGTCGAAATTTAGACATTTGTTTACAACGTAACGGCTTGTGTAATTTACGGAAATTTCATTTTATCCGAAATAAGAAATCATCTGAATTGAGAAATCATCTGATCTGAGAAAGCTTCCGACTTGAGACCGCATCCAAAGCCGCGTAAGCAAAGTATTTAGACGATATTCGGCGAAAGCCTCATAGCGTTTCAAGCATATTTTTTGAAAAAGTGAAGCATAAACGAAGTTTTTGCAAGTTGCTTTTATTCGTGGTTGCTTATTAATTTGGATACATGTTATTTTGGATGCTTTCTCATTTAGGGTCGCATGAGATTTTGTGTAAAATAAGTGCACCGAATAGCTGCTTTACGCTGAAAAAGTGTCCCCATTTCCAATATACGTTCAGTCTATTCTGTACAAAATATTTTACATCGATCTGAAAAAAGTTTGGGCGTTAAAAATTTGTTCCAATCTTGAAAAATTTTGGCTTTGTAAAAATTTACTTTCCTTTAAAATTCCTTGGAATCTAGGAAATACGCTTAGTCGATGAAAATTCGTTCACTCTTTAAAACTTCATTCAAATCTAGAAAAAATGTAGTAGATCCTTAAAACTTCGTTCTGCTCTTGAAAATTCTACTCCAAATTTCTAAAATACGAATTCTGTTGAAAATGACATTCGCTTTAAAACACGTTCAATTTAAAAAAATGCTTTCCATGTATCAAAACAGGTTCCAATCTTTTCGACCCTAGTTCTGCCTCGTAATTGGGGAGTACTCTAACCGATATAACCCAGACAGTAAAAAAATTCTTGGTACAGACGCGGCCGGGAAATCCTGAACATTACCGCTACCATCCGAATGGTCTTTATCTTCTCCCTTTACTTATTTGGCTACCAATTTTATTCATTCTAATCTTTGCAACAATATTTACAATTTCGTGGAACATTAAATAAAAAGTGTTGACGTTAAACTGAATGTAATATGGACAGGATAAGTTCGGAATAGTTCGACTATTCCCAGAAATCTGGAGGAGTGTTGGTGACTCGGACATTGGGTGATACAGGACCCTTGATTAGAAGAGCAGTCGGAATCGTTGGATCTGGTATCCAGACTGAGTCTTAATGTGAAGTGACTTGAGCTAGTTTCAGCTAACTCGCCGCGGCGAAATATTATCTCGAAAATGTTTTTTCTGCAAGTGGCCCTTATACGCTACTGTATACTTTTTCATTTCCAGTTACATGTAATTATAAAAAAAAGGAAAAAAAGAGAAGAAAATAAATGCGGTCCTACTTCCGAGCGTTACTGGGCGGCGCCCTTAGTCCATGGATTCTGTGTTGTTTACTATGGGCACCTTATTAGTGGAGTGCAACTCAAAGCTGCCTGTGGACTGTGTAGCTCTACAGGTCCAATTAGCCATAAATCTCGGGAGTAGTTTATTGGAGGCGACTCCACTTTTTACCACTAAGTTAGATGGCGTTTTCTAGGCTCCGTATTAAGGCCACCAGTATCGATCCCATCATTCGACGACATCGTAGTATCGAGACCGTTTGTAATGATGTCGTCATCCATGTCATCAAAATAAATCAACGGTGTGGATATGTGATCATGAGGCATGCGTTGTGATGGCTGTGCTTCTAAGTTCCATTTCCACCTTTTTTTCCTGAGTCCAAGTGATTAAACTCTGTGGCTACAAGAATGTGGCTGATGTTTTGGAAAACTATAAGGAGGCTTTGGATTTGGCTGCTGATGGCTGTGCCGTTCGTGCATGTGACAAACTGGGTCGAACATGTTGGAGGTGCATCACAGAAGGTAGGCCTAGGCACAATCATTCAGCATATTCAGGACAATGGTAGGCCTACATGTACACGTACATGTACGTGGTAATGGTACACATGTAGCCATGGAGAAAAGATGTCACTATTGTAACTGGCGAACGTTCCGTCTGAAGGTAGCTTGCAGTTCAGCCCACGATTCAATGTAGTAAACTAGAATGAGTGGTTGAGCCTACCGGCACATAGCTTATATGTACAGTATGTCATAGGCCTACATTTACATATACATGTAGCCCTACCCAGAAGTACACAACAATTGGATACGGTCGCAGGGACCATTTTTAAGGGGTCCGAACAACTCGACTGTTCGCCAACTCGACTTCGGACAACTGGACCGTTGAGACAACTCCACTGTCCCTGTGTAAAAGGGAGAGATACGTCATCCGTTGAGACAAGTCGTCTGTTGGGACACTGTCCGCTTAGCCCAGTCGTCTGCTGAGGTCACAGTGTGAAATACTATACCTTAATTACGAGATTGAACTTCATGTAGTAGATAGACGAGCCTAATTTCTGAGAACTTTATCATAAATATAGTTGCCGTAGAAAGTCAACCTTTGCACAATCATGACAATCAATCAATCTTAGCCCAGCGCTGACCTAGCCACGTAAAGGCCTATACCAACATGTACATGTAGTACTGGATTGCTTGAAATAAAAACCTACATCATGTATCACCCTGTAACTATTCGACTACTTTGATTTTTGACAAACCGTTCACAAATGTCAAAGTGCGAATCAGAAATCTGGCCAAAATTTCTTTTCTAGAAATTTTCCAAGAACACATTTTGTTCAACAAAAGGCTTACATTTCACCTTTTAACTAGAACCTATCTGAGATTGTAGAACTGAACTTGACAACACAAAGGAGGTACATGTACATTTCTACAACGTCCATACATTAAGAGGAGTTCACAATGTATATGCGTGCACACACCTAATGCGTGATCCAAAACTAGGAAACAATACGGTTTTCGGCCAGTTTTAGTAAAACCCAACTTTGAAAGTCATTTTGATTGAACAGACATTAGATGCAAAGGTTTATTGACTGTTGAGTATGAAAACAGTATTTGGGATCACTCGTGAGTCGTAGTGAGTGACATGTACATATATGTTCGTCAACTGTGCGGCACTGTTACATGTACACGTAGGCAGTATCATGGAGCTATAAAAAGGTAGTATCATTGATGGCTCGCGCTGTGCAGCAGAAAAAGTTGAGTCAAAATTTCTGCAAGATTCACTTTTTTAAATTCATTGGAATTCTTATTTTTGACCCAATTTTCACTAAATTAAGAAGTTTGTCATTGAAAAATAAGCTTTTTACAATGGTTCTGGCTGAAAATGGATTTGCCGCTCGCGTGGTTACTCTCCGGAAACTGATCCAGAACGAGGAAAAGTGTCGCCACTTTCATCGATCCTGTACAGTACAATGTATGTCCGAATTAAAAGTTTAAAATTTGAAATCAACTATGTCTAGCACACAAGGTGGATGGTGACCATATTTCACCGGAATTTGAGAATTTTTTGTAGCTGCAATCTGACTGAATAATTTTTCCGATCTGGAACTGGGAAAACGACTGTATTATGTGTAGATCTCACTGGTCAAGTTGTCGCTCTTTCATAGTCGAGTTGTCCCAACGGAGGATTTGACAAAAGGTGGAGTTGTCTCAACAGTCGAGTTGTCCAAAGTTGAGTTGGCAAATTGGTCGAGTTGTCCGACATCTATTTTTAATTTTCTTATGACGTTAGGCGCTTGGGGAGAAATCACAGACTTTTTTTACATGTATTTAGCGCACTGTAAAACCATTTTGGACCAGAAAGTAACAGTTATTATAATTTTAGAGGGTTTGCAACTGTCAATAAAGTTACTGACACAATTACTGCTGAAAAGCATACATGTACAGTACATTACACCGTACATTTTGTTGGGTCGAAGATAATTACCGGTACATGTACGACATGAATAGGACTAAGCTCTTTGTGGAATACATGTACGTACATGTACAGTAATGTTCACCCCCTCCACTTACATGTAGTTTTGCTTTATTCAGAGCCAAATGCACAGCTTTTGTGATGGAAATGAGATGTCTGATGTAATTCTTTTGTTATTCAGTCATCTAATGCAACAGTGGCCTTATTCGAGTGAAATTCGTTGATTTCCTCTGTTTCTGTAAAACAAATCCTGATATTTTTGCCTGCGGAGTTTCCCCAAGAATTTAAAACGCACAAAGGTGAAGCCAGCGCTGAACTAAAGGCCATCCTGATGCTCATTAGCTGGCTACCTTCCATTAAAGTTGGAATCATGAAATTAAATTGGTTTATGCTGTGATTTTATTCCGTCACAGCAAGTCATTACATATTAAACCGAAAGTCAAGTTGAAATTAGAATAGTACAGAATTCAGTAAGTTTAAATGGTATTCAGTAAAAATTGCTTTATGATTTACCAAGGATCGATACTGTTAAATTGGGTGTAAAAAAATCCTGTAAGAAATATTTTCAACGATTTATGTTGCGCACAATGCGTGCTACATGTACATGTATGTTGGCAACACACCGTGCGACATCTCCATGTGAGATTACAAACATCCACTGGTATCGAACACTGGCTATGGCTCTTCACAGTTTGATCAAAATGCAAAGCTGTAGTAATGCCTGTCGACCCCATGTACAAACCCATCGACCCCATGTACAAACCCATCGACCCCATGTACAAACCCATCGACCCCATGTACAAACCCCATGTACATGTAATAATTCAGTGGTGCACCGGCAGCGGTGGGTGAACATACATGTACGCAGGAATATTGGGTTCCATATCTGGATATCAATTGACACCCGCAGCACAAACCCTGTGCGATTGATCTGAAGATTCTGATTTGTACAATATACATATTCTAAGTGATTACTTCAATATTTTCACCGAGTTTGACTTTTTAACTCATCTTATCATTTTCTGATGTCCTATAAACCACTGCAAGAGGAAGATAGTGATGTCCATACACAAAATTATTGTCATTATCATTTTAAAGGAAGCAATGAAAGGCCATTTTTCCAACGTGTCTGACGATACATTTTTGGACATTGCTGTTATTGGATGGGTTTTAACTTGGCGAAGTACATGTATGCGCGCAATGAAGCTGTGAAATAAGGAGCATGATTGCTACAATTTGTTGGTTCAGTGTGGAACGATGCGTAGATGTCACTGCAGTCGGCTGAACGAGAGCATGTCAGGGATGATGAGTTGGGGCAAAATTCTGAACATGATTTTGCAAATGTTGATGTGAAATCGAGATCCCGATGTTGCTTTTCTCAGAATATAAAGCATTCACTGAGGTTAGTTGTAAAGCACGCTTCTGTAGATTTTGAGCACTTTTTTGCCTCAAATGAACATAATGCACAAATGACAAACAGTGGACTGTGCCTTCAAAACAACAAGCATTTCTTTTTGTCTCAGCCCAGCAATCCAGGACGACTGTCCATTCCCTACGAGAGCATAGAGAGGCTTCTCCTGGTTTCAACATTGGATGGAAGCATACATGCCGTGGGTCAGCAATCCGGGGATAGCAAGTGGACCTTCAAAGAAGGTACTCACCAGTGGTGTACATGTAACTTATGAGGGCGGGCCCGGGGGAAACATCGCCCTTCCCCCAACCAGTGAAGTCGGTACCGTCCCAATTGTCCCATCTCACCCCTCATTTGAAATTCTGAATGTACACAACGTATGCAAGGTTTCAGTGCCCCCTCAGAAAAATGTGTGCATCTCCTGACGTTCATGTACTCCCTCACAAAATTTCATCCTTCAGTGTAGTTACACATACGTACCCATACAAGTAGAGGCTAATGCCACATGCGTTTCTACTTGCCGACTCAAATGTTTTCCAGAAAACACTGAAAATTGGCTGAAAACTTTTTAAAAAGAATAAACACTTCAACGAGTTCCAAACACCTGTAAGCCTGTGGTTTTTTTTGTGAAATCAAAAATGTTAGGGCCTGAGATGTTTCATCCTGAGACCAGAATCTTCCTCAAACACTAAGGCAACTTTTGGAATCTGTTTTAGGATCAAATTTCTGACTCTTGCAGGTCACCGTCAGAATGCCAGTTTGCATTGATTCATGTCAATCAAATTATAATAAAAAACACTTAAATTTCACCAAAATGAAATGAAGAACTTGCATATAAAACCATACAATATTTTTCTCTAACTTTAAAATACCCTGGTGTTGTATTTCCCCTTTTGAGATAACAGTTTTGGCAATTTTCAGATTACTGTAATGACAGTGTACAGACACATCTCTTTAATACAAGGAAACGGACTTTGGAATCCAAAGAGGTTGCATTTGTAATTAGTTTTGGCCGTTTGGATTACACTGACTGACGGTTGTTGCGTGGTATATTGCACAAATAAAATTACCAGCCAATCTAATTTGGTTCATCACGGGGTACAGTTTCATGACGCAATTGTGGCTTGTGATCCTTGTCAAGACATGTGCAAAACAAGCTCCAAATGTTCACAAATAAACTAACCCATCTTTAGACTTGTTCTTGGCTTGCTGCAACCTTTTAGAAGCGCATATACATACATGTACCTGTATCACACTTGGTTTGCCATCGAGACCATGAATACAAACATACTGTACATCCAAACATATGGTTGCCCTGCTTTGTGATGCGGTACATGCCCTACTGTACAAATACACTGTAGTCTGTGGCATTATATAGATTGTACACATTGGCAGCTGGGTTTCAATCAGTTTGACCGTATACCAGTAAGTCTATCAGATGCAAGAGCTCTATGTTACATGTACCGGTAAACATGTACATGTACATCCACATGGAAGCGTTAAAGCAAAATTTAAAAATAATACTGCCCCAAAGGCTCATTTTTACTATTCTTTTGTTCATTCTTGCACCAACAGAAAAACTCATTTGTTATTCTACTATACAATACAACCATGAGAAATAATAATTTTGAGGGGAAAAAACCTCCCATTACAAAGGCTGACTGACAATTACACGGTATACGTGTAGGCCAACCGATTGACATTTGATAGTTGCTTCAGGAAAAATGTGCATCGGAATACATGCACAGGTACATGTACATACACATCAACCCATAAAGAAAGGATTTGACTGTTCATGAATAAGACATCAGGACAAGGCTTGCTTGCCAATGTACATGTACATTGTACTGTGTTACCTTCATTGTGTCATTTTGCCACAAAATGAGAGGAAGTGACTGTAAAAACATGAAACACATGCAGGGTCAATAGGTTTTCCCTTTTCCGTGGAAGCAAGATAATCTTTACATATGGAATTTGTTAACATTTGCCAAATTAAGATATTGTCTTCAAAGTGAAAACTGTTTCCAAGGTACACGTAAAAGAGAACCACCATTACTGAAAGACTGAATTACATATATAACATTTTTATTGGAGTTTTATTTTGCAGCCATCATAATTAATGTGCACAGAGGCTGTTTTCGGTCATTCAATTCTGCAGTTAAGTTTTTTGAAAAAAGGAATTTTTTCTTTGATTTTGTATTCAGGAAGACAAAATTTGAAATCAAATTACATTGTAGGCCTACACTGTAGTGGCACATCCCACCGTATATTTACATGTCTTCTGTATACTGATAGAAAAGCATTGATGAAATATTGATACATGTTTGCTGAGCCACTCTGTTTTTTACTAAATATGATTTGGAATTTCTTTTCTCTTTAGAACCAATCATCAAGGTTCCAGCAGAAATAGCCGACAAGGGGCTAATGTTCCTTCCAGACCCCAAGGATGGTTCTCTCTATGCCGTCAGTAGCAACAGTGATGGCCTCAAGGTACGACGTTACCAAGATCCATTTTTCTAAACGTGGTTCCTGGAAAAAGGCTTGATCTGATGCCAAGATTTTCTGTTTACTTTTGGAGTTCTGCAAAAAAAAAAAAAAATCCTTGAAATCAAATTGTCAGGTACATGTAGTACCAGTTGAGATCCTTTCAGGCACAACATACCATTGATTTAATTGTGGGAGTCCAATTCTTTTGAGAAACACAATGTCTAATGGATCTGACGTTTTGAAAAGCCGAGGGATGCCCGGAACCAAAGTTGAAGCCGAGGGCACTGCATACATGCATCTCAAGGATGTTCAAAACATATCCTCAGTGCACATCACAGCAGTTAGCAATTCTGTCATCATATCTCTGTTTTGTTTTTGGCTATTTTGTTCCAAGGAAAATTAAGGGCAACATAGGAATGTTTATACATTAGTGGTTAGCAGTCCCTGCATTATCCCGTATGCTGCGGGGGCACTAAGCACGGACATACAAGCCTGGCCGATGTCATGTCTAAGGAATAGTGTGATGTGCTGTCGTTGGCCCTGTCACATGATCGTTCTGGGCCAATAAATAAACAATATTCAAGGCAGGGGTATGACAAGTTCTTTGTTTTCCCTGTCCAGAAACTCCCATTCACAATACCTGACCTGGTCACTGCCTCGCCGTGTAGGAGCACCGATGGAATACTCTATACAGGTAAATTTATTGCTGCAATTTCAATTTGTCATGAAGTGCAGTGATTTGAAGTATCTGTTACAGAATTTTGGAAAGCGAAATCTTGAGAATTTCTCATACAGATCCAAGTGCGGATTCAAGTCCAACTGAAGCTGTGTACACTACTTGAAGCAATTCATGTCGGTTGATAAGCAGGATGGTAGAAAACACAATAACAGCGTTGTCCTTTTTTGTCTAATTAACTGTCAAAAGGTTAATTAATCATAACACTGTGGGCCTCAGGGGTCATTTATCTACTCTCAGGCAAATGGTGATAATATCACACTTACATCCATACCAATGTCCTACCTTTTTCTACAACCAGGGCGTAAGCTGGATAGCTGGTTGGTCATCGACGCGGCGACTGGCGAAATGCAGCAGACGATGACCACCGAAACCACCCAGAATGCCTGCCCCAAGTCAGACGGCAGCGCCTTGTTCCTGGGCCGCACCGAGTTCACCCTGACCATGTTTGACTCCACTTCTAGGGAGAGAGTGTGAGTGACTCACTTGCCGAAAGTCCTGCCACTTCCCAAAGTTCCCGCAGCTTGAGATTGTGTTTTAGTCTTACTCCAAAATGCCTAGTAGCGCCTTAAAGCCACAGATTCCCTCTTTCCAGTGACACGTTATTTATTTACACACAGTCTTGGATGGCTGAACTATCTTTTTTTTTTTTAAATGAGACAAAGAGGGCTTGGGAATAAGTTTCACTTGAAATGCCATCATAAATCCTATTCAATTCTCCCTCTCTCCTGTAAATTATCTGTAATGAATAGGCCAGATGTGTGCATAATACAGCCAGGTGAATCATTGCATTTTTTTAATTACAATGATTTACTTTGCATACATTTTAAGCCTATAAAAAGCATGTGTAGTAGTTTGCTCATAGTTATACAGCCAATGATTTTCCGTAATCACGGAAAATGGAATTCGCGGTATCAACACTTTGAAACAGAATTCACTGCTTGAAAATGAACTTTCCTGCTCAGATGGACTTAAAAAGTGAAGGAAAATTTCTGCAAAGTACATGTACTATAAATAAATGCCTATCAAACCCTTTTAAAGTACTTGCCTTTAATGAATGAATTATGCTGGAAACATGCTAAATTGCACCACTCCCAAGAAATGATTGGGTCGTCCACGCCGGTACTGATACTTGCAAGTGCTATGGCGTGCGTTAGGCCCAAGCATGCAGCGCAGGCTGGCATAGTGCAGCTGCGCGGTATGGCACAGCACACACATTGGCCTTCACACGTCCACCATACTAGCAATGAAATTAAGGTGCAAACAAGTTCACATTCACACATATGCTTATTGCACACATGGAGAATTCAATCTGTAAATCCGCATAGACTCCATGAGACACGGCTAGTACCGCATGGCAAAACGATGAAACCACAGCAGCAGAACGGAAGACTAATTACATATTTCCTGAATTAAACAAAACCTAGAAAGGTTGGTGTACCATACATGTAGCTGAATGGGCCCACAGAAGAATTTGATGAAGAGCAAAGTTTTCAATGACAATCATGTATTTTAAGGCTCAGATTAAATGGTAACTTTCTGAATTTTGTCGTACCACTAGCAAATAAAATGGCAGGTTGTCCAACATTAAGATACTGTGATGAATGACTCTTGCATGCAAGACCTACTCTATGACTTCACTGTACCCGTAAATGTACACATATTTAAATGTAATCTGATTTTATACATGAGGGTTGACACATGAATAGTCACAACTTGTTGACCATCACACTGGTGGGAAAAACCACCAGGACACTGAATGGCAACATTGCATTGCCGATTGCAAAGGACTCATTGTTTCGAGGTTGTGGATTAGACCTTGTGTTTTTTATGTTCAGTCATGCATAAATTCAATTTAATATTATATACTCACACTGCCTCAACATAACGAGGGGGAATTACCAGAGGATTTTGGAGGATTGAGGGCGTGTCCCAGCCGAAATGCAAGAGCCTAGGTGGTTAGGGTTAATGTGTTCATCTATAGCCAAATTTTGCCATTAAAACCAAAAAATGAAAATCGTACCCTGCAATGGGCAAAAAACCCAGGATGAAGCCATTGTTGCACATCTCTGTGGCTTGGGATTCACCCATGCAAGTCTGATTTATTCTCTTCTCAGATGGAACGTGACATACATCGACTATGGTAATCATGTTGCCATGGACGACTCAGACTATCGTAAGTGAATTACTTGATATTACATGTAAATATGTATTGAAAACCTCTGTGCCTTGGCAAACGCATGTGAATGCACATTGACATGCTTTCCCACAGAAGGGATATGCCCCTGTGCATGTTTTTTGGTCAGATCTTTACCCATTTAACTCATTTCACTCATGTGGAACTGCAGTGAATCGTCAGTGGTAAACTTTATGCGCACATACATGTAGACCGTTTTCCAATCCTCAACTTCGTCTCCGTCGCAGGCTTCATTCCCAAAACCAATCCCCGATTGTGGGCCTCAAGGGTTTAAATTACATTGGATTACTGTAATTTTTGGCTTTCTTGCATCTTATTTGATGTTCAGTGGCACTATTAGACTGATTACTGCGCTTACAGGTTCAAAGTCAGCTAGTAAAAAACAGTTGAAGCCTGAGACGGAGCCGAAGTTGAGTATTGGGAAACGGCCTAGATGTGAAGTGCACTCAAATTGTGGCCTTGGAAAGGGACCTTCATCCTTAACCCTCCAGGGTACTTTGGCTGGTTACAAATGTACTTTGGCTAGAAACATCATCTGTCAAAGTGGCTTGCCTACCCAGTGTAACAAGATCCAACATGTCAACTCGCCCCAGGGCCAAACAGCCTTGGAGTCCATGGTTGCCAGTCGCCACAAGCCCCGTCAGTGGCATTGTTCAATGGGACTAGCTCCAATTGTCTCAACATGGCCAGTTTGTTCGGCTGCTGTTGATTGCCCAGTGCAACACCAGGCTTTTGCACCTGTTGTGCTGTGCTGCATCTGGCAGGGTTTGAGGGTTAATACATAAACATACGCTCTCCCTCGTACTCCTGCACAGAGCAAACAGAAGGATTAATCTTTGGAATGCTTTTCCCATTGCAGGTCTAAGGCACTTCTCCTCCATCACGGACGGCTCAGTGGTGACCCTGGATGGCCAGACAGGCGAAATGCTGTGGGACGGCAGCTACAGCTCGCCTGTGGTGGCCATGTACACGGTCCACCCTGAGGGGCTGCGCAAGGTGGCGGTCACCAGCATCTCCCCACAGACCATGGACCACCTGCTGGACGGCCGGGATTTCCCGGAATGGCGCAACCGGCTGCTGGGGTACAAGAAGGCGGCAGCACTTATGTGATTATTTTTGCTATTTGTGTCAATTTTTCTTACCCTGTCAGGCCATACCCACTGGCTAAAAGTGAGCATAATAGTTTGGTCTGGTGCCACTATCACAATTGCCTTTCATCTTCCATTCACAAGAAGCCTGTCCTTTTGCATTTGTATTTGGAACAAGATGATTGAATTGATTGAGATGATATAATTTGTAAACAATGATCGGAAGTAAAATGCTAATTTGAATTCAACATTCCAGTTTTTAATTAATGCAAACCGAAACCCTGTTGAGACTTAACTGCTTCTGTGCCATCTCGGTCTTCCAGCAGTCCAAGGTTTGAATCCCTTAAGTATTAATTGGCTTCTGTTCAGTCTCACCTATGGCTTATTTGAAAATTTGCACTGCAGTTTCGAAAGAAATCTTATTTGGACGACTGATTTTTACATCATTTACATTTTTTATAGACCCACCTTGTACATTGGCGAATTCGACAACAGGATGTTTGCAATGCACGCTGTAGTAGAGGATGGGTCGGTTCCCATAGTGGTAAGAACAATGCAGTGTAAAACCTTTGTAACCCTGTGTACTATTGTGAGAATTTATTTTGAATGGTTGATCGCATTTTCACAGACTTGCTCACCACTCAATACATACATGTATATTGTTCAAATTGGATAACATTTCCTTTGACCCTAATTAGCCTGAATCTTCTGTAATCCAATGCGTAGCTTTTACTTAATCTTGAAGGATTGACTTCCATGGAGGCTAGCCTTTATTAGTTTATGGGGGCACAGAGTTCTCATTTTCAGAGTGTGAGCACGTGACAGGGAGTGAGGCATTTCTAATACTGCATATTGTTGGATTTCGGTGGATTAAGAAAATCAAGTCCTGTTAAGAGAATCTTGGAAGAAAATATAAGGAGAAAAGGGGGGTCCGTGGGTGTCAGGAAAGTGTGACGATATGTCACAAAGAAAAGCATGTCAAAAATTGTAGAAAAGTTAAGAGTAAACAAGTAATCTCTTGACTCATATGTCATATGACTTGCCATATGACAGTTGTACCACAACTACATTCCCGAACCAAATTAGACTTCACAAATGTTGACCCTTGTTGCTCATTTTTTTCAAGATATGTGTATTAAACATTTCCTGCCGCATTGCCACTTTTTCAAAACTCTGAAACTAATGCCACAGAGCAATATTTTCTACAATGCCTGACTGTAGCCAACGGCCACCCTAGGGCAGCACACACACACACACACACACTCAACCAAAAGAGCCTCTGTGTGTGAATAAACAATAGAAATCAGTCAAACATATGGACGAGTAGAGGTGTCACATGGCACTACATGCAGAATTAGCCAGAACATGTCTAAATAGCATTTGGATTTTGACACAAGGAATCCTTGCTTGTTCAAGTATTACCAGCATTAAATGGCTTATGGCTTGGATACATACATGTACATGTATATACTCAAAATGTATCGTGATGCAGAAATTGATCTAATGGTACTTCTTAACTTTGCAGCCGCGTGGCTGGAGTCCACCGCTGTTGGAAGGCCCTTCATCAGCTAACGCTGAACCCACGCCAACCTTTGATTCCAGCGACTTGGCCAGTCGGATTGTAACCATCATGCCAGAGCCTGTGAAGCCAACAGCTTCTGCAGTAAAGCCAGTCGTGCTGATGGGTGAGTTGACCACATGCTGGCTGCTGTCTTCCAGCAATGCTGGTTTCCTTAATATTAGAAACCATTGCTTTTGTTTTTTTTCTGCAGTGTTTTTGCTTTCAAACATCAGTAAAACCTCAGCTATCACTGTGATGCAGACCACTGACCACCCAAAAAGCAAAGTTTGAGTCCTGTCATACCAAATGTGAAAGGTTTTTCTTCACAAACTTAAAGAAGCATTGTGAACCCAAATCCCTGCCAGATCCAGTGAAAAGCAATGGATATGCTTTTCTTGCACTGGGCAGTCAGCTGCATCCAAATAAACTGCCCCTGTTGAGAGAGTGTGAAATAATCCCATTGAGCAATGCCACTGTTGGATCTTGTGGTGGCTGGCAACCACAGGCTCTGAGGCACTTTGGCCAGGGGGATAGTTGACCCATTGGATCTTGTCACCTTGGAAGTCACCTCAAGTGGTAAGTGATGCTAAAGGCTGCATTTGGCAGGGTCTCTAACCAAAATCCCCCTGGGGGTGAGGGTTAAGGTACAGGGCACAATGTTGGACTATTACAGATCAATTTCCTTGTGTATGTACTTGTTTCAGGTCATCATGAGATCCCCGAAGACTCCCATGCCGTCCTGATCCCCTCTAACTCCTACCCAAGCAAGGCCATCATCACTGGCACTGACAGTGTGATCCTCCCCCTCAAGCAGCCTGAAGTGACCCCAGTCCCATCAGGTGTTGACAACGCCACGGCTGTGGTTGGCGAGGGTAGGGAGCTTTGGCTACGCATCGTGCTGAGCGACAGGGTGTTCGTCGGTGGGGTGGTGACCCTGCTGCTGGGATTCCTGGCGCTGTTCTATCTGATTCCAAGGGTGCGTGCTCTTCAGATATAATGACATGTTAGATGGCCCGACATTTTGATCCCAGCAGATTCCTTCTCAAAAGCAAAGACAGGGTGACAGCCAAACAAACCGAAGCGAATCAACCAAGCATAGATGAAAGAAATGGCACACTGGGGGGGGGGAATGCAGGTGGCCGACAGAGTGGCACGGAATAATGGGAAGGGCAAGGGTAGGTACCAAAGGAGTGTGGGGTAGGAAAAGAAGAGAGAACAAATGCACGAGGGTAGACCTTCAGAAAAATCAACATCTCCTTGACGAATCTGGTACGCCTTGTGGATTGTTTTCCAGAGGTCCTGATCTGATTGCAGTTCTTCACTGGATGCCAGAATTAACTCTGCTTAAATGGGGACATGAAAAGTGGGAAAGGGTGTGTGGCAGGGGGTAGGGAACAGAGGGGTGTTGGGTGAAAAAAGAATGAACAAATGCAATGGGGTTGAACCTTCAGAAGAAATTATCATCTCCCAGCTGGGTCATAATATTGAGTCTGTGGGAGGTTTTCCGATGGCTTTTTTTACCCTGCATGTCAGAATCAACTCTGCTTTTCATCTCCCAAACAGAAAACTGGCACTTGCTTGATCGTCTTTTTATACCAAAAGGATTCCTCAACTCTTTGTGGATGAACGATTATATTACTTTGGGGAGTCATTGTCTCAGTTGATTGAGTTTCTTGCCAAAGTCTGTTTTGTGTGGCGAACACATGAGCAGTTCCCAACTTCATTTCTCCTCAGCCTATCGTGATAGTCTCTAACCAACCTCTGTCAGCACAGACCTCCAGTTGGAGCCAAGCCGGCAGTGGGAACGGTGCAGCTGATTACATCCCAGAAGGTTACAGCAAGGTCGGCAAGATCATGTTCAACCCCAAGGAGATCCTGGGGCAGGGATGCGAGGGAACCTTTGTCTACAAGTAAGTCGTGTTATTTTTCCAGATGGTAAGGTTTACACTTGAACCACACGACAGATTTCTTTTGTAAGCTTCTTGAGGTTCTTAAAAGTGCCAGAGGGTAATATTTGGTGAGACTTTTTACAGGGTTTTGTACATGTACATGTTTTTGTACATATACCGGTACAGTCAAACATGGTTGATACGAGCTTGAAGGGACTCACAAAAACACCTTGTCTTACGGTGAACCTCGTGTTATACGTGTTGACACTTATCCCATTCGTAGAGCACAAACCTGGCATCATGCACCAGCAAGCATTGTTATACACAACGACAGTGTACTGCACATGTACAGTAGGGTGCAGTATATGCAGTGGTTTAGTATTTGATGTACATGTACCAGCCTTTAACTTTTTAATTAATTTCAAATCATATTTTCAATATCGTCCGAATCAATAAGAAAAAAAAATTGAATATGCCTACTTGTTTGATGCAACTAGCAGGGAACAGTGGTGCAAGTGAACCAAATGCGTGTAAGGACTGGACGTATGAGGACGTAGAAATTGGGGAATTTCTGTTGGTTTTAATTGGTGGGAGGGGATCTATTTTGTAGAAACGTTCTTTTAATTTTGGAACAGTAACTTTCATTTTTAATGTGCAGCGGGGTTGTGGGAGTTTATTGTATGAGGGGAATGTGGGACATCGGGTTACTGAAAGAAGGGAACTTTAGAAGGGTGTAATTTCCAAATTTTCTTTCCATTGACCGTGTAGGGTCTTAGATGAGGGATCGTTGTGCATTTGTTTTCTTCGGCATCAAAACTTCAGTCCCGTTTATAATTTTCAAGTCGGGTTCACCCATTGTTCGGTTAAAAAAAAAATAAAAAAACATCTCTTTCGGACCAGACCCGCTGTGATTTAAACTCCTTTGATGCCTTGACATCACAACACCCATTGTCGTTTTGAATAAAGCCCCCCCCTAGCTGCACAAGGAACAGAGTCGCCAAGTTATCGGTGGTAAAACAACAGCACCAATTGCAAAGCGCATTAACATTATTGGAGAACTACTGACACGCTCCATCAGGAGTTACTGGGATTAAGCTTTTGAAGAGGCATTTTCAACTGTACTCATAATATGCTTTGGATAATGCTTTTTGACACTGCGGGTTAGGCGAAAGTGCTCATCTTGTCCATGTTCTCGTCTTAGCACAGCTCGTATTAAAAGGAATGTGTACATTTCGTATGGGACTGAAGAAAAGTGCTTGTAGTAAGCACAATTTTGTCTCAATTGTGCTCATGTTAATCGTGTTCGACTGTATAGAGAACTTGCCGATGACTCTGAAGTTCGAGTAGCAGCACTGGATATTTTTACAACATCTGTTTTTTATGTTGCTGTTGCTCTCAGGGGCAGGTTTGACAACCGGGATGTTGCCGTCAAGAGAATCCTGCCTGATTGCTTCAGCTTTGCCGACAGAGAAGTAGATCTCCTTAGGGAATCCGACGAGCACCCTAATGTAATCAGATACTTCTGCACGGTAAGACCCTGTCCACCCCTTTCCCTTACCATACCCTCAGGGTCTCATCCAGCGACCAGTCCACCTGTCCTTTGGTCAAGCATTGTCTGATTTTGGACAGGCACTTTGCAAAATGGACAATAAAACATCACAAGTAGAATTTTGCAACACAGGCAGTAAAAATGACAGTTGGGTCTTTGGTAAAAAGGTTTGGTATACATAAAGTGACTAAATGGTATTTTGTTTTCATAAACTACGCCACCAATCGGCAAAGTCATATTCCTGTTTGCTTGTCTGGGAACAAACTGCTCTCTCCATCGTATACATGTACATGTATGTATGCAGCCGCAGCACAGTAGATGTACATGTATAGATCTCAAAGGACAGGGAATGTTAAAATCCACCACAGAAGGATGGGCTGTTTGGTAATGAACCCTGGTGTCCTTTCAAAGCCCATTTGGTTTATGCAGTGCTTCCCTCTGCCTTAGGACTTGCAACTCACAGCATAATTTTAATAATTAATTAGTTTTAATAAAATAAAATGCTGCTACTTATCAGTCCGCGCAAACGTAAGGCCCAAGTGAGTGCTGACTTGCTAGGAACGATGTGCTGCTTAGAAAAGTGTCTGTGACGGGATGCATTCCGTTTTGAACGGAAGTCAAAGGCCTGCAATAAAGACTGCATGGGTAAAATGTCACTCACTCATGTCCAGAAATAGCATTCTCCGTGTGTGCTAAATGGCGGGGCTGTGATCTTTGTTGTGGTTAGAATGTTAGAAATATTTCAGCAAACCATGTACAGTTTCCAACTCAGCAAATGTAGACACTACATTTACTTCACGAAGTCCCAGTTGCTCTTTACTTGGCTGTATGGAATCCTTGTTCAAACAACAGTGCATTCACAGCTGAGCACAAGGAGAGTTTTACTCATAGCCATCCCAAAGCGCTAACACTGGTAACCTTTTGGGCATCAGAAAAGACTTCTAAATGTCCAAGAATTCAGGTCCATCTGTAGATCTTTTCTGTAGATACCGGTACATGTGTGTTGCATTTTGTTTACGTGGTATACCAGGAGGAAGATGCACAGTTCCGCTACATAGCCCTGGAGCTGTGCACGGCAACACTGCAAGAGTATGTCACCAGCCGAGATGCCTTTGACAATCTGGAAACAACAGATGTCCTCTATCAGGCATCATCTGGCCTGGCACACCTACACTCCTTGAATATAGGTAGGGAGCTTCCTCAATTTGCAGCCTCTCACAATCTTGAGAAAGGGCTTGACTGCAATATGAAACACCAACTTCAGCTTTACTGGACTCCATTATACAACTCCCCAAGTTAAAACAAAATTAGAGCTGTGGATGAGATTTATGGATAGTTCAGGTGATAGCTAGCGAATCTCCCTTTCCGTTTGTTCTAAGGAGGATACTTTGACCTCTGTGGTGTGAAAATGGTCTGTGAGAGATTTTAGAGAATCTCAGCAGGAACTTGTAATCATACAGGTGTTTCCTTGTGAGGGTGCCACAGCCTTAAAGATTAGCTGTGGATATGTTGGAAATATTTGCTCTTCCTGCTTTGGTTGATCATCTCTGCGGACCACATGATTGTGCATCCCTGCTGATGTAGTACTTGGAATCGGCATCAGTAGTTTGCTTTTGTGTGATACATGTAAATGGTATAGTAAACAAAATGGTGTGATAAACAATCTTCCTTCACATCTGACCCCAGTTCACAGGGACATCAAGCCCCACAATGTACTCATTTCCCAGCCCAACCAGCTCGGCCAGGTCAAGGCCATGATCTCCGACTTCGGCCTTTGCAAGAAGCTGTCCGCGGGTCGCAGGTCGTTCTCCCGCAGATCAGGGGCGGCGGGAACCGAGGGATGGATTGCCCCTGAGATGCTGACCGGCGAAGAGAGAACAGTGAGTACATGCGCACTGAAGTGCATGTCTGAAATAATTTGTACAGCTTAGCACAGCTTTAAATAAACCCGAGCAATAAACTCATCCACAATACATTTTGAGTACATCTCGTCTCTCGTGATTGTAATCGCACAGGGCGATCCATACTGTAATTACTTAGTATCTAAGAGGATACACTGAAGGAAAGCTTCAGAACATTTAAAATGTTTCAGCAGGTCAAACATAGCATTGGGAACGCGTCAGTTTAATGTTGTCTGGTACTTCTCCACAGACCACAGCAGTGGACATGTTCTCTCTTGGCTGTGTCTTTTACTACGTGCTGTCGAGTGGGAAGCATCCCTTTGGAGATTCTCTTCACAGACAGGCTAATATCCTGACAGGACATTATTCACTGGATAAACTTTCTCCAGGTAAAAAAAGCAAAGGCATGGAAAGAGACCTTATTTTAGATGGCAATTTCTGACAACAAACTGCCTTTTTTTGTGACACAACCGTCCGTACTCCATCTTTCCTCAGATGATTCAATACCCAGAGAACTGATTACTCAGATGATAGAGAGGTTGCCGGCTGACCGGCCGACATCAAAGAGCATCCTGAAGCACCCGTTCTTCTGGAATCGAGAAAAGCAACTCATGTTCTTCCAGGTAAAATGGTTGGACATATTATGGGAACAGGAAAACACAGATTAATGAAACCATTCGAAGACTGGTTTAAAAGGTGCTCTATCAGAACAAATGATAGGCTCTGTAACTCTAGTCTAGGAACCATAGACACTGATGCTGCGCTCGTTTGAAAGTGATTGGACAAGAACTAGTTTTAGCGGCGTGTTGCTAGTGTGAGAAACCTTTCTGGTATGCTTGAGCTGCTGTAAAGTGTCAACGTCCAAGAATCATCATATCCACAACCATGTTGTGCACTCAGTGTACAGGGGACTAACGGATGAAATGCCTGACGGAAGTGGGAACTAGATTTGTGAAATACATGTATATGCAGGAAATGATTTAAGTTCTGAGACAGGGGTGTGTATGTATATCTAATGAACTGGGTTCTGTTCTTTTGCTTTCTCAGGATGTCAGTGACAGGATAGAAAAGGAAGCTCTGGACTGTGAAATCCTGGTTACCCTGGAAACAAATGCCCCCGATGTTGTGAAAAATGACTGGCGGCAGAACATCACAATAGAACTGCAGACAGGTATTAGAGTACTTGCAAATGGCTGTTGGATATGCCATTTTAGAACTATTACATTTACGTTGTGCATCTCTCAGTAAGAACAATTTAACCCCTTCATCCTGGGAACCGTCGACAGCTGCGGCTTTGTGCGAGGATTTGTGCATACCACACATGCATTGTATTCATCATGCAGCCACTGGTTCAATGGGGCCTGCTGCTGGACAGAGCTTTGCATACTGGGCATACCGCAGCCCAGCAGTCACGATCAAAAGAATCCCGGTGTGAAGGGGTGAACTTCATTTCAAAGTTAACGCTCATTACTTCCATGAGCACAAAATCAGTTAATTGAAGGTCTTCCACAATCTTTTGCAGATCTTCGCAAATTCCGAGCCTACAAAGGCAAGTCGGTTCGTGATCTTCTGCGGGCTATGAGGAATAAGGTACGCATCCAGGATCCATGAAGCTCTGGCAGAGATGTCTGGGAATCCATATCCAATTTCATAGCTCTAAGGCATGAACCTGCTCTTATACAATACTTTCTAGGTTACTGTACGTGTATGCATATTTACCAGGTTATCAAGTATTGTGTGAAGGAATACATAGTACTGTACACCCTATCGAACCCAAGGATTCTGTGCTCTAAAAGCTGACAGCACACCGAATATGGCACGATTCAGTAATCTGTGCATCTTTCACGTCATGTTTCCGTAGAAACACCACTACAGGGAGCTTCCGGATGAAGTCAAAGAGTCACTGGGTCCGGTGCCGGATGGCTTTGTCCACTACTTCACCTCGCGCTTCCCACAGCTCCTCCCACATGTGTACCAGGCTATCGGCCAGCACTGTAAGGAGGAGAGGGTGTTCCAGAAATACTACCCACAACCTCAGGAAGACAGAACTTTCAACATCGTCAGAGAGGTGATTTCTTAGACCAAGGAAAAAAGTGCCAGATTCTCGGTTGGTGATGCCCCGGATTGTTTCCTTCCACAACAGACTGCCTGTGCTTTTTGATCCCAAGCCAAGATCCATTTGTACAGGCATAATTTTACGGCCACTTTAACAACAGAAATCTGTGCTCATCATCAGGTACATACCGTACACATATAACAAAAACACAGAAATTTTGTGCCAACAATGTTAGCACTAAATCTGTATGTCCATAGGCTAAACTGCCTTGTTAAACCACAGAACATGGATGGCAAGAAGGGGACACTTTGAACTCCCCTGAAAAAAAAATGAAGGTGGGCAAAAACGGGGAAAAAAGTGAGAGATAAAAGGATGAGAAAACCCCACGAAACAGACATCCTTCCGCTGTAAACAGCTTCTCCGTTTATTGTTGACGAGTTCTGTAGCCCCCCCCCAACAAAATGTGCCTCTGCCCTGTAATATGTACAGTATGGACACTTATATGCAATATATCCCGATTGTTTCGGTAAAGCATAGGAACAAATTACACATCTATTCACGTACATGTATGCCAGTGTGTTCCACTTCTGCGGATACAACATGGTGATCCCCAGTAGTAATACACAAAGGAACAATCTGAGAGTCTCGAGGGAGCCCTGACTTGAAGTGAAATTTACAGGTTTGGGTTTATTTGCTACAAGTACATGTGTCTGTCATTTATCCGCATTTTTATTTATTGTTTTGCATGACATTGATTCAAATTTGGACATCTCAGAATGTAAAACTGTTTATATGGAAGGTGGTGAGCAAAGACATTTCACTTTTTAAAAAACTCACAAATCATGATTTCAAAATCATGGTTTATTACAGTAACATGGAGCTCAAATGTTTACAATACCACAGGCAGTATGGAACTTTAAGTTGTGTCAAACCTTACTCTATTGTCATACTGCCTCAACTGAAAAAAAAAACAAAGATTGTACATATTTTGTTTAGATATTTATTATTTTGCACTTATGGCCAGTCATAAAGTTGCTTTGTATGAGGCCACTCTGTTGTCATCACTGGTGCTGGGATATTAGTCTTCATTGTGGTTTTTATTTGTCTGTACTGTTATGTGGTACTCATGAAATGGTACATTCCATTGTCCACACTTTATAAACTGTGCAAATTCTATTTTACCATGAATTTTTAAGTGATTATGTTCAATTTAGGACTTTTGAAGTCTGTAAAATTTAACCAAAGGTATCTAAGACAATCATGTGGATGGTAACATGCCTTTATCTCCTGTATTTCTGAAACAAACTGGCATCAAGAATGACAAGAATCAAGAATGATTCTTTTTCCTGTTAATGCCAATTATGCTTTTGATATGCTGATCTAGTGAGAAATACTGTATTTTTCTTAACCTTGAGGCTACTTAACTGTTGAAGTGCTTTTTTTTTAAATCTTCCATGCCAAACCATGTCTTAAATAATAAACGTCAAGGACTTGAATAAACTAATGTACATGATTGTCAATACATGTACAGGTACCGGTAGTTCTCTTGGTATGTTCTCTCCTTTTAGTCCCTATATGATGTGCTGAATCAATCATTCGGTTGACATGAGATCGTCTCTGGTTATAATAAAAAAGGTGACTGTTTGCAAGAAAACAGCTGAAAATGCAGTCACATATTTTACCAACATCCAAAAGTCTTCAAATCTACATAAAAAACAATCACAGTACACTAAACACTGACAATAATATTTACACAAAATTCAAAATTAACACAAAAACAGAAAAGAAAATTAAAATAACTGAAGCCAGGGTACAGACAGCTCAACCACAGATGCACAAACACATGTTGGTGTACTGAAATCGTGATAGAACAAACACATTTTTTTGTCGGGGGCCAAAACCTTGCAGATGTCGTGTTTCTCTCCATTCAACCTGCCCTCTGTGAAAACTGTGACAGAACTGATCCTTACCCTAATGTATAATCCAAACCCTGAAGACCAGTCCAACCTGGTAGATTTGGAAGCTGAACAAGAAATCCTTTACTCTTACTGTTGACTTATGTCAGATCAAGCTAGCTCCACTCTTTCAGTTTTCTGGATTTACTAGAGAGAAAGAGAAAAAAAAAATCAGACTGGGGTTAAATAGCGAAAAATGGTTAACTTAAAGAATGTGGCATCTCATCAATCAGGGCAGAAATCCCGCTTTACATATTAAGCATGATCACTTAGTTCTTTTACCAAATGAAATGTTGATCTCAAATAACATTTGCAAGGTCTTTAATAAACCCTGCTCTCTATACATCTTCCAAATTACTTCAATATTAACGCAGCATGACTGCTGCATGATTTTCTGTAGTAAGGCCAAACCCAAAAATAGCTGACCCAACCTAAAAAATCATGCGGAACCTATATCTTATTATTCGACAGTTAAAGAAAAAAAAAACTTATGGTGCCTTGCCCCGAGCCTGATTTTGTCTACATCGTCCTGTACATTGTATTGTTTTGTTTTAATTTTTTTGCATGAGATGGACGGCTCTTGTGTGTTTGTATTTCAACAACCAGCTGCTTTTACTCAATCACAGTGCTGATATGTAATATTATGTGCACATGTACTGGTACTGTACAGTATTAACCCTAACAGTCTTCCATCCTTCACCTGTTGGAGGACTGAGGAAGGTTAGGGTTAATCTGACACTGACTTAGTACCTGTTACCAATATACCTGCCCTCCCCCCCTAAAAAGACAATCACCCGACCCTAATTTTTTGGGCAATTAAAATTTTAGAGCCAAAAAAAAATATTTTTTACCCAACCAACCACCCTTATGTTAATTTCAGTGTAATAGGACACACAACTAATTTTTTTGTTTGGCCTAAAACTGCAATAGTGGAGGTCAGCAACACACTCCAAGGTACATGTAAGCTGAAGTAATAGACCTATGTACCGATGACATCACATTTAGTTTACACTTTCCTATGAAGTCAGTGACGACTCCATGGTTCACTGAGCTTTCTGGGAAAGCACACATGAACAGAGCATGGCATCATCAGTACAGAGGTCTATTGGAAGCGGCACCCTCAAAATTCAGTCCATTCCGTATCTCTGCTGATAAGGTATGGCTTCCTCCAATGCCCTTTAGCCGGATGATTGGCCCAAAGATCCAGAGAGCAAATTAATAAATAAGCACTGCGGCAAGACATGTATTAAAATAAATGCACATGTAGTACCAACGGGTCCCACATGAGAAGGCTTCGCTCACCTGTGAATGAAGTACGACTTCAGCGGGAGGAACTGGAGCTTGACCGGCTGCGACGGCGGCGGCGTATCGGTGAGCGGGAACGAGACCGCGATCTAGAACGGGGTCTTGGGGATCGCTTCCTGGGAGGAGGCGGCCTGCAGGAAGATAAATTGATTGAAATAACCAGTCCCATATTTTCAATAAATTCCAACCTCAATGAACATGGGAGATTTTGCTGCCTAGAAGTCCCTATCCTCAATAGAAGGATTCAATCCAACATAACTATTTTGCTAGATATTATTGGTAAGTCCATGAAAAAGGTCCCCTTCTTGTCCCGTACATAACATCATGCTTTGTTTGGTAATCACTGAAGAGACTCTAACAAAAAATCTTGTGGTAGTCTCTGTCTCAATGCTCAACAGGAGAATGAAAGACAATGAAATTCATGAATGTATTCGAGAGTAAAACTTTGGCTCTCTTGTCCAGAATCTTCCACAATTTCCAGCCCAGCAGGACACTTAAAGGGACATTCTTTGTGCTGAAACTTTTCAGGGGGGACAAAGTCCCATGCAAAGTTACACATGTACGGAAGCCTGTTAGGGCCACAGTGCATTTCTCTTTCAAGGCAGTGCGTTTCTCTTTGGTTGTTGGCAGTAACTCACGGCCGCCACTTATTTAACTCGTGGCCGCGACTTACTTAACTCGCAGCTGCCACTTACTTAACTCACGGCTGCCACTTATTAACTCGCGGCCGCCACTTATTAACTCGCGGCCGCGACTTAACTTGCATGGTATGTTGTACTGTTTTGTACCATGGAAAGCAAATACAGTAGCTTCCTAGATTCACACCGAAAATGAACCAATCTTTTTAAGATGTGGAAAAGCTGTCGGTCCCGGCAAAGATCTATTAGTAAATGCATACAGTTAAATACATTCCTAAATGACAAGCAAACATTATTTGACCTTTCATCTAGCGCCATGCTCTCAGCTTGTAGACACTTAAGTAAGTCGCGAAGTGAATAAGTGGCGGCCGTGAGTTAAGTACATGTAAGTCGCAGCAGTGAGTTGATAAGTAGTGGCCGCGAGTTACTGGTAACAACGAAAGAGAAACACACCGCCGTGAAAGAGAAAGACACGTGGCCCTAATGGGCTTCCGTACACATGTACAATGCAGTGGCTAAAGTAGTATCTCCCTCTATCGAGCATTATCTTTAGAATTTGGAAGAATCTGGGAGGGCTCGGTTTAATTGGTGTGCCAGACCTACACTGGTGTTAGAAATCATCATCTCTATACAGGTACATGTATATCTCAAGTTTCAGCCCTACAGCAACACTCCATTTGTGGCCAAATCCCACAATGTAGTCTTGAGGCCATTTTTGTCGAGAACTTTAGTTTGCTACAGGAAGAGCACAAATTGAGCCTCAATTTGACGTGTCACTCAGTGTCACATCCTAATGGAAAGGACATCATGTTGGTGGAAAGTGTTGAGGTTTCCTATCATGTTTCACGGTGAAAGATTGTTTTAAATGCTTTTGCTTGGTTGTGTCACATTTGCCTCAATAGGCCTATCAGTTGACACTGCCTTGGAGAAGACATGAGTCTATTCCATTTTTTGGCATCCGGGATTATTTCATTTCAAACAGAGCCAAATGCAGCAATATAACACTGGGTACTTCCCTTAATGGGAAAATGCTTTACATCAGTTTCCACTTTGACAATATAATTTACAGTTTTGTTAGAACCCACCATGTGGGAAACCATCCATATGAGCACACCCTTAAAACCTAGATTTGTGGGAACTAGAATGTACCGGGAAATCTGTCCCAGGTCTGGAAGGGATGCAACCAAGGACATTAAAACTGAAATTGTTTGACATCTACACTAAATTTGCTGAGTCAATTTGAATAGTTGAGTAAAATTTGGAAATATGGCCCTTCCATTCAATCAACTATTTGATTGTCCCAAATTCCCACAAAAGCAGAAACAAAATACATGTACACATTATTTTACGAAAAAGAAAAACTACAAAAACTGGGGAAAAACATTTGGGCCATATCCATTCAGCTGGCTGAAAGATTGCTCCTTACACCTTTAAGTATGCTCTTAGAGTGCTGTTTTTGAAAAAAATATTAAATTCTTCCCTTTTGATAAATTTCGCTGGTTTTCACCCAATCCAATTTTGAAAATAAATATTCAAGTTTGCAATGACTGATTGAGGACCCCATTAACAACAAATAATCTGTAGAGACTTGGCAGTCAACAAATGAGGTCACAGTACACACCTTCGTCTTCTGTCATCCCTGAACCTGGGAGGCGTCCTTCTCCAAGGTGGCATGCCACGGTTTGGTGGTGAACGGCGCACTGGGCGGGGCCTAGGGGCCAAAACGTAGGCGGCTGTGACTTCCTGCCCATCGATCTGGCCTGAAAATAGACAGTTGAGAACACAAACTAATGAACAATGCTAGAAGGCAAATTATCATTCAGGGTTCCAACATCAATCTGAAAACCCAATTCTGTGACTTTTTCCAAGACTTTTCACGACTAACATGGGTCATTCCAAGAAGTTGGACAACAAAGTGTGACAGAGGAGCTGAAATTTCAAATTCACTTTATGTGTCATTTGTCCCCCAAGTTTTAACACATTACTAACTGTGTTTCTCATACATGAAACTAGTAATACTTCTGCAATAACTTAAGAAGGAAATACTTAGACAAGGAAATACTTTGGTATTCTGCATCATGCAGCGGGTTGTGGATGTAACACGAAAACCACACAGTTTCTGCAAAGATTTCTCCAAGTACAGTTATGAAGATTCATTTATGTTCTCAATATTGCGAAGTATCCCAACAAAAATGAAACAATAAAGAGGGGAATATACCACAGGAACGAATGTCAGGGTAGGTACATACATGTACATGTATATGGTACTCATTTTGGGAGAATTTGCCAGACCAGGTACATGTACCATGCGTTTGGGTTTAGCATTTTCCCATATTCGGTCGGCATAGTCAGTTTCAAACGAAGTGCAATCTTTGTGGCCGTACATGGCTGCATTGGTGGCAATATTTGTGTTGATCTTTACCGAGTTTATCCTTGATTATATTCAAAATACACTGAAAATAAAACGTCAAATTTCAAAGGAAACAGTGCAAAAAATTGGTACCTTTATTCACAATTTCCCAACCGGAATGTTGCCAAAATCCTGTCTCTGCGCGGTGCGCGAACGAGAAACCACAGCCAGCCTGCCTGCAGGCAATACATGTACATTGTGTTCGCTAGCTCAGTTCCCCACAACGCGAAATCGATCTATCGCTAATCCTTGAAGGATACGTGGAACTAGATGGTTTAGCAACAAAACTATGGGTCATTCCATGAACTTCCGACAACACCTGTGTATTTGCCTAGGGTCTGAAGACTTTGGAGTAAATCACATAGCCACTCAAATAATTAGCCACTTAAATTTACATCATAAAATGACCACATAAAGAGGTACATGTATATTGTTGACATGGTTGAACCTTTTGGTTCATATTTGTGGAAAAATTTTTACAGCATAAAGCAGGAAAAAGTTGTTTCCAGTTATGTAAAACCAGCTTTGTGTGACAAAATAAATGGGCATTTAAGAAACGAAAGGAGTGGGTTGAAATTAAATGCAAACATTGCCATATTTTTGACATGTTCGCATCTGCATGTACATCAACCCTTGACGTTTCATTATATAGTTTATGTTAACTACCCCTCCTTCATAAGTGAGCCCCTGTTTTGTTCGAGGTCACAGATGTAACACGTGGTTTCCATACACATTTAGTTGCGTTACATCCGAAAGAAGAGTTCGTTTTTTTTTTTGGAAAATAATTGTGAACTACATCACCACGGTTTGAAAACTACAACTTAGATGAACTTTTACTCAAGTCGGCATTTGCTGCTGTATTTCAGTTCCAAAGAAATAATTTGTTCTTGCCAGAATGCTGTGCGTGGCTTCCACAGCCATTCTGCTGCGTCTGCAACCCTTTGTGTTCCGTAACGCGCAAGTCTACCCCCCTTGTTAAAAATGGATTCTTCCATGCTTCAACAGCTCTTGCTTCGAATTTGCCAAACAAAAAATCCCATGCCAGATGTCATCACGCATGCATTTTACTGCTTTCAAAACACGGAGTTTCCACATGTTACATCCGAGACGCAGTTACACCACCCAATGTTTGTCGGAAGTAAATTCGGCCATGAGAGACGGTCATCATTGATTTCGAAGTACATGGATAAGATCCCAGAAAGAATGAATCCTTAAAATTTACAACACGTGTGGTGTGCTGGGTTAATGCTAGGTCAATTTTGATTTACAGTTTACAATTGATTGGAAAAAACTCTGACGGTTTCCAAGTTACGCCCAGATTTTGTTCTTGCAATGACTGTTAGCGTTATGTAGAATAGGCGTCCGGGTTGTACTGCAATCCCCTTCGAGGACCTGTACCTTAAACAAATTTTTCCAGAAATTTGAAAAAATGGTTCAACAATATACCTCTCTCTGTGTTCTTTTTGTAATGTAAATTTAACTGGCTAATTATTTAAGTGGCCATGTGATTAACTCTAAAGTCTTCAGACCCTTGGCAAATAACTAAAGTGTCCCCCAACTTTATAGAATGACCCACACAACAAATAATGAAAACAAAAAGGCTGGAAGCCAGCAGCAGAATCACTTTCTGAAAAAAAGTGTTCGGTGAGAGAAAAATTTCACCTACCCCCATCCATGTGCTTCAGTGCTTTCTCAGCATCGTCGTGCTTCTCGAAGTCCACATAGGCGAAGCTGCGATTCAGGTGGGTGTTGACCCGGTCGCAGGGCAGGTCCACGCTGCGCACCACTCCATAGTTGGAGAAGATCTCCATCAGGTGGTCCTTGTTGACGTTGCGTGTTAGCCGGCCGATGTGGAGCTTACATGGCTTGGGGGAGGGGCTGCGCTTACGCCGCCGTGGGGATTTGGACCTGAGGCATGGGAAGAACGCAGAGAGATCAGATTACATAGATTAACCACAAAGCTTCACTAACCTTAACTTCCTAGGAGGATACAATCTTCCACATCCTTACAAAACTCAACACCATACTGTAAACTGTGCATATAAACAGATGGACTCTGTTTACTTGTGGTATGCCGAATCCCACATAAAACACAGCCAGCGTACCAGTACAGTATTCATTCTAACAGATTCCAACAAACCCTGGTGTGGGATCCTATGTAGGGCTAATATGCGAACTTTGGAAGTTTGGAAGTCAACAATTTCCAAGGCACAAAGCCTGTTGCCACAGAATGACCATCACAAGTTCTACAATACAATCACAAATTCATTGGCACTGGCGAGGGTTGAGGGAGAAGGTTGTCTTAGCACCTTGTGGTTATTTGGATGCCAATTGTTTTGAGCATTTAAACAATCTCCTTACAAAAATCCACTCATGTAAAGAGGACGGGTGTTCACTGATGCTGGGGCTAGTTCAGTCACCACTGTTCCTCGAGCTCTGAATTTTAAACTTAAAGGGGACAGATAAAAGTATGTAAATGGATAGAGGGGTGAAGATTAAGGGATTCAGGGCCCACTTAGGGACCCACAAGCCCGATTTCTTTTTTAGTTCAGGTCCAGTGTTTATCTTGTAATGTAATGTAAGAGGCAGATTTTCAATTTAAGTAACATTACGCATTCATAGTCAGGTTTTTAATTGAAACAATGTTGAGTAAGATGAAACATTCCAGAATTATGGAAACGCAGCAACCACTATTTAAACTTGGGCCGCAGATTTTAAAGCTCGCTGGCTACTTTTACACAACATGGTGGGAAAGCAAAAGCTTGGTGGGCTGTCAGGTTACTTCAACAGACTAATCCGAGGAGACGCCATTTGGTTGGAGCAGAATGCAATGTGTAAGTACTTGTACCAACCGGATGGCCGCACAGTAATGGCTTTTATAACACACCTCTCTGGTTCTTAACCTGGTTGGCTAATAAACCGTCACATGTGAATTGGACATGCAAAAGACGTCATGCACATGCGCTGTCCAGATTATCTGCAGTGCTCAATCAGGCACCATACTGGCAATTTTTGACTCGGCAGTGTCCTTACATGACGAGAATAACAAACAGTAACTGAACCAAATCTAGGTGAATATTGACTTGCTTGTTCGTTTTATAGTCTAATGTACAAATCAGTTATAAAACCCTGAAAAGTTTCTTTTCTCATTTTTAATTTTATATAGAGGTGTGTTCAATAAAAACATACGGATGGCATAATTCAGTCAATAGTGCACGTCCACTTCCCCCTTGGGCCTGTGAGTGACCGGAAGAGGGTCATATTATTTATTAGCCTTGGGAATTCCAGTCCCCGGATGAGCATACAGGTTGGAGGACGCTGGTCACGCTCCATGGCACTCACTTTGTTCGGCTCTTCCGCTCTCGCCCCTTCCGGTCCTCCCGCCCCTTCCTGTCCGAGCTGCGGCGGGGGCTGCTGCGGCGGCTGGCTGAGCTGCTGCTGCTTCCACTGCTGCTGCTGGACCTGGAGGAACTGCTGCTGGAGCGGGAGCTGCCTGATCCACTTGAGGACGACCCGCTGGAACTGGAACGGCTGCGGGAACTAGAGCTGTGACAGGGTACGGTGAAAGTGGTACACATTGAACCAAAATAATTTGACCAGCAAGGGAAACATTTGACTCAAACACGGTAAATGTTGCCTGTCTTGTAGTATTGTTATCAGTGCTGCAAGTACTCTTATGTTTAAAAACATTTCAGAAGGTTGATTAAAACATAGCCTCTTAGGCCTTTTTACTACAGGTACAAGTAGGAACCCTCCTCAATCCTCCAGAATCTCCGATTTTCAGCATGAAAAACTTGCATTCAGCCTCAATCCTCCAAAATCCTACAAAATTTCTTGAAAATGTCATTTGGAAGTGTGCCTACTGCCTAAATCCTTCAAAACCCTCTCATTATGTTGAGGCAGTGCCAACAGTGTTCTTGAGCAGTGTGGTTGATTCAAAGAAATACTGGGATGACATGCACAATTACATGCACAAGTGGGCAAGAACAACACATGGTCTAACCCATGACCTTCACTCATCCTTCGCAATCAGCCATGTACTTATACCATTCACCCTCGATCCTCCAAAACCGCCCAAAGGATTTTGGAGGATTGAGGAGGGTTAGGGATAAGCACGCAGGCTGTAGTTTGAGTGAAGCAATGGAAAACTTCATGGTCTTGCAAGGTTGTTATTCCATTTTGCAGTCCAAAAATGGTCAGAAAGAACTGTACCAGTCAGTATTGAAATGAAAATTAAATTTTTTTAAGAAAAAAAGAGTCGCTGCACAGTTTCACTCAAGTTATAACGTCCATGCAGGTGGATACATGTGGAGAAAAGGTTATAACTATAATGTGTTAAGGCAGGGCCAAACCATCAGGGAAACGCAGTGAACTAGACAGTAACTTACTGGCCCCCTTTAATGTGTTTCTGTGTGATTCCCAATTTCTCTCAAAATACACGCAAGTCTTTGCAAATGAGGTTGTGACACCAAGAGGTTTCCTTTGCAAAACCATTTGAAATCTTTCAGCCTTGAATGTAGAGGTGGTCATAAAAAACTATGTGGCCTAGCAATGACAACTACAGGTACATGTACATGTAGATGTATGAGCAAACACAGGTGTTTGCGGTTCATCATGTTCATAATGAAATTCCAGAAATGTGTTCCTATTAGGGCCGAGTCAATTCAAATAATTCACTATTCGAATATTCGCCCTTCAATTTGATCAAATACCCAAATATTCGGTAGTACTGACCGGCAGATTGTTGATGAACAAACCATATATACAAAATCAGTTGCAATAACACACACAATTGTACATTATGATCAATATACATGTAACACAGTAGCTTCTCACATCTAGGAGTATCTCCAGCCACAATTTAGCAAGACTTTTTGCTCTGTTGAAATTTCCATTCTTTTTAAATCGTTTAATAAATAATTTACTTTTTAAACTATTGTAAGATTTCTGACACTTTTCATTTGAATCTGCTTGAAACAAGCCGCTATAGTGCAATTTTTCTTATTTAAAACAAAAGAAAAATTTCCTTTCCTTTTCATGAATTTTCCATTCAAATATTCCAATTCGAAAAACGATAATCAAATATCCGGTAAATTCGGCATAGCCCTAGTTCCTGTCCAACAGTATGGATGCACTCTTCTCCAAGTGTGCACATGTATTCACAGTAACACTGAGAACACTATGAAAATTCATCCAAGTTTCAATGAGTTGTCATATTCATGTTTGGATAAAATTAAAACAACATGGGTGGTGGGGGGGACAGATTCAAGGTGCATCTGGCAAACCCATGGCAATTTAATAGGTTTTTCTGTCATCGAACCAGACCCCAAAAAAAGTTATTAGTGAACTGCTGGATCTGTCAAAACTGAATGGATTTGTACAGCTTAATGTTAATACTACACACAAACCTTCCAGAGCTGCTCCCAGAGCTGGAAGACACAGATCCTCCCCGAGTTTTCCTGCTCCGCCCTTTCTCGCGGCGGTCACTGCGACCTCGACTACGGCTGCGGCTTCTACTGCGCGGCCTGTCCAAAAAGAAAAACAAACCCATTTAGCCTTGCCCATCCTGGGTGCTTTGGCTAGAACCTGTGTCAGGCTCATTTGTAAAGGTGGCCTGCATCATTTCAACATCTCGCATGGTACCCAGAATCCTTTGTGTGGAAAACTGCAGGGGCTTCGTGAGCTGCAACGTACAGATCCCTCTCACACGTCATGTGCACGTATGTTCATGCCCTATACTTAGTTGGTAAGCATGCGTACTGAATCCCACTACAGCCAGAACCAAGTAAAATGGCTCTTGACTCGGACAGGTGGACCCCAAAAGTAATTGTTCAACATCAAACTCAGGTATTTTTTTGGCCCCTCATTTCCATGCCGATTAGTATTTAAACACTCAAAGTCACTTTTGCTAACTTGCAGACAATAAAATCCATTTTCTGCCAAATTTTTGCCCGTCTTTCTCATGTATCTCCAAAGTAGCAGAGCCAGAAGTTGGAAGTGAAGCCAACATTTCAGAGGGGATTTTTCAGTTTTGCCAGGTTTTCCCTGACATTTCTCCACATGCGAATGCACTGTAGTGAGGAATACAGTCAATTCTCATTAATACGAGGGCCTTGGGACTTTCTAAATTAGCTCGTATTATCCGGACCTCATCTTATGTGAAAGCTGCTGTCCCGCTTGTCGCAGGTGTACCAGATCGTCCACATTGTTAAGCGTACATCATGTTCAACTTCCTGTACATACAGTATATGTAGGCCTACATGTACATGTACTTTGTATGCACGTACATGTGGTTTGGAATTTAATTTCAAAACAGTTTATGTTTATGAAAGTGAGAGGTAACTGTACTTTTTATGAATAAAGACTTAAAATGAAGAACAATAACACAATACAAGAACAGAGAAACCGGTCAAGTCGAGTTGGAGGATGCATGCTTTCTGAATTCAATGGATCAACTGATTGACAAGTTGCCTTCAAAAATGCTTGTGCTAATTAGGCAGATAACAATACATTTGCACGCAGCTGGGGCCCCCAAAATGCTCGTCTTAAACGGAATCTCGTAACACGCAAGCTCGTATTATGGATTGTTTTTCCTCCTAGGAATGTGCATAATTCAGTCGGGACCGGCAAATATACTCGTCTTAACCGGAGTCTTGTCTTACTGAAGCTCGTATTACTGAGAGTCGACTGTATCATGAACATTCTAATGAGAAAGTATCATGCAAGAAGGAAACCATACAAATGAGAATGGAAAGTTTTTGTTGGTGCCTTTTTAGTTGGCAATTTGACATTGTTGTACGTATTAGTGCAATGCAGTAAAAGTCAACTTGTACCAAAACGCACTCGTATCCAGGTGTGTGTGTACCTGTACATGTACAGTATGCCATGCCCAAAATCCAGACATCTCATTTTTCACCACTGTCAGACATGTCTGACTCGAAAATTTGAACGCGGAAATTTTAATCCGCATGAAAAACGAACCACATTTCAGACAAATGGCTCTCAATCTTGAAGAAATGAACTGATGGATACAAATGATTCATCAGTCTTCCAGACAGTATCACTGATGACTTGAGGGGAATTCGACAAACGCGTGAAAATTGGGCACTAAGTAAGGTGAAAAACATGGCAAAACGATGAAAATGGGTCCCAACGAAAAAACAATGTGAAGTAAAAAAAAAAGAAAAAAAAGGTTTTTTGCCTACAAGTAATAAACTTGTTTGATCATAAGAGTTACCAGTCTTTCATGTGGCAGCAAAGTTAATCTGAAGGTAAACCCGGCAAAATTGTGAAAATTTGACACAAAGTCAGGTAAAAAAACAATGATTTTTTCATTTAATTATCCTTCGTCGTAAAAGAGACATTTTCCACTTCTTTGATTACTTTTTGGAGATATTTCTTACCAGAAGCTATTAAATATCACCATTTTGATAGATTCTTGGCATTTTATTCACACACAAGGTCTTCAATGAAAATGGCAGGGCAAATCCGTCACATGGGTCACCACCGATATGCGTCATCTGCTGGAATATCAGTTTTCAGACCGACATGTTACTATTGCACATGCAGGAATCCACAAACTAAATGCACGCACAGTCTATGGGTACCAAACATACGTGACGTGCGCAATGCGCACTGCGCATGTGCCATGTACATGTACACATGTATGTGGATAAAACTTGCACGTTTTGAAGCAGTTGTGGGATATCTATGGGTCTCGGAAACTGGAAACATTCACTCGGTATTGCACATGCGTCTGGCAAAGGGAAGTCCTCCATTCAGTGTGTAGATGCACGAGTTACAGCACGTGTTTCGTTCATTTTTTGCAGTAGAAAATGTACATGTACCAGGTCATGTTCCCAGTGTACCAGTGTGCATCGGTAATCTGACTAATGGCCCATTCTTTGGGGCCATATGCTCTGGCAGGTCATGCCATGATAAGTCACATCTGTGAGTACACATACACTGTATGACCAGCAGTAATGTGCATTGATACTGCAAATGGCCGCCGGCGCCAGCATATGGCTTCTACAGGTGACATCAGGCAGTAGAGGTACCCATCAAAACTCAGAGACAGTCCCAAAACTCACAGAAGTCCTTTTTTCAGAGACAAAATCAGTCCCTCAAAAGATCAAATGTCCCTCTAACCGGGGACAATTTTTTTTTTTCAAGTGGGCATGGGGATCCTACCATTGCCCCAGGGATCCTTTTTAATGGCATCATAGGATTCAGCAGAAAAAATCCAAAGCCATTTAAAAAATAACTTCTATCGTTCCATATATTGACACTGCGCACCACACTGACCAATCACAGGCTCCTTATTATTCATGCCCAAATTGAAGGAAGACAAGCAACGGCCTTTGGGTACCAGTGCACGTGAGTGCATTGTCGCACAGTGACCGGTTCCTGTTGAGCAGCTTTGTGCACCCAATGGCTGTCGGTTGTCTTCCTTCAATTTGGACATAAATAATGAGGAGCCCTGTGACTGGTCAGTGTAATTCCCAGTGCACCGCAGCCAACTGCAATTTCAACCAGCACAGCTAAGAATTGCACACAGATGTACAGAAAGCGGCCGCAGCCAATTTCCATGTCTTGTGTATCGATCGCAGCGGTAGACAACAATTCGGTCACAGCTCATCTTCGCAAGTACACATGTGAACCGCGTGACTCTCAGACACTGACAATGACTGAGAAAATGGCATGGTTTTTGCCCTTTCTTTCTTGGTACTCAAAACAAAGATACATGTATGTACATGTAAGCTATCTTACATAAAATTCTTGGGGGAAATTGAAGCAACATTTCTATGGGTACACAACTCGAATGGAATCACTGTTCGTGCCCTGTCAAACATCATGCATAGCCTATGGCGAAAAAAGGCTCTTTTTCTGTGGGGTTCGTGGGAGAGGAGCGGACGTTGGACCCCACAGTTCTGGGGGGCAGCAAAAATTTCAAGGACTTCTACAAATTGGAAATCGCCCAAATTTACAATTTTGGAAAACTTTAGGGTGCTGGTATGAAAGTCCAAACTCTGAGAAATACGCCGGGGTAAGTACAATTGTCGAATCATTCTTATTTCAGAAGATATTGCTAGGATTCGAATTTTGTGAAAATCCTGCAGTTTGGAAGTAGGGCTGTGGTGGCGACAGATAAGAGACAGATTGTAAAAGCGAGCCACAACAGCCCTATTTTGTGGGGATAGGTAAAGACACTAACTTTCGTTTTAGGAACTAGAAATTAATTATGGTAAAATTTGTTTGAACACGTCACAAGTACGGGGGGAACCCCATCACGTCTATTTAGTCAGATCATATTATAAAAAAATATAATATATTATAAACATTGTAGAGCAAATAGTGAGCTTAGCTTTTAAAATCAAAAGCTGATGGACATTTGTGATGGATATGTTTTCGAGTTAATCAAAGGATGGCGAAGATTACGACGGTTCTTAAACATGGACTTACATGACGTTGTAGCAGATGCAGAACCGACGCTGACTGCAACGCAAATCAATCGAGCATATTACGAAACAGCGCCACCAATAGTTGAAACATACTTAACCTCCAGCGCGCGGGCCCCTAGCCCTCGCCTCGATAGAGGTGGGCGGAGCCGGGAATCCTCTCCCCCCCCACACATTTTTCTCTGACGGGATATTTTCCAGTCATTTCTTGCATTCATTTTGACGTCACTTAAAAAAAAATACGTCCTCTTCTTGCTAAATGCCAATTATTCCGAGAGAGGTCAGCACAAAAGATAAACATGTCCTATTTCCGACAGGAAATCTTAACTCCTACTATTGCACGCAGACCAGCACGCTGAAGCCCATGACCAACGAAATGACCACAACACTACAAACTACGTTGAATGGAATTGAACACTTCACATTACCGACATTTTGCAAATGTTTAACGCCACCAGCACTAGCACTTTGTCGACATTTCTGACCCTGGGCCTGTATCGCATTGTCTCATTGGATAATTTGTTTTGTTTGTTTTGCTTTGTTTACTAGGTGGTCAGATTCTAAGGGCCCGAATGATGACTCTCCATCAAGAAGGTTACTCTGAACGTCAAATTAGCAAGAGGATTGGTTGCATAAAGACTGCTGTGCACAATGCCATTTACAAATTTCAAGAAAAAAAAAATTCTGAGCAGACGAGGAGCAGTCGTCAAAAGAAAAAACTACCCCTCATGATGAACACGTAATGTGGAGAACTGTGATGGATCCCTCAAGTTCTTGTCAAAAGATCTAGATAATGTAGCTTTGCATGGACAGGGACATTAATTAATGTCACTGTAAGTACCATCTCTCACCGTGTGAGTACTGAATTTTGGCTCACTGGCAAGTCACACAAACCTCTCCGTTAACCCCTTCTGATGAAAAGGCAATGACGGTGCAGGGGATAAGCTTTGCCAGAAAACATGATTCCTGGATTGCAGAAGACTGATTGAGAATTTGATGCATGCATAGTCGCTATCATGAAACGTCCCAGGTGCCCTGTCCAGGCTGTAATATCTGGTCTGTTTTCCCTACCAACCAATACCACGCTGAATAGTCATAAATATGTCACATTGTGGCAGGATAAACTGAAAAGCTGTATGTTTAACATACAATAGTTACAATAGTTAGTCTAATAGACTAACTATTGATATTATGGAAATGTAGTCAAATAGTACTGGTGTTCAACCAACATACTAAGGTTTCACATTGAAAACGAACAAAAAAATTGCTATGATTGGCCTAAGTTTGGTTTTTCTTCAGGTTGACTTTTCCAAATGACTTGATGTACTCGTGTCATAATGGGTGTCTCCATGTGGACCGAGTATCAAAAAGATAGAGCGTGTGGCAGCTGAATTTGGGGAGGAGGCGTAAAATTTCCCCAGCTTTGAGATGCTCCAATTATTTAAAGCCCCAGCTTTCTAATGGTAAAACTCGGATCTGGGGGGAGAGCATCCCCCCCATTCATTGCCATTTCTAACGGCCTACATCTAAACGTTGCAAGCCCACCCTACTATTCCGAAAGCATAAACTCCGTATGGGTCAGGGCAATAGACAAAGACAAAACAAAGAGATTAAATGTCTTCAACAACAACTTCAAATACATTAACCCCAACACCAAAATAAACCCCCGAAATCCCCCGAGCAAAAATTCCAGGCTTTTTTAAAGAAAGAAATCTGCCCTTTAGAAGCAGGTTACTATTTTTACTAAGGTCAAAGTATTTTTTGGCCAAAACCATTAACACACCGTGAATAGAGCAAATTTCAATAAACTAGGCAGGCATTGGTACATGTCCATGGTAGCTGAAATGTCGATTGTGTTTAAGGTGAATACGGGACCACGGCCAAGTTCACCTGTACTCATCACCGATGATTACCACACTCCAGGGTGTCAGTGGCGGTTTGCCTATCTCTCCCTGGGTGTTCAAGTTTTTGAGGAAAAAAGAAGAGATGAACGAACGAACTACTTTTATATTCAGAGACCATTTTACTCTGTTGATTGCAGCAGATAAAGATTCAAATTGAAAACTTTTTCTACACAAGAAATCAGCGAATTGAAACCATAAAACCGGTTACAGTGCAGGGAAGATCGAAAATGACATATGAATTAAAAGAGTAAAAATATTGTACTAAACTACATGTAGTTACGACAAAATCCCTTTGGACACCGAAAATATCCTGATTTGGAGCAAAAAAAAACAATTGCCAAGATTCTTTGAAGCAAAAGGTGTGCAGAAAACAGACACTTTTTAGCTAAAATGTGGCAAATGTTTTGATGACAAAACGAACTAAATGCAACTTTGATCTCAAATGGGAAAGACAATTTCAAAGTACAACTTTTAAAAGTTTATTTACTTCCCAATGAAAAGTATGAAAATGACTGTCATTAGTTAAACCTCAGCTAAGTTCAATACATTGTACAAGTTTAAAGCGTGCTTCTTGAAGCATTGGATTCTTGTGGCAGAAGAGTGCTTGCACACATGGGTGTCCCCTGGATGTTTCTGTTAACATACACTGTATCTTGAAGCAAATTGGTGATTTCCATCCCCTTTCTTTCCTCCTATTTTTGTCTTTCTTGCTTCCCTCCCCCCCCCATTTCTACCGTCTGCATATGGATGCTCATATTCCATGTCTACACTTACATGTAAAAATCGGACACCAAATTGCATTAAGTTAGAGCAAAACCTTGAACATTTATTGACAACAAAGTCAACTAATTCTTCGCGCCCTTTCAGTCAAAGGATAAACAAGGGGTCCAAAAGTGTGACATTTTTGTGTCCCTGTTACATTTGACCTTTGTTAATTGACATGGAAATATCGCCAGCATTGATTTTAAACTTTTATTATTTGTTTGGCAGGTAATTTGCATTAATTCAGCACTTTTGGAAATTAGAAAATGAGTTCTGAACTTACAAAATCATACGTCAGATGTGACAGAGACACGAAGAAAATGGACCCCTAATTTCCAGAATTATCCATAACACTGTCTCAGTAAAACAGAATGTGTCTGTTTATGATATTTCCATGGCGGCATCCCCTTGTGCATGTGTCTCCTTCTCACTTTCTGTGCCATTTTCCATGCTATCCAGGGTAACCTGATCAATGGCAATGGCAGCCACTGTTTCCTGGTTGATCTCTTCCGTGATGACCACAGATGAACCATTCTGAAAGCAGGACAGCAGTTTTTTGACTGCTTCCATTTGACTGTCGAAGCATTCTGCTGGTGCTTTGGACACGACGGTTGCCAGCTGCTCGGTGATTTCAGACACATGGACATACTTCTCATGGCGGGATAAAAGACCAAGCCGCTGCTTCCGCAGAGTGTCCAAAATGTTGGTGCAGTCAGCGGCCTGGGGTGAAAGCCGGCTAGTGGTCTTGTAGTACTCAAGGGACCATCTGGATCCAATGATTTCCTCTGCAAAAAGAGGAAGGCCCTTGGTGCGTCGGACAGCAAACATGTGACGGCAGGGCAGGCACAGGGAGCACCAAAAGCGGCACGGACAGCGGTCCACGTTCACAGTCAGGGTATTGTGGCTGGACTTGACCATGCTGGAAGTGCTATCGATGTTGGTCTTGACCTTCACCTTCCAGCTGAGCTTCAGCTGTCTCAGGACATACTTGAGCGCCAAGGGGGTTAGGTGCTGCTCAAACTTGTCAACCACTGTACTGCCCGAGTCTGGATTTGGGGCATGCTCCGCCAACAGAGTGGCCACTGACTGGTCTCGCTCTTCACGCAGTGACTCCACAGCCTTCTTCAAGTTGGTCATGACCTGCTCAGGGGTTGGAGAATCCCTGAACACAGACTTCAGCTGCTCACTGACGGCATTCAGCTTGTCCGGGTCCTCCCTCTTCCCCTTCTTGAGGACCAGACTCCGGGACTTAAGGCCCTCCACCCATTCCTCTCGGATGGTGTGCCAGGTGGTGTTATAGTACTCAACTACTGCCCCAAGCTCTGTGTTGAGGAGCTGCTGGTAGTTCTCCATGTATACTTCTTCCGATTTGGAACCTGCCAGCCTCCGCATGAGCTTCAAGCAGAAGGCCTCCTCCTCTTTCTGCAGCCCCAGCCGCTGCTTGGAGGCATCCTGCTCAAACCTCCTGAGCACGTGGGACAGGCACATCTGTACAGAGGCAGCAGGAAACTCTTCGCGCAGCACCCGCCGCTCTGTGACGTCCTTGTCAACCATGATGATCTGGAGGTCACTCCATTCGGGGTTGTGCTCCTTGAAACGCATCATCATGGCCTGCACACTATCCGCATTGGACGTGATCAGGAGGTAGAGAGCTACGACTTCATAGTAGCCGTTGCTGCCCTCATTGAGCATTATGTACATCGGCATCCGAAGACTGTTGTACTTGCAAGTCGCATCAATGACCAGATACTGGGGAAAGGACGCATACACTCGCTTCATCTCTTGGTCCTGGTAGTAAATCCCCACAATCCTCCCGTCCGCTTTTGTCACCACCTCCACAACACTGGTCTGGTCCTCGGCCTGTGACAGGTAATCCAGAATAGCTTGGATGTTGGTGTGGCAGATTGAATTTCGCCGGCTGGCGGCAGCTAGGTTGTGTAGGTCTCGCATGTAGAGCACCTTACCTGCTGTCTCCTGAAGGTGCTTCTGGACGGATTTCTTCCCTTGCTTCTGTGATGAACAATCACAAAAACAGTCAGCATTAACAAAAAGTGTCTTGAACATGCCTGTGTTTGTTCTAATTTTAATGAAAAATAAGCCCTACAAGCAGTAAAAACACCAAGTTATAGCCGACAATTTTCCATTGCAACTTCTTGATATTTGTGCTATGAGTCAACCTGCAGTGCATCATATTTTTTTACTGCTATGATTAAAATTACACTTGTAGAGGAAAACAAGGATCCAAGTGTTATGCAAATCTCAATGTGTCTCTACAAATGAAGTGAAGAGTTTTAAAATTACACTTTCTGTCCAGTAAGTATTCACTTCTTGCATGCAAACATACCTGCACTAAGGCTATCATATACATGTACATGTATATAGTAGATTTCATCACAAATTGAGATATCTTGGTCAAAGTGTACATGTACACCGTGGCTTGACCTTGCACCTAAATCTATGCATGATACATGTACCCCGCTTCTTAGTATGTCAGAACTTTCAAACACTACTTTGTTGTACGAGTCACAAAATGTAATGTAAGAGTAAACTTCAAGTGTTAGTAACAGGCAAGACAGTTTAATGTTTGTCAGTATTAAATAAATCCCAGTACAAGCAATGTTGGTAGATTTTTTTCTTCACAACATCAACACAAGGGTGTAGCAAAGCATTTTCTTTTCTTTTTTGGGGGGGGGATTTGTGTGCCAGAGTCAATTTGCTGACTTGTAGCTTGTTTGCCAAACTTGCGTAGTATAAAATTTACACAGCGCGGAAAGTGGAAATCTGTGGTACATTACATTTTGTACTTCGCAGGAAAGGCCAACGGCCAATGTTTATCGTTTATGTACCAAATTTGGATTCATCTGCTGATCGAAGCTCGATTTGCCAACTGGAATAAATTATCGGGGATTGCCGTACCCCCTCCATCACTATGCCCCTGAATCCACAATATTAACAACATTCCACTTATCCACAAAACAACATTCTGTTTGTTCTTGATACCTTGAGGATTTCAAAGGCTTCTTCCCGCTCCTCGTCAGTCAGTCGCCTCTTCTGGGGGAGGGACCGGAAGCTCACTTCATCATGGGGGTGGCTGTGCTGAGTCACCGCATCAGCCAGGTATAGTTGCTTGCCACTCGGGGTGGCTGAGAACCTGACAGCAAAGACAGAAAAAAATTCAAGGGGATTCTAACTTCAAGTAACTCTAGGAAAGTACTCTCCATCCTTATAATTGATGACCCCCTCCCCCCGACGCAACTTCTGCAGTGGTGCCATGCTCTTTCACTAGTAAGATGCTCAGATTGGCTGATACATACATGCACCTTAAGTTTAAGAGCATGTGCGGGTGTGATGCCACTGTCATGTCATCTCCTTCAATGCATGTAAGTCTACAGTTCCATACTTCAGTTATTCTTGAAGCTTTGACACCTCCTACTGGAATTTTGGATCCATGCGCATATTTGCAAAAGATAATAAAATAAGATGCAGAAAAATACCCAATTAAGTACTGTAAATGCAACGTACAACATTCTCAAATTTAATAGTTTGTAGTATGCGGCGAATATGCAGAGATCTGTGTGGTGTACTACTCTGTGGTCTACAGTCATCTTTCGGCAAGTTCGAGCATTACCATCTGTTGACAACTAGTCACTTTTTCCTGGTAACCCATGCACAAAATACACTCTGGGTACCAGGCAATCAGACAGTAGTTGTCAGATGATCATCACTGGAACTTTTTTTGCACAAAAAGTCCTTCCTGAGGTCGTGCGGAAAGCCAATAGACCACATACAAAAGCTGAAGATGATGCCGTGAGGATTAATCGCAGGAACAAATGACGGACGAATCACATGTGGGTATTCGTAGCCTGGAACACACTTAATGGATTTACAATTTTGATTTACATGCATGTACAATGTGTGCACAAACTGGCTGTTTCTGGATGTCGGAGGAATAAACCTCAGCATTCCTGAAATACTCTAACTGCCATACCTGAATTTGGCTGGGCATCCCATCCTGAGGGTCTTTTGCCTAGGCCGCATTCCCTTGGATGTGCTCTTGTGCTCACCGTGGTGGACACAGGCAAAAACCACTGTGCAGTACTTGAGGGCGTCACTCAGGAAGCGCTTGGGCAGCCGCTTCCGTGAGCCCTCCACCGAGCGGGAGTTCATTATGAAGAACTTCACGAAGTTGATCTCTTCATGTTCCCGGATGAAGTGCTCCACCTCCTCGTAGGAGTCAAACTTCATCCCCACTTGGGGATCGGAGGACGATGGTCTACCAGCAGCCTCTCCTGCGGCAGTAGAGTTCTCTTTGCACAGCTTGCTCGCCATCTCACCTGAATGAAGCCACAACAGTTAACAAAGGACTTTGTACATGTATAACATTGCATAAGTGTGGGTTAGGTGGTGTGTGTACGTGTACATGTAAGTGCATGTAAAGGGTCAAGTGACCAGCACTGGAGCAGAAAGGACACTATCAAAATGGTCACAGTTGGGTCTAAAATTCACTAGTGGACCTATTTTTCCCCTTATTTTGGGAAAAGGAAACATTCAATTCCTTACTATGCCTAAAAATGCACAGTTCTGGTCAGACAACCTGCATCAACCTTTGAAATGTAAATACAGAAAATATGTTTTAAAGTGCTATTGTCAATCAAGTGCAGAGGTATTCTGGCAACAAACTAGTATATAATCATGCATACATGTAACTTAAATGTGTATCTGATGTAGTTGTTCTTACTCGGACTAGGAAATTACAAGTACATGTAAGCCCTAACGATTTTCCACAAGTTAAATTGTCTTTGGGAATGCGTTTCATATACAGACACCAGTAATTATTCCGTACAGTGACGTATTAGAAGAAAGAGAAAGCAAAAGCATGTCCAAAGAAGTTCAAGTTAAGAGGGGAAATACCGAGTTGTTTAGGTCCCTACTTATTAAAACAGAATTTTTCAGACCAGTCACCAAGGGTATATTTTAGCCCCAGGCTGGTGGCCAGTCTACTGGACTCCCTCCTTATCCTTGACCCCACAGTGGTCAATCCAAAAAGTGGAGACTCGGCAAAAAATGCCTTATCTGAAATCCCTCACTCACCCCATGAAACTATTAATGTTTTACTTTTGGCGATTTCCAGTTTGTAGAAATCCATGAAATTTTGGTTTTCCATTTGGGCCATTCTTTCACTACATTGATTAACATTAATCTTCTCAGACAGCATCTCTGTCTTAACCAGACAGCGTTTGAGACAGTGATCTCAACTGCTGTTTTATCAGCAACTTTGTATCACTTGTAATGGAGCCCTGTGTATGCGTGACTGCAATGAATGTGTCAAAAACAACAGCCGTAGGGTATTTTCATGGGTGTGCCTCATCACTGTGCCAGACGAGCGAATGATGTGCACGTCACGCCACGCCACGCTTTGTCTGGCAACGAGTTCACACTCGATCCCAAACATCGTATGTCATGTACGTATTTCGATTTATCACTCATCAAGGTTCTTTGCAATGTCAAGGTCTGGGATGTACATAATAACGCTGTCTGGTTCCTAGACCAAACAGACCCCGACTGTGTTTGGCATTGGTCAACGATCGAGAGTTAATCGCTGTAGCCTGTAGTAAACGAATGGCCCAAATCAAAACCAAAATTTCACGGACTTCTATAAACTGTAAATTGTCCCAAAGTATGCCTAATACTAGACCAGTAAACAGGGCCCAACGAATACTCCTCTATCGTATACTGGGCCCTGTCCCGATTATAGAGATTTCTTTTGAAAACTTTATCTGGGAATTCCAGTGACATAACTAAACATTCGCTTAACTTTAAGCGCTGAAATTGCACCGGTATGTTCACTACTTATGCTGTAAAAATCCACTAGGTTGCTAATTGTAGAAAACTCACCTTTTCCTCAATTGGAGGTAAAAATGTTGCCTAAAAATGGCAAAAAGGCAACATTTTTTCCTCCAAACGAGGAAAAGGCGAGTTTTCTACAATTAGCAACCTAGTGGATTTTTTACAGCATAAGTAGTGAATATACCGGTGCAATCTCAGCTCCTAAAATTAAGCGGATGTTTAGTTATGCCCCCAAATGTCCCAGATAAAGTTTTCGAAAGAAATCCCTATTAATAGGGACAGGGCCCAGTATACGGCGAAGGAGTATTCATTAGGCCCTGTTTATGGGTCTATGTACATGTATGTACATCGATGGTTTGAAGGGGTGAATGATCCATACATGCAAAAGAGATTTCATAGAAGGCATTTTTGCAGAGTCTCGCTTTTTGGATTGACCGCTGTCATGGCTGTGGTATGGGGCGGGCCGGGCCAAGGATACAGATGGATTCAGACTGGCCCCCGGTCTGAGGCATATGCAGCCAGAAATGAGACGGCCGAATCCACAAGGTCTTCCTTGTAGCACCGCTACACGGCTGCAGAACTGAGCATGTGCATTAACGAGCAGAAGTTCACAGGTACGCTATGAAAGCATCACATATCCGCGTATGCTTAGAACAGAACAGAACTGACTCACGTGTAGCACTGTGTCACAGCGGGTTTGTGCACAAGTCTATGGTGTAGCACTTTTTTGCTACACGCCGCGGCCCCTTCCTTTTTCATTTTCCCGTGTAGCACTGTGTAGCACTTAGTTTGTGCACAAGTCTATGGTGTAGCACTTTTTTGCTACACGCCGCGGCCCCTTACTTTTCTTGCGCCTTCATCTTGCACTGTGTAGCATTAGTGTGCACTTGAAGGTCTGGTTCTTAGACCATCCAATCGGCTGTGCCTATATCCTATAGCATATCACCTGACTAAAAATTCTGTGTAGCATGTAGCACTGCTACACACACAGGTTCTGTCTTCTTCGGTCTCATTTCTGGCTGGGTATAGTCTGGGGCTAGGGGCCTAAGTTTATTTACTATAGCCTATGCACGGGACGTCAAATGCTAGTGGCAGTGGCATGGCGTCCGCATATGAAACTCTTTCCGTCTTTTTTTCTCTGCAAACACTAAATTAGGACAATACTTACACTTTCTGCACACCCTTGGATCTGGAAACAGGTCTACGTGTGAGCAGGGTGGCATAAAGCATTTCAACACAAAAGCCGAGTCGACTTGGGTACAATCTTAGCCGTAACCTCGGCTGAGCCGCGCACTTTCAGAATTTGCATAGCGCCACCACGAGGCATTCAAATGCTGGATGGAGGAGCCAGACAGGTCAATTGACGTAGGCCTACCATAAAGTTTTGGGCTTTCACTGCCTCGTCGAAAAATAACTGTTTCTTCAAAGAAACTGTGCTGAAAGTCTCTCAAATTTTTTGAGCTTGAATTCAAATATATAAGAAATACAAAGGCGGATTAAGAACTAAGTTTTGGCTCGGGGAGGGAATTTGGCCATTTTTATGGCCTGTCTGAGAGTCAAGACTGCATATTTTGTGGGTTCTTACGCACAAATTCAAATTTATTCAAATGTGAATAAACTATGAAATCGCACATTTCCACACATTTGTTTTTATTTCAGTTCAATAAATTAATGCCAGCAAAAGGTTGAAGTTGTTAGTTATATGGACACAGATTTCATAATACGTGCATACAGTGTAACAAAATATGCCTTAATCTTAAACAATGCATCTTAAAAATTCTTACGGTAGTCATTATTTTGTTTTCTGCCCCCCCACCACCACCCTCTAGATGAATTCTGAAAAATTACTTCTCTGTTAAACCAATCACCATTTTCCACAAAGGGTACAACATCACAGTAGCCAAGGAAGCCTGAATATTTCAAGGATAATGGCTTTATGTGGTTTTTCACATAGGCCTAGCATGTAAATATTCCATTTAACAGTATACAGTCCAACACATGCATGTCCACAAAGTATAATTGACGAAAAAAAAATCGTTGACAAGCAAGTACTTGGTTTAAATTCCCCGTGGAATAATTCTTCACACAGGCAAGCTGTCACTTTGAAGAAAGCAATGAAACTGATACTTTAAGAAACACAAGGTGGCAGTCCTACTTGTAGATTTCATCCTCAGTATTTACAAATTACTTGGTCCACGTGCCATGAAATGCTCTTATACACGTAGCAGAGAATTCGAACAGCCAACAGATCGGTCAGCGTACGCAAAAATTTGGACCTATTTATTGGCCTGCAACCATAGGGCAGAACTTGCACACGAGTCTGAATGACCTTCGATGCACTTCATATTGAGCATGCGCAGTCGGAATACGAACACTGGTTTCGGAACAAGATCGCACGTCACCTCCTCGTCAGAGTTTTACACTAACACACGCTAAAACGCCCGGGATTTGATCTTTGAACAGCCAACAAAGCCAGAAACGATAGAAAAGTTTAATATTTAAGGTTTAAACATAATTTTCCATAACACGGAAACGAATTTCCTTTTTAAAAAAGAAAGCGTGCAGCCCTGGAAATCCGAACAAGTATTTCTAGGACGGAAGAATGTACATTTCCTGTTGCTTTACACCAACTACTAGCGATATGAAAATAACAGACTGCTCACTGAGTAGGTGGCAATCTTTATTGCACAGATGTGATTTAGAGCATCGAGGATCATTGGACATAGCGATAGTGTGGCATTAAGTAAAAAGCTGGAGATGGTGGGAAGCAAACAGAGAGGAAGAATTTCTCGTTTAGGTGTTGTGAAAGAGGTTTTGGGGACTCTTCTTTCCTTTCTTGAAATTTCTGAGCGAGCACTTACGACGATAGTAAAAACACCTTTTTCAGTTTCACACACGATGCTACTGGGAAAGTAATAACAACAAGACTGCATTATTATGCTCACGGGAGTTGAGAGGAGACGGAGGCAAAGGGAAAGGGGAGGGGCAAAAAGGGGTGCCAGATTTCCGGGGGGGGTTACCCCTCTGGCCCCATGGTTACGTAGCCAGGTTCTTCTCAAAGGGAACAGAGGCAACAGTTCCGGGGGAATTTTTCACCCTCCCTCAGCTTTGCCACTATATACAAGTATGCCGATAAGTGCTTTGCCCAAGAACGCAATGCGCCTCGATTACTGATTAATGAATGCCAATTGGCACCCACAGAACTCCATCAAATATCCCTGGAGAGATATCATTTTGAACTTCAACGTGCATCCATAACAACTTCGGTACAAGGGTGATATACACCAGGGCGTAACTTGGTTGAAGTTGGTTTGGGGGTAGGGTTCACCTGGCATGCGTATCCAGTGTAGGAAGCACAGAAGCTGTTGCTCCCCTGGAGACAAGATTCAATTTGGTGCAGCGCTTGAACGTGGCAGCATTTTAGAAACAGTACCCCCACCTTCCTGACGGAACGTGTTAGTTCGGAGAAGCGTTTTTGGAAAAATAATATCCTATCTCCCGCCAGAGCCAAAACTGAAATTAGGCTAAGCAAGTGGCATCCGTGACGGATTTTTTTCCAGAGGACCGTAAAAGCAAATGCAATGGGTGTATAGGTTGGGTACATTTGAGAAATTCTCATGCATCCAGGGGCAGGACCTTCGGAGAGGGGTATCGCAAGACCTTAAACGGGGAGTACATATAATTGTGTAGTTGTTTATTAAATTGTAATTCAAGGCCGGCATGGGCTCAGCATGCCTGAAGCAGAAAGCGGGGGGGAGATCATTGGTTTGTTTCTAAAGCTGTCTCCTCAAATTTCGTTTCCAGAGTTTCATTCAAATTCTCATATTTTTGTCAACAGCAAATTACTTACGAAATTGAATCGCCTTTCGATGTTTCTTTCTGAAATTGTGGATCAGTTTTGAAACGAAACATTTTTTCTTTATTTTGTATGATTTATTTCATTTCTTTCACTACTCTATTTTACTTAAATCATTTCCAAACCCCGTCGTCACTGATGTACAACACTCCAAAACACTACAAGCAAAGTCTAGAAATAATTTCGACATCATATATGTATGTATAATGTCAATATGTGGTAACTATAAATGGTGTGCACTTAGTTAAGATGTTTTGTTAATGTACAGGAGCAATCGTAAGCAACGATCGACTGCACAATGCGTACACAAATTGGTCCTTTGTCTGTATTATTGTGACTGCACTAACAACATGCCAAAATGTCAACCCCCATCTCCTCTTAAGAACAGACTCTTCTCATTTAGCTTTAAAACAAATATGGAGTGCAGTTTCGTTCCATGTTCTAGGAATTCCAGTGTAAACACGTGGACAAGACTTAAGTGCGAGAAAGAGGTAAGGTGAATTGAAACCAATTTTAATGTTTCCAGTTGCCGTTTCCAACGTAAAGGGAACAACTTTCATAATTATTGTTCTTCTCGTCATTCTGTCTTTAGAACACGTTTTTATTTTTGTGCATTTAGTGACTTTTCATTGAACATTGTCAGCCAATGAGTTCAGTTCATGCGCTTTCACCCCAAAACCGCTCCTTCTCATTGCAAACTGAAGGTGACTTCAATATTCTTCCTGCCGAGGTTAGGATAATTATGCGGTGTTTTTCCAAGCATGTTCCTCGTTTTGCAAGTAAAAGTCAAAGTCCTTACGTGTTTTGAAGTCTGTTTCATCAGCCCCCCTATAGACGAGTGGATTTATTCTTGACTGCAAACTTGAAAATGCATCAGCCCTTAGACAAGTGGCTTCATTCTGTGGCATTTGTCTGCAAACTTGAAAATTCACGTAAACGATCCAGCTGAGGTGGACGTAAGAAAGAAAACAGTAATTTCATTTAACCGACGTTACAGTGGTTTACAAGTCAAAGTAAAAACAGTTGTTGGTTGCCTTGAAGTCGTAGGAGTCAGCTCCAAGACGTGTGACTTGATTGAGTTGACACTGCCTCTCTGCTTTGCTGATCTGCCACAAATTGAAGGAGCGGCATCGGGGAGTGGCCCGGCACGCCAAGCCACAGGCAAGCAGGCTCTCCACCGGGACATTCTTGATGTTGTGATGGTGGAGGCATTGCTGGGGGACACGCCCATCAGTACCAGTGAAGGTGTGGTAGATTGGTACTGTGGAGGTCTTCATCTCGCAGGCAGCCGATCTGTTGTTTTTGCTACTGCAAGGTATATCATCGGACCACTTTCCTTTCGCAAAAACCGTCAGTCTGGCGCAGTTGTAGTCACTGCTGTTTCTGAATTTCCTGCTATTCCAGTTAGTGTACCGTGCTGGCTGACCCCCGCACAGCCAGGTTCCCTCTTGGGCTGCGTCAGTACAACCAATCCACAGACCACCGGCCCCGACTGGCCCTTTAACTATAGACTGCCAGAGGAAGAAGTTTTCCTCCTCTGAGTCGGGCACGGTCAAGCTGCTTCCCGGCCGGTTACAAGCCTCCGAGGCCTGAAACCAATTCATCTTGTCGGGGAGTCGGTAGTAGCAAGACTGCTGCCAGTTCAGCCAACCGGATGGGCAGGAGGTGTATTGGGCCAGAGCGACGCTGCTTGTCGCAAAGACCAAAAAGAGAACTCGAAGGGTCGTTCCTTGTAACCACTGCATGCTGCAACGAAGAAACAAAGTAATTCTGTGGAAGCAGTATATCTTGTGCCGAGCAGCACCCTAGTGCATCATAGAAAAACGCGTCTGTGCGTCCCGACCACCAACATCGATATGCCTCCTCTCTTTTGTTTCACGTCTATGCGTCTTGCAGTATGGGAGGTGCAGTACCTCAACCACACCATCCTAAACCATACGCAAATTCATTGGCAACTTGCCCGTCCTTTGTTGAGCCCTCTCGTTTTGAGGAAGTAGCATCCGCAACAGATTTAACTGAAATCCCACGGTGTTTGTGCTCAGGAAAGTCTCATCGGGGACTGTCAACTTTAGACACAAAAAGTGGTTGTTATGGTGATGAGATATTTCTACTCTCGACTGATCTCTTGTTCCTTTCGTACTTTCAACTTCTCAATTTCGGAAGAATTGCAGATCGACGAAGTAGTGCATAGCCTATGAAATACCGTCCATTTCATCAAGCTAAATTTTTTGCTTGATTTTAATGAGTAGTTTTGGACGTCGTCTTCCAACCACCATCTACGTATTTTATGTGCTGTATTTTGTGCCGAGCAGCACCTCAGTGCATCATACAAAAACACGTCTTGGCCACCAAAATACTAAAGCCGATCCAGGTCTGCCTTGGCAATCGTCTACACGAGGCTAATTTATGCGACAGAACGGCTGGTCACGTGTGCGTGCATTGGCATTACATGGCATTGTACATGCAGGGGATTACATTCAAATAATGTAATCCCGGTCAATGCGCTGTGCATATGTACGTTTTCTTAGGATGTGAGGATTACAAATACACCTTAGTTTAAAAAGTGTACTTTTTTGTGAACTCAATATGATATTGTCTTTGTCTTTCATTATTGAAGCACTGAATTATTGCGCCCGCACGGGCATACGATCAAGTGGGAATTCAGTGGTGTATAAACGCGTCCAGTCGGCTAGAGAAAAAAGTCTTGGGGAGAAACCGTCGACGAATCAGAAACCTTCATGCCCCTCGTCACCATTGTCTTCTTTGAAAAGGTCCAGAAAACTTTGAATCCATTATTTCCAGCTATCAAATTCGTGTCAAATCGAAAACAAACCTCTGTCCGGGCAAACACTACCTTTGAGCTAAAGAGCCATATTTTTTTTGCAGTGCATGACTATGTCTCAATTTTTGCAGAAGCAGACCCAACCCCGTCGTGTAGACATAATTTGGCTTCTATGCTTAGCCCTAGAAATGCAAAACTACATATTATTCAAGATTAAAATAATAAAGAAGTACCGATAGGGGGTCTAAATTAAAAGAATAAAATGTGCTAGGTCGGTATTAAACACTCGTTTAAGAAACAAAATTATTATTTAACCCCAAATTTTCCTGAACTTCAAAACCCACAACTTTCGGGGGAACAATTTAGCTTCATTAATTAAAAAAAATTAAGAAATTTGTGAAGTCACTCCACTTCCCGTGTGTGCGTGTGCAGTACAGTGTAACGTGAATGTCCTTAATAAGGGGCCACTTTGTTGCGGTTGTTGGTGGTTAATCGTCCGTTTAAGAACGGGCAAGTGACGAGCTCTCGACCAATAGTAATAGCTAAACTGTTCGAGGTATTTTTTCATGGTATTAATAGCAACACCACTGCCCCTTCTTTACGTATGTCAGTAACAGAAACAAACATGCGCAGTTGAATTAGCGGCTGAAAATAAATTGCAGGTGAAAGAACATGCGCTATTTGTGCGCCACATTGGTGGTGCTGTATTATTACACTACTTAGTAACCATCGCAACGAACACGCAGTGGGGTAATTCCTCAAAAGAACACAGTCTCTTTTCATTATCATTATGTCTGTTTTATTATTGAGTCATGAATGATGAAAAACGTAAGATGGAACAACGTTTGGTGTTTTTCGTACGTTGTTCCCAACTGCCTTATACTATTAATCTCATCCGGACGCTAAAAATAACATCGGTACTATTGTTATTGTCCCACTATACCAAAAAAGAGAAGACAGACAGGTTTATAAAAGTTCACCATTGTAATAAATTTAGAGTCAAACCCTAACTGAAATTTACCTCGAAGAATACAGGAACATGTCGGCATTGTAAGTTTGCGACTGGTAGAGTAGACGATACAAGATGTTTAGAGAATCGGTTTATGGAAGCTTTCATAATTGGTAACAATTGACCAAAAATGTCAGAACACTCTGACAGAGGCTTGATCCTAACAGAAAATCCTCCGATTTCAATATAATTTTAAACAGTCTAGGGGGTAAGGGGTACAAAAGGTGTGTTGAAGGATCAGAGTGCAAAGTTGCGCTGGAGGGAGCCAGTCCTGCTGTCACGGATCCATAATATATACAGAGGCTTTGCGTGGTAGGCAGCTCTTTTGTTCCACAGGGAAACCTCCTTTGTGCACACCCCATGGAATAAAAGAACTGGACTGCAAGATGGCGGCCATGCAAACCTTCTACATGCTGTTAATCGGCCATGGGGCAAAATAGACGATCGAGATCCATCCTGGGTGGACGCACAAAGCGCGTGACAGAAAAACTACACCGGGTCGACATAATTCTAAGATGCGACATGTCACGTGACAGCATACGGGCGTTGCCCGTTTTCTTGGACTGGGCTTTCCCCTCTCCCATACATGCGTAGTGCTGTACTTCCTGTGTCAAATAAGAAAACGTGGAATGCAGCATGTGTTTAACAAACAACACTTCAAAATGAAATAAACAGCATGCAGTTTTCGGCACCCGTGTTGCCATATTGAGTCTACATCACGCAAAATTTGGAAAACAGTATTATGTTCCCATGGCGCCACGAAGGGACGCCATGCGCATATGACAAAAGGAGGGACGAGAGCAAAAAAGGTGAAAATTCACCAGTTTCCTTGAAAACAACTCAGGATTGCTCCCCAATTGTTGATGCTTTGCTGGCCTGTCAAGCTGTTAAATTCGTGTGCTTTGCTCTTTCACATTAATTGGGATGAATAACGCGATTCCCTCTCATTGAATGATTAATGTGTGCCGGGTGGGAGATGTAGAAATCCATTTAATCACCCTTAACTCATCTAAAACAGCTTTAGTGTAACAGGTTCATCTTAAACAGCCTCAGTACCTATTTCTGACCAGAAGAACCCCGGGCAGTGGAAATGTTTCAGGTCGGTTTATATTTAAAAACGAGAGTAGCAAAGAAAAGATGGTAACAAAATGAGAACAACAAACACCTGCGAGATTGCTGGCATTGTTTTCGAATTGATAAACAGAATATAAACACAATAACCCAAACAAAATGAGTTGAGACTCAAGTCCTCACACATGCTTCAGTTAAAAGGTTCGCAGCCGACGTTCAACACGAACAATTAGCATTGGTGTATACAACAACACAAAGCACAACGCAACAGCTTTTAGTACGGTTTGTCGCTGCGTTGAGAACTTAGCTAAACAAGAAGAAAAACGTACGTATCATCATCTTTAATGGATATTCATAGGCCGTTTTAACGGCAAAGATTGTGACGAAACCGGTCTCCTCTTAGGCAAAACATTTTGAAGTGGAAGTTGTAGGGCCTCTGTATCAGTTAATGTCGTTTTCATAACTTCTCTGCAAGAGAAACCTATATACTAATCCGAGAAGACGCCATACTGCGGTGGCGTCGCGCTCACATCCACATTACTGATCTTGAGACGCGCGCGCTTTTGGCAAATCGCGACACCCTATCAGTCAATGTGGCGTGTCACGCGCGCGTGCTACCTATTTACGCACGTTGTGCCACCGCAATAATGGCTTCTAATTCTGTTCTCGAATTACACTTTAGGTATAAACACGTTCTCTTTTCCTGAAGAGGGGAAACAACCTACACATCTTAGAAATGACGCACAGGTGTCTATGTTATGATGAAAAATAAACCACGCTGTCCTTTCAAGGTAGCGTCACCATGGAAACAATCCTCGCCATATCATCACTGAATAGTCACATTACAGTAATAATCGAAGACCACAAAATACAGTCAGTATCGTTGCCATCGTTACGATTATCTAAATATTTTTCAACAAACTCCCCAACGTATAATTAATTCAGTGTTTTTAAAGAAGTACATGTAATTTAGAATAAAGAACGCATGCTCAAGTAATGTTTAGAGTGTGAGTCGGCGTGGGGCCGCCCTGCAGTGTAGGAGTGCGCTGCGCTGTTTGAATCATCGTCATCATTCCCCTTGTTTCCCATAGGTACTGCTGTTATTAATACAGTAGGCCTAATCGTCGATTTTCTTCGGTCAAACGCTCACATAAAATGCAATATCTTGCAAATCCATTCACCGATTTCAGCCAGCCGCAGTCTCACGTGTAGTGACCAGCATGTTTGGCCAGTGGTCACCTCGTGGTCACTAGTGGTCATTTTCTTCAAAATTACCAATTCCTTCTTCTTCCACAATATGTTAGTCCAATTATTGTCAAACTTGGCCAATGATATCTCTGGACCTAGTGTCATAAACGTGTTCGTAGAATTTGGCCATTGGTCACCTTGTGGTCCGCAGTGGTCTTTTGCGTTAAAAATACAAAATAACTTTTCTTACCCCAGTTATGACTCAATCAATCTCAAATTAGGGAAGTTAGGGGCCTACATCTTTGCATGAAACACCATGTAGGTGTTAACAGAATTTGGCCGTTGGTCACCTAATGATCAGTGGGGTAATTTTTTTTTCAAAACTTTCTTTCTATTGGTTATCCAAATGTAAACCTTGATCGTTTTCGTCTCAGCAGCAAGCATTATGTACGGTTTACACAGAAATCGGGCAGTGGCCACACGGTTGTCCGCGGAGATAACTCAATTTCGATCAAACATATTAATGTAGGCCAACGAAATTCAGCCGAGAGCCGTGATGCACATGTCCGTAGCCTCAATGTACACGTTTTGTAAAGTCCACACAGCAAAGCACATCGCACTAACAGGCGCTGGCCCACGTGTGTTCACCCAAGCGGTCACCCACAGCGACGACACATAATGCGATGAACCACTTTTCTGGTAATGCATTTATGATCCCCGCGTATTCTGTAGCTACCGCGGGGGCCGACGACTGACGGGCTGTTAAGTATGTAGGGGAAAATGTGGCATCTGAAGCGCTGACAAGGGGAAGTGGTGCCTGCTTGTGACGGCGAGACAGAAGAATCTAACCTGAAACGACAACCATGCCCCTGAATGATTGCGCCTAAACGCGTAAATCTGGGTTCAGTGAAAATGGAAGCTGTGGTCGCATCTTGACTGGATGTGATTGACTATTTGTCCTTTTAATCGAGTGTTCACTGGAGGATGTACATTTTGTGCGGGACGTGCATCAAAACCTTCAAACAGGCATTTGACGCCTGCTTACCTGAGCGCAAGAAAAAAAGGCGCGTTCGCGTTCACGTAATACGTTCATCTAAACCTCTCTAACTGTCTGTGTTTGTTTACTTGTGCTTTTAAAATACGTTCACTTTTTGCTCTTCGGTACTGCTATTTCTTCTTCTGAAATGTTGTAACTGCAACAGTTTGACTATAAACTGGGCCAGTTTAGGTAAATGGGGGGGGGGTTCACAATCAAACAGCAAACTATGAACATATTGGTATCGATCCACGGACGAATTGTCGGGCCGAACACCACAAAGAAAGAAAAGTATCACTTTATCCCACTCGCAACTAAACAAACCCAACATATCACGGAAGCACGCCTTAAAAAAACTAATTACTTTAATTAAAAACAAGCCAGTTTCCATGTAATCGTCTTTTTTGCCCATTCACTTTCAAGCCAACCGCGACTGCTGTACACCGGTAACGGTCTACTTTCCCGCGCTTTTGAAACCAAAGTCTGTGCGTATACTGCCGCAAGAGTGGGTCACCACAGGCATTTGCATTCGTTTTGAGCTGCTTGGATGCAGACGACTTTGAAAGTCACCTTGGTATCACCAGAATGATGGGTTTGAGCAGAGTGAGGTTTAAGTTGAAAGAAGCTGTGTGTTGCCCATTGGCAATGGCGTCAGTGTTATAATCCACTTGCTATAGAGGGTTCGCATGACTGCCATCTTGCAGGTCAGTACTTTCAGAGGTTTCCCTGTGGAACAAAAGAACTGCCTCTGTAGGCACTCAACTATCAGGGCTGATTTACACAGACAAGTGATCCGCTGTCTGCCACGAGCAAACGCACCCCATCATCAGTTGAAAAGAGCTGTATTGGTATTTTTTGGTAGCAGTGCGACTGCAACGCTTGCGTTTTTTAGTCGTTTGTGAATCAGTGATGCGCAGTTAGTACCAAAGGAGCCGCCATTGCTAGGAAAACAGCGCCCTCTCGTGGTCCAGCACGAGGCCCATAGCGGGTCATATTATTGTAAGCTGCGAGGGACTGGACACTAAAGGCAGCAATATAGTCAGCAAGTTATTGATTTTCCATAGTGACAATAGCGCCCCACATGAAGACAATTGCACCATCTCTGGAGAAAAAAAATCAATCAGGTCTCTAAACCTGCAATATCCGCGGTTAGTCCACTTTAAGGGCAATATACAAGCCACTGTGTTTATCTGTGTAAATCAGCCCTTTAATAGTCATAATGTAGTTTTGTCTCAAAGGGGAGTGTTGCTTCCCCGTTTATTGTTAAATCCCTTCCATCCCCTGCCAATAGCATTAATTTCAGACAATATAAAGAGCCCCTCCTCACCTTTAAGGTGTTATTTTTTTATGCATTGCAGTTATTCGTGCGAAAGAAAAAAAAATAAATGAAACAAAAATTAAACGGTAGACACTAAAAGAAAAGAAAATGTCGAGGATTTCTTTTCTGGACATAACTTTCGGAAGTTGTTAACCACAACAAAAACACAAAATGAAGAGAGTGCACTATTTGTATGACTAGCTATAAAATTTATTTACAACTAAAATAATATTTGCACTCTTGATTACTCTCCAGAGTTACGATAATAAATTCTACCAACAACTCAATTATAATCAAGCACACAAGTTATGAGAATTCCTTTCGAGGATGTCCTTGATGTACGTATGAAGGCGATGAATGGTTTGCTGGAGTCAGAATTGTCCTGGCCCGGATAGGGACGCACGAAGCTCACTGCAGAGTGTGACCATCTCACTGGCCCGACGTGTCTGAACAGTAGTGACTCTCATCTGTCCTCATTGGAATAATTATAGAGTCCGGCCCGTATCTGTCCGCCGGTACGGCACCCACAGTAAAACCATGTTGTCTTGAGTAAACCCGGGTCTTGAAATCTGGGGGTTCAGCAAATGGTTCTAGGGTCGTATTTCTGGCGTACAGATGTGCCTGGACGTATCAGCATTTTCTGACGACGTTTACACACAAACTTGTAAGAATGACTATTGACAACCCTTCAGTTCAAGGCAGCTTCCAAATCTCAAGACATGTTTTCCAAAATCGGCAAGGCTGGAAGAGCTTGCCCCGTCCCTGGGCAATCTTAACCGGAAGTGTCTCACAACCAGAAACTATTTTCCTCAAATGATGTAATTTTTACTTTTATAATTCTTCCTTGCTTCACATTATAGTTCTTGTTGTCCTACCTACAGAATTATTTAAAGTGAAGAAACAAAGACTGTGCAGCATGGAATGCTGTTATTCTTTCTCAGTGCAATACAATTCCTGTAAAATGGTCAAAACGCTCACACCCTTTAAGAGCGGTCTTTGTAGGCATATATATTTGTCCACTCTGGGCTGTCACTTCGATTAGAGAGTTTATACGAGCATTGATCGGCATCAAGGCCATCAGAGCACTTCACTAAATGAGGTATTGACACTGCCAACTGCCCGAAGTTGATATCGATAGTGTACGGCATTTCATGGTCGTGGGCGAGGGAATTTTCCATGCTTTGGTAAGTTTTTGGATGGCAGCTGCATCAGTTGCCCTTGTCCACACTATATTGCAATCTCATTTATTCCCCATTAACGCAGATGAACCAAGGAACTGCTTGCGTGCGTTTTCTGTGCAGTATTTTAGGCCAATCGATGCCCACTGCAAACGTTATTATGCGTGCACCGATGAGAATAGTTCCGCATGTCACTCTGTGAGCACTTGAAGAATTTAACTGGTTTAACGTCTCGTTAACTTGTTCAATATCCATTCATCGTTTTTTTAGTGGGGGCACCAGGAGGGGGGGGGGCACCTTCCCCAAGCAACCCTCCTCCCGTGGCTACGCCACTGAGTCGGTAGCGCTTGTCGTAATGACTCTGTTGCAGCAGCCTTGAGGCAACATCAAGCTAGCGACAGGCAACCTTGGAACTGATACTGCGTGGAAGCTACACTTTGTCAATGCCACTCGTTTCATAAAAGCATCCACTTCAATAATTTAACATCAATGATAACGGTGCAGGAATCAGTGGTAGGTTGACACTGTACGAACATCATGCAATGTGCACTGATTGGGGACGAGTGACTCTTCTTGCTTTTCAGTCGGATGATGCTGCTTCGTGCCATAATGACTGACAATACTAAGCCCCAAGTGACATTCTGCTTTGTTTTAGTGATTTTAATGAGTTCTCAGCCCATCGAAGGAGCCAAATGCCCACCTGGCTGGCTGGAATGGCGCCAGTCCTGTTATCTTTTACTACCGGACAAAATGAATTGGTATGAGGCCATGGAGGCCTGTGACCGGCCGGGATTAAGCGGCCTTGCTGCGCCCAACTCACCGGACGAGAATGATTTTATCTGGCACTCCATTGTTAAAAACACTGACGGTTTGTGGATTGCCTGTACCGATGTAGTCCAAGAAGGGGTCTGGGTGTGCGGAGGCCAGCCCTTGACTTTTAGCAGTTGGTTTGGGGGCAACCCGAGGAATGACACCCATCTGAACTGCGCCCGGGTGACGGTTTACGGCGCACCCGCTCGGGGCCTGTGGGCCGACGATGTTGCTTGTGGTAGCGCCAACCGCAAACAGGCTGCCTGCGAAATGACGGTCGCTGCGGTACAAATCTACCACACCTACACCGGTCCCGATGGGCGTGTTCCCCAGGAATGCCTCCACCATCACGACATCAAGAACGTCACGGTGGAGAGCCTCCTTACCTGTGGCTGGGCGTGCCGGGCTGATCCCCGATGCCGCTCCTTCAATCTGTGGCTCATCACCAAAGGAAAGATATGCCAACTCAATGACATTACACGTCTTGGAGCTGACGGCGCCGACTTCAAGGCAACCAACAACTGCTTCTACTTCAATTTGTAAAAAGAAGAAGCTAGCATGTCAGGGTAATTACTGTCATCTCGCTGAGTCTTCACATGCAGCTAACAAGGCAAGTTTCATTTGAAATCGGTCGGCAGAAGGCTTTCACCTGAATTTTCAGCTGTGCAGAAAAAACTGTTGCCACCCATGTGCGTTCGTATTGAACAAGACAGAACTCACACTCTCCTTTGTACAAAGACGTTTTGATGTATATAACATCCACAGACTGTCCACAGATCTTGATTTGTTTGGTTACCCAAGAGATTCAGGGGTGTGAGTAGCCACTTAAAATCAAAGCTGAAAACAGCTAGCAAAAAGCTGAAATGTGAAAGGTTCCCATTGTTTTGTGCATACCTGGTGTACAAAAACCGAAATTCAGGGTCAACATCTCAACAAAAAAGCTGAAGTCAGCTAGAAAGTTGAATTCTCACACTCCTGGAGATTTTACCAAATGAAGGTAAAGATATTCTAATCGAGGGTTTCAATTCAGTAAATATCTGCTGATACTCGATACAATTATCTATAGTAATAGCTTTCAAGGAGATCGATCTGTAAACTGTTTGCAGTAGTGTGGCACTTGTCTAATAGACATGGAAAAGCACAATAAAATATGTTTCACGGGATTTTAAAACTTTGAAATGAACCTATTCTTTTAGTACCAATTCTTGATCGTAGTAAAAGTAGCACATTTACCACAAACAGAGGCTTCAAATTTACAGGCAGATTATTATGAATAAGAATGCAGCTCTACCAAGGGAATCTGCTTGCAGACCTTTCAAGTTTCGCACTTTAATTAAAGGAATTCTGGAAACGTTTTCGTTATAAGGCAAAATGTGGTATTTTACTGGGCAAAACCAAGATACCGCAGACAGGTCTTTTCATCGAGTTCGAAAAATGTCTGGCTCTGAGGGAAAAAAACCACTTGATTGTTATGTCTGTGACTTGAACGCGATTTAATAGGCGAGATTATGGTGACTTGACAAACAGTTTTCGCTTATTTGGTTGTTTGGTTTTGCTTCATTCTGTTTTGTTTTTTACGTCTTCGATGATGGTCAACTGTTTTGGGATGCAATGAACAACAACCATCTAGCTGCAATTTCTCTTGGCGATTCAAGATGACTTTAGGTTTTAGAGGATACATGAGATGGCTTTTATTTCTGAGATGAATTTCATACTCTGCTTCAATGTATGAGAACTGTTTGACCTCCTTCTGGTGGTAATAATATCATTTACATGTCTTTGTTTTTTTATAAATTCTGAAGTTGAGGGCGGTATTGCTGTGATGTCATTCGGGGGGAACACTGTTCAGTTTTGAAGTTTTGTGTTTTTGTTGAAGTTGTCGCTCACTGGCTTATTGCTATGTACTTACACAACAATAAACACAACAATGAATGAATCACCCCAAAAGGGGACAGCAAAATAGTAAAATTTTCAGTTGCTTTGGTAAACGTTTTGGACATACCCTTTTCTCCCACAGTAGCATCACAGTTTTGCTCATGACTATGGAAATTTGCATTGGTATAAAAACCACAAAGGTGCCCAAATACCTTTTAAAATAGCACACTACAATCACACATAATTAATGTTACTTAAAACATAAAGGTGTCTTTTTTGGATCAAAGTAGAATGATGCACTGTATTGAGCTTGCATTGTAAAATTAGTGTTATAGCCACTGCCAATGTACCCTGTGTATTAGATTATTTTACAGTTAACTACAGTACGCCATCAGGCTGGCAACATTTGCCTCGTCTAAAGATTAAAATAAATAAAAAAAAAATTAACTCGTCCAGATCAGATTGGGAACTAAACTAGTTTCCAGACCATAACCACATCAGCCAGGGATGTGGGCCTGGGATGTGTTGGCCATGGCCGGGGACACACAGCTGACAGCCGGCGTGGACCCCAGCAGGTAGTTCAACAGGTAGGCCGTGGCCGAGCCTGTCGTCAGGCCGACATTGTAAGAGAGCGTCATTATATTGCCTGTAGAGAGGGAGAGCGCAAAGGGGGAGATTGACAACGGATAATTATTCCTCTAAAAACCTTTGTGATTCTAACCATCAAAACCAACCATCCGGCATCCCAGGCGTGACATTAATTTCCACGGAATACGTACGTATGCACGTACAGGCACTGGTTCACACCCGGTCCGGTTCTACGGGATCGAAACCAAGGGCGTGGCTAAATTAATCCTTTATAGGAGTGTGACCGTGATATTTACACTGTCGATTGAGATCCCGCTGGGCAAAGGTGGCCTAGCAAACAAGCACAGGAAATCACCGCAGTCATTCATTTTGCATCTGTAACAAAGAGTTTTCGCAGTCAAGTCGGCATGTTCATTTCGTTTGCGGTAATTGCCAAATAGAAACGCACTGTGAATTACTTTCTATAAGTCACTAAATTATTTGCAATTTGGCAGGACAGCGGCTGAGATTTCTCCCGCAGGCGGGCGAAGTAATTTACAAGAATAATTCAGTAGGACTGCCTGAAGCTTCGAAATCAAACTGCCATGAGATGTTATGAAAATATCAAGGTGATGCCTAAATCTTCAACCCCCTGGGGGATTCAACGTGCACTCAAAATACGCCCTAGGATTTGCATTACTTGAATAGTTCATGAATCCGTTTTTCGCTTTCCATTCGTGACTCAGTTCTTTCCTATAGGGCCTACTGGCCAAACACTCTGCCAGGCTGACATATGCACACATGCCGTCTTCAGAACAGACACATTACATGAACAGCAGGCGGCACGTGACAATTTGGAGCATTCTCTCCATGCTCCAACAGTTAGGCTACATACATACTGTCCTTCGAGGCCTGTCCTCAGAATGTGCCTCGCAGGATTAAGAATGGTCGACGACGTTATTTGTCTCTGCACTTGAATAGTAAGAACTGTACCTCGAAACAACTGGGTAAAGTCAGGAATTTTGGCTTTCCAAGTTTTTTTTGGGGGGGGGCGGGGGTCACGGGGTGGAAGTACTCCTCAACTTCGCTGCAATTTTTATTCTACCTTTTCACGACCGTCGCGCCAACGGTGCCTGACCTCAGCCATTCACTGCGCAAACCTGAGGTGAACGCCGAATATAGAATATGAAACCTACATTTTCCCATTCGCTGTACAAAATGTCCAACATCCAGCTGAAGTGTGACCCGATTATTTGTGGTACAAATGTAGACTTTGTGGATGTGAAATGTCTGCCATCCAACTAACTTCACCGTTTTTGTAAAATAACTGGCGCCAAATATTCGCATAGAGGGCGCTATGGCCAATCTTTGGTTTCTGTTCCAACTACGAATGGAATGATTTATAACTACAACAACCATGCAGTTGATGTGGCAACTCTGGATAGTCCCTACAACTATTTTTTTCCAAATCTCTGCTTCACCATTACCAGAAATTCATAAAATCCCCATTCCGAAAGGTGGCGCTGTGTACGTAGTTACGCCCACGCGTAGTATATGAAATATATACTACGTAGCTAACTGGGCGTGAACTAGCTGGGCGGCCTTGCTACATGAGGAACATGCATCTGCTTTAAAGCCCGACTGTAGTAGCAACATGGTTAACGTTTAGTCAAACAGTTCAATTGAATTTGGAATTCTCAAAGCAACACAAACCATATACATGCACAAAAATCCAGCCCTCTGTGATACTCTAAATGGCACTCACACACGTATGAGTACATAGGGTCTACACATAGTCCGTTAACACAGTCAACAATATGCGCATTGCCACTGATGCATAAGGGTCTGTGAACTTCGTCGCCATCTGAAAATCTTTAAGCTCTATGCAAATTTTGAAACACAGCACTCAATTGACAGTATTTGCAAATTTTACAGCTCGACGGCTATTTCCACGAGAACTGACCTTGAAACTCAGCCAGTTGTTCAGTCATTGTCCTGAGATGAACATATTATTGCCCCTACAGTGAAATTTTCGTAAGCAATACCGGTACAATTGTTTTTTGTCAACATTTCTGGCAAAACTGGCAAATAAACTCATGGACTGATCTTTCATGCAGGCTTTTTGTAATTTACTTCTTTTTAACGTATACAAGAATATGACTTCATATAACTCTGTACAAACTTTATGGAACCCCGCTGTCGTGAGTTGGGCATGCCAAGCTGCAGACGTTTCACATTTCTGGCAATATATTCATCCATGACTTCGTCTCTTGTGAGGAAAACGCTTGCAGGCTTATGAAGTCGAGGCCTTAACAAGTTTCTTCACAAGTCCCTTCACAAGTCCGGTCACGAGTACTTTCGCAAAACCAGTGGTGAAGTGGCATTGTAACAGCTTATGCCTTAAGACAAGGTGGCTTGTGGTGGACGTGTGATGGACTCAAGAGGACTTGTCATGGGCTCAACTACACACAACTGTGGTGCCAGGATTCTGTCGTTGGGACCTAATGAAACGAGGCGTCCAACATCAGCGTGTTTACTTCGACCCCAATTCAATTGAGGTATATATCTTAACTTGGTATAAGTGATCAATTAAATGGAAGCCATTACCTGCCAACTCTTTCTTGCTTTCGCTGACCCTGGCCGGAGCCATGATCATGGGCACGCTGCCAAAGTACCCGTTGGTGATGCCCAGGAGCCCCGAGAAGACCATCGACCAGGCTTCGTGGGACAAGATCGGCCGGTTCCGGGGTGCCACACACAGGACCATGAGCGGAATGATGACCAAGCGAAGGGCCTCGGCGAGGACCAGTTTACGGGTGGACCACTCATACGGGATAGCACCGATTATCTAGACCGTGAAAGAGTCAGGCAAACGAACATTTTCTTGAAATGAAAAAGGGCTTAAAAATAGAAGAGAACTACCAAGGCCTTGGAAGGAAATGATCTTATTCGCCGGTTAACTTTGATAAAACATGATCAACTTTTGAAATTCCCACAGCGTGTAGGCAGTATGTGGGCTGACTATAAAAATACAGAGGAAAAATATCAACCCAATTTGCAATTACAACGTACAATGTACGAAGAATGACCGAATTCGAGGATCTGGGACTAACACTTTGTGTTTCAGGCCGGGTTGGATGAAAGGAAACAATAACTGGACACCGTGGTAATTTCAGTTACCTTTCAGAACTGTCATAAGAAGGGCCTTTGCCCAGTGGCTGACCTAATGGGGGCTCAGCCCAACCATTTAAAAAAAAAATTCATTACTTTTTTACATCTGAAACAGGAAAAGCTACTATACACCTACATCTTTGACCTTTTTTTTGGGGGGGGGGGGTAAATTTTGGTCCAAGCCCCACCTACGATAAAACCTGGGTGCGCCAATACCAATGTACTTCGCTGTTTCTTCACTTTATACACAGTGACATTTGATTGTGGTTCATTCCTCTGCACTCGTTTTTAAAGATAAGATGCATTCAGTGACGCTATCAACCATCCAGGTTGCTCTTTAGGCATAGATGGAATCCAAAATTCATATAGCAAAACACAACCGAAACTCCGTTCCAAAGTGATACTGAACTTAAAAAAATTCTTGTATAGAGCTATACCTCTCTTCATCGGCTCGACAGTCAATCTTACAAACTTTTCACGTTCTCGCTGTTTAAGTAATACCTTTCCGCAAAAGTCGGTTGCATTGAAGATGGCCATCAGAATGACGGGCATCCAGCCTCTGAGATCGCAACTAACAACCTCAGACTCGATCCCCGGAAAGAGGCACAGGGTTACGAAGTACGCCAGACCAATGGAAAGCATGTGGGGCCACAGCGTACGGGCTATTTCGCGTCTCATCGCCAGGCCTCCTGTATTGTGTAATATGAACAAAAAATGCTTTGACTCCATTAAACTAAACGGGGGAAAGATATTAGCGTGTACGCAGCGAAGCGAGACGCAGCCTGGATGATGGCACCCACAGGGAATTTCTATCGAGCTGGATGAGGCTGGCGTGAACTTACCACTGAGATCTCGGGGTCATGGCAGCACACCATACTGAACAGGCCAGCATTTACTCACTTGTTCCCGATACCCACAAAGGTGTCATCTAAAACTACCATGAGGCAAAGATCAGAACCTCTGCGTTCAACCTTGAACTCAAATCACTTTTCTCCAGCACTCAGGGCCGCGCATGATTCGCATGTGAAGGGACCAACCTCAGGTCTGCCAACAAGGTAAAAATAGAAACTGTCCAGTACTGAAGACCAAATGTGAGGCCTGTTGCTTTCCACGACCAGTGCTCTGAATTTCTTGCACCGAACGTTTTGAGTCTGGTAAGTTTAGAGACGAGTCCTACAAGTCTCGGTGAAGTTATGATCAAAGCAAGGGCAAGGAAGCCTCGTAAGGTGACTAAAATAAAATGTCACCACAAAATGACCATAAAGGCATGGCTATTACATGTAAGTTAGTGATTTCAAAACGTAATAAAATGTTTTCTTGGTATACTTTCTGCTACAGGTGGCCTTTGTATTTGTCACACCTACACATCAATCGTCCGCAACTGGCGATGTGTGTCGTTAAACATATCTACATACATGTATATATGTGTAATGAATTCAGTCCAGTAACAGGTCTTAGTAACAGTATAACTGGTGTAAAAGTTTTGCCCCTTTTTTGAAAGGAAAAAAAAATGTATGACTGAGTTTCTGCTTACTTTTCAAAGCGCGCGCTTTGCATAGAAACCGGTCGTAAGCTTTCACCTCGGGAAACTCTATCTCAAAGCTGGTCTCCTCACCAAAGAAACCGCGTGGTGGCGCCCTACCGTTCGTATGTGTGGTCTGGCTTTGGTTGCAACCGTCAGTGGGCGACGGAAGATATTCTTGGGTAAATTCTGCCGATGCCTCGTTCTCGTTAGAAAGCTATGGAAAGGATGGGGAAAAACTTGGGTTGTAAAGACACTGTCAACTTATGTCAAGGGCTGCTACTTATTGTGGCTCAAATCGAATGATTCAGATTCTAACACTTGTAATTGTCTTGGTCGGGTGGGCTTTTATTTAAACTGAAATGTCCTTTTTCGTATTTCTTTAACTACTCTGTCTGTTAATTAACACGGCATTATAAGCATTCTGGCATAGCCTTCAGGCAATCTGCGTGCTGTATGTGTGTGGAGACTGCCTTACATATTAATAGTCTAAAGGGGCGAATCTTACCTCCACTGGTGTTTCGCATGAGTAGAAAGTTCATTGAGAGTTGCAGAAGCAGATTTGCAGTGCAATGGTGAGCGAGGCTGAACTTAACAGGAAATAAGTGGGGCGGGGCTAGAGGCCTAATAGGATTAAGCATAGGGCACTGGAAGAGCCACGACCCTTGACTCCACCTCTGAAAGAGGATGGGGTTGATAGGCCTGGGCTGGGCAGATGGCTGGGAGGAAAGGGGTTAGCACGGGGCAAGGGATCAACAGGGGAGCGTACTTGATTGTAACGGTTCACCCAGCGCGCCTGGTCTTCGACGCTTTCCTCCCGGCGCGAGCAGGCCGTCATATAATATCTCACGAAGTCCGTCCGCCGGGCCAAGTGATGGGTCAGCAGGCAGACCAGCACCATGGCAGCAGACATTACGAAGAAGGTCAGGGTGTTGATCTTCTCGTCGTGCACCAGGAGCTTGGTGATGATGCGGTTGAGGGAGGTGAGGAGACCCGCCGCACCTGCGAATATACGGAAACCGGACCTGATTTACACGATGCCACGGTTACATCACGGTGCATGATAATATACGAGGTACCGCCGGCTGTCAGGACCGAAGAAACCCCTTATCAAGTTCTATTCGCTCGTCATTGTTTCCAGGAGGTGGACCTATGGGCCCCGAGCGAACGAGAGGGCGCAATTTTCATAGCAACAGAGTCTCCTTTGGTAGGAAATAAGAACTGCGACGTGTTTTCGCAAAATACATGCAAAGTAGGGGTGTAGGGATGTCAACCTTTCTCCGTAGTGGACTGTGAAAGAGGGCGCGCATGATAATTAATGGTTAAGCCACTGATCTCCAGTATAAATCAACGGGCATCAACGGGATAGCCTGCCTCTTGGTACATGTTACTTTTATCAACAGTTCCAAGTTGGGGACTTGGCCATGTAGAATTAAAGGCCGTCAGTGCATTTACCAAACAAATTCTTTTCAATCGGGTTTAATTATAACCATTATTAACAAATACCTGAGACATTTACCCATTGCTGTTAATCAAAACCGTATCATGTGACCGGTCTTAAACGATTGATAAAGCACAAGCCTTCGACTCCGGTTATTATCAGCTTCCAAAATCCAGGCCGGTCTCAAACGTACTGGCCAAGTAAGTATTTGGTTCCTTACAACATGAAAAAAATTACTAAGTTGTTGGACCGTTTTCCAGAAAGAAATTCAAGAGGACACGCAACAACAAAAATGAAAAATTATATTAAAACTACAAAACAACACGAGCTTGAGAGAGTGTGAATTTTATACCAAGGAGCTACTTAGAGAAAATATAATGAGCGTACTTTCCCCAGTCATGACGGCCTGTGTGAATCGCCTCGGTAACATCCCGGCGTAGCCATAGAAACTGGACTGCTGCACTGGAAGAAAGAGGACAGGTATCGTCAACAAGACGTTACAAAATACAACATTCTAGGTTGCACAAGAAGACAAAGTCTTCAAAACCACAAACTGTTTTCAACATGCTGGAAACAAACGTAGAAATCTGTGTTTCTAATCACAATGACAGGACGTACTTGTTGATTTTAATAACGTCTGTTTTTAGTCAGTGGTTAGTGCTCGCCGATATGAGCCTTCAATTAAGATACGACAGTATTGGACAGGATGATAAGGTCAGCTAACGGAAAAGCCGAGTGTCAAAATCAAAGATGCTTGCTGTGATTGTCCTAACCGATATGTGGTACATAATCTACGCATATTCCTCGACTAGTTGCACAATTTTGTTTATAACATATTAGGTGATCATGAGGTGATCACCAAGAGCGATCCATTTTACCTAACAGCCAAATTTTAACCAAAGGCAACAAACGCTAATGAAGAACATCAATTGCTTCATGTGTGTAATTGCTGACCGAGTGGGCATGGCTTCACTGGCTGCGCGTTTGATACTTGCGATTTTACTCTCTCACAAGGCCCGTTTTTAATTTCCATACGGCCAACGATAATGTCTGGAAAGCAATTATAACGAAACAAACCATGTTGGAAACGGTATACGGGTAATGACGCCACGGTGTTGTAGGCACAGCCTGGGCAGGACTTGTTGATCTAGCTCCACATTGTGTACACTGTAACAAGAGTGTATCGCTGCGGGGGTAAAGCCCGACGTATACTCCCGCTGGCAATCAAAATTGCTTCGGATTTTATTGCCCCATCGAGAGCGTTTTGGCGAGGAAAGAAAATGCACGATTTCCGGAGGGCGTTGTGATCGTTGTCTGCTTGACGTACCATGAATGCAGTAAAAACTGACATGTTATTATACCCAGAAAATCTGATTCAATAACTTGTCGAGACGGGATGTTATCAAATTATACGCGATCGTGTGACGATGAGGGTTAGTTTCAGACAAGATTGTATGAGCCCTACAGATAACATCAACAGCTAGGTAGGGTATCATGAACGAAGTGCTCCGGTGGGGGGGAAATAATTAATTTTGGTGTCATATTGTGAATGAAAAACAAAAGGTTTCGTCTTGAAATTACTATTTCCAAGAGTGTAACTGAGTATTTATCTCGTAAAGAATATGTAAACCTCCATCTTTGAAATCTGTACCACCACACACTGGTATATAGAAAGAATAAATCTACAAAATAAAAAGTGAATTTCGTTCAAAATCAACAGATTTACAGAATTGAGGGTACAGCGTATATACATATTTGAATTTTAACCTAATTTGTTTTCTCTCCACGAAATGCAACTTTGAAATTTTGCTCCGGAAATTCCATGTCAATCTTGCTTGTAAACCTATTCAATGTGAGAAAAAACTGCTATGTTAATACCAATACAGTCCTACTCAAGGCCCGTTCATACATAGCGCAAAAGTGAATACAAACTTGGATTTGTGACGTCAGATCAATTATTCGCATAGCAAATTCGTAAAAGTTGAACACATTTCAACCCAAGCGAAATTTTGCTTCACAGTCGGATTCGCGTTCAGTATGAACCAGCCTTAACACAGCAAGCAGTGTGCCTGTCCCAGAAAAAACCGCTCATTCCACTAGAATGATGATCGAAACCATTTACACGACTCGGTTTTGTAATCACGGGCTTTGTGGACGTGGATGCAAGCACGTTCTCCCAGAATCGAGCGGCCGCAAAATTAATGTTTAATCCGGAACGCAGATAAAAACACAGCGAAATCAAAGGAGTGCAGACGCCAGGCGATATGTGTACATACGGAACAATGCGCAGTTATCAAGACGGATCACACGGTATAGGCCCCTCCCCTTTCCCGCTATCTAAGTTCTCCAAACCTACTCTGACATGGGCAACACGATCAAACCCCTAGATAAGGTGATCAATATAAGGGCCTATACTCCAAAAGTAATGCAAAGCATTTTTCAAATTGTTTGTCATTTCATCGATGAATTGTCAGAAAACCACACCTCAATATCACGCCTGGAGAAAGTTCTGCGGAAAATGATTTTTCTTGTCCCCGATTTTTGGACTAAACGAAGCTGAAGAGACTGCTTTTATAACTTTGATGCTCAAATGTGACCTCCCTTAAATGTGATTAAGGGAGGTCGTTAAAATCAAATCAGTTTGAGTGCGGACAACATGTTTGGATTTTGTACAGGGTCAATGCTTCTTCGCGCCAGACACACAAGTCATCTAAAAAGCGGCGCAGAGGGCGGTATCAAATTTTCCAATAAAGACTCGGACAAACATTAAACAGAGAAACAAATCATAACTGATTTCATAGCGATCATTGACTATATAAGGATTCATTGAATGTACTGATACTGGCAAACCTTCAGCTGAACCTAAAGTTGTACTCCATGCAGTTTTCATTGACTGCAAAGTCAGCTTCGAGCTACGTTGAGTGGAACCACAAGGCACCACTGATTAGCCCCTCACCACCACTGAGATTTTCAAATCAGTGAAATGTCCGGGTAATTAAGTCCGCTGCCGACGATTCATTTCAGATGGATTCACGTCTGGATCGTGCGTGGCCCGTATTGAATGCCACTTTGGGACCCGATCAGGTGTCCCACAGAGAGACCCTTCGACACAAAAACATTTTGCCCCAGGGAGGCCATTTGACAGAGAAGAGTTTTCTCTGCCGACCACTGCATCAGTAAAACCAGACCAGAGGTGAACCTTGGAGGACTGATGGGTTATTGGTAGGTCTTTGCCTTAAAAATCTGATTTTTTTATCCGCGGGCAAATGCAGAAAAGCAGATGAGATAACATGCATAATAAACCGACTGACTGCGGAATGGCAGCGCGCACTCTGTGTATTTAATTAAAGTAGTTCGGATATTAGATGTCACAGAAGACGAGTGACCTTTAGGGTTGATATTTCTCTGTGGGATCTCTGTATTCTGTACGTCATGTAACTAAAAACGCATGCAGATCCAAACAACTGAAGCCCCAGGCTAGAAACGGTGAATTCCACATCTCGCGTGCTGCAGGAGACCCGAGGTATAGGCCCGTGTAGGACTACCATAAGCCACATTGCACATTAATGCTTAACACCCCCCCCCCAATTTCCTGCGCCGAATCAGCTCTGCTTATTTTTGTGTGAGGTGTGTTGTTCTTACAGGCCACTGTACAGAGAATAGCACCTCTTCCTCAACAATACGGGCACCAACCACTTCGCGATTGATGAAACCGTAGCTGGCAAAGGCCCCTATCCTTTCCCGGCGAGTCTATACGGACCATGTTCTCTTACCTCAGTTTCCCAGCGCCAGCCAATCAGGCGACACAGGAAATAGAACCCAGGCGAACAAATCGATATTGGCTCAGACACCACAGCAACCGAGATCCGTTGCCCCTCGCATACGCAGCCGCTTACATTTCCCCGAGTAACTTCTTTTTTTTGGGGGGGGGGCGATTTCTCAACATGTGCTTGCCTGGAGCGGTATTAATTTTGTAAAGCCCCTCCATTCCCTCCCCTGTGTAAAAATGCCAAAGAATAAAAAAAAATCTGGGCCGGATTCAATGATTAGACAAGACGGGCAACCTTTCCGGAGCAAGGCTGTGTGGGAGCAAACAGATTCAGCTGGTTTGGAGCGGGGAATTGTAATTAGCTACTGTAGGTGGTGCAGGGATCCTCGCCGGGAAAAAAATGCAATGCTTCACTGCGAAAGGAACGACGCTGTCGCTAAATGACTCGTCACGATTTATGAGGACAATCGGCAGACGGTTCAACTTATTGCGAACGTAATTATGACTATAAGAGTCAGCCATTTTAAATCATTGATTGTCACACGACCGTTATACGACAAGGAACTGAAGAAGAACAAGATGACCCACAAACTTCAATATGCCATTAGACGTATAATATTGAAACAGACACTTCTATACTTTTCAATCTTTGGACCAAAGAAGTTGATATACTCTGAATCAGGGAAGGGAAAAGCTTTGTAATTCCTGTCAAAACCGGGCATCATTCATTCAGAGCACCAGGAGGTATACCCTGCTCCCCACACGTAATGCAACTAACGGGGTTCATTCCCCGGATGCTGTCCGTACTTACTTATTACACAGATTCAGATACATTGGATCGTTAAGGTGGCACCAAAGCACCGAACCGGTTCTTTCATACAGATTTTGGTTTATGGGCCATGACCTCAGCGCACATCTTGTGAAATGCCAACCCTGTATTTAGGCCACGACATTTACAGAGGGAGCTCGACCGTAATGCTTGCCGGCCTTTCTAAAGTTAACTCAAACACAGCTTTTCGGTGCAGTAGCATACCTGTGCATCCGAGGGAAACCATGGCAACGGCAGCAAGGATGACAAAATAGCCAGTCCCTGGGGAAAACACCTCCAATCCAACCTCGAAAATCGCGACCAGGGAGAGCGCCACGAAGGCTACGACGTATCCAAAGGTCACCTGAAGAATGAACAAATTGGCATCCGAATTAAAATTTAAGAAGACAGGGAAGAAACATTCGAACAAGTCATAAATAAGACTATGCAGGCTCAACTGTGACTCGTTTAAAGTTCATTTTGGCGTCATGCATCTGGACTTCAGAGTGTGCACAAAATGTACAAATATCTCTGTATATAGTCGCACTCGAAAATCTGTCCAACGAGACAAATTTGTGGCAAAAATCAACTCTGATATAAGAAAAAGTTAACACTGCCTGTCTCTTTTCAACGAGTAAATGCGCCTATAGTGTTATTAGGAAACAAGCTGTATTGAAAGCCATTCTAATAACAACGCTCTTGGAGAGGTGGTGTACGCGCGTTACGTGTCTCTTCGACAAACACAGGTGTCATGATCTGCCCAAAATGCTAGCCGGGGTCAAGCGAAGGGGCACGTGGGCGAGTGCAGCGCCACCGCAGTCACGGCATCTCCTCGGATTAGGACAGACTAGTGTGGTTCCCTACCCAAGGATTCCCCGTCGACTCTTGATAAAAAATCTTAGGTCAGGCATCATCCACAGATATAAAAAGATATGGCGCAAGGGTCAGGGGTCACAAGTTGAGAGCCTGGGTGTTTTTGATTTCATCACAGTGGTGCACCCTCTATGCGTGGGCATTTAGTCGCCGTCGTGTCCTGATTCTTCCTAGATTCCCCTCAAGGGAGATTACCGAGGAGACCTTCGATTTCAATGTAAAGTAAAATAATGTAGGATCAACAGCTGCCACTAGGATAGATACGGGCATGACGGGAGTTTACCGAACATCAACGGTACCATCCGAACATGCCGAATATAGACGGGACGACTTCGGAATATTTTGGATATTTCCGGAAAACTGGAGGAATTCCTCCCGTCTTGGTCAAGTCAGAATCATCGCGTCTGGCCTCCAGACTAAGGACAGACTTCCAAGTTTTAGGTGGCAGCCGACATGTTTTTCTAAACATTTTAATGTCTCATGAGTAAATGTCTCTAATCTTGTTGATCTTCCAGATTTCTCTACTCTGCATGAGGATTCTGGGAACATTGGGAAACCATGCATGGATGCATATCGCGTAAGATGAAAAAGAAATACGTCCAGGGAAGCATATCACTCATTGTAATGTCAAGGACATTTGTTGTGGCGTTAAGACAATGAAACGTACCCGGACATGCAGTGAGAAACTTTCCACCAGTGCGTTGTTCAAAAACACCGCCACGAACGCTACCACGATGTAGGTAAGGCTCATGTCGAACACGATGGTACTCCGAGGGTACTTGTCCAGGAAGTAATCCACGGCGGTGATGAAACTGTTGTAGGGCAGCAGGAACCCTATACCGGCCAGCAACAGGGAGGCATAAATGACGTTGCAGCGGTCTCGCGGATGGACCACGCGGATGGACGAGGCCGTCATCGGGTCGCCACTGCCGCTGTCGTCCGAGGAGTTATCGGTGCGGCGGGTAGACGACGCAGCGTCGTCCCGGACATCGTAGTGGCGGAACGGGCGAGATTCCATGTTGTCTGGTGCAATCAGCCCCGCCGTGTCGCGACTGTTGATGAAGACGTCGTCGAGTTGCGACATGCTGGATGGCGGCATGCAGAAGGCACTATCTTTCAATTTTATTAAAGTGATCCTGTAATTTCAAGGAAGTACTTAGTCATTGATTTCCCTTTAACGAAGCTGTAATAATTCCTTCAGTACTGAATTGCAGGTTGTCCTTTTTTGTAGAACCTGCTGGAGAAAAGATGCATGTTAATCAAACAGAGACATGACGACATGGCAATTTCATTTGAATATGATGGTATAGACTTACAAAATCAACCATGATTCATCGTTTGTACTGTGTTCCATGAGGCACACTGACCTCAAAAGAGCGGAGTCCCCCCTTAATTTTTGACCCGTTGTCGGCACCAAACATATTAATTTTTTCCACGGCCAGCACGAATGAATTTTAAGTGTCTTGTACATGTCTTGATATAATACTTTGTATAAAATTCGATATAATTATAGAGTTTCGAATAATATGGATTTCACTGACCAGACAATGGAAAATACGTCTCGTTTACACATTCAACATCATATTCACACATTTACAAATGCTCCCAATAAGTTTTACTTAAGTTGTGCAATATTAACATGGATGTCTGATTCAAGGAACATAACCGAATATGATTATGTTTATTACCTGGCCAATATTGGCTACAACTCCCACCCTTCCCATGTAAAAAGGGTCTTCGTAAAGACATGCTCCTTTAGGCTTGACGGCAAACAGCCACACAGCGCGTACGACAAACAGGTACGGCGTGACAAAGATTGCGGGAAGCGATGATTCAAGGATGGCGAGAAAGATTGGCGCATAATACACCAGCACATAATAGCAAGCTACAAGGCCTATCATATTTGACAAATCATTCATTCACAATTGTATCTAATCCTTCTGCAAGTAGTGTCAAAGTTGCATGTCAGTGGTGCGTTGAGAACGGTCTGTAGGCAGCGATGCAAATGAAGCGCCTATGATAATTGGGCTCTAAAGGACGTTTGTTAGTCTCCTCGACCTGGCACTGGCCAGGAATGTAAGTACCGATCAGATAGGATGATTCCAATCAAGTGTCACCTAAAGGTGACAGGAATGGATCAGAATTTACATTTTATTACCACGTGCCTGTTGGCGAACAAAAATGCACCCGCATTGTATGCCCTTCTCAGACGAGGACTTGCGCTGAGTCACACACAGTCGTTTGGTGCATTGCTTATCACAACCCATAAATATCACAAATCCCACAGAAGTGGATCCAGACGACACAAATCCCACAGAAGTGGATCAAGGAGAGGGGCAAGGAGATTTCTTTCACCATTTTCCTTTTAATCCGAGTTTGCCTTTCTTTTACTCGGGAAGAAATTCTAATCGAACGACCTTGGGTAATTATTACAGAACATGAAGATATTCAGTCGATGCCTTATGTGTCCCAATCACGGGGACAGGATGGTACGCGCTGAAATTGAAATGGTTTCCACAATGGAAATAACGAACTACCTAATACCTCCTACCAAAAAGTACTGGCTTTTTCGTAAACATAGTCTTTTGGTGAACAGAGACCTATCGAGCATCATTGTTTTCTTTTGGTAAAGATTTGTAGTTTGAAATACCCCACCTTATCCTTTGCTGTGCCTTCCTCAGTTCATCCTAACCAAAAACAAAACAAAACAAAACATTACAAAACAAAGCTTACCTTTGATGACATCAAGCTATGAGTTCATCACTCTATACGCTGACATGCCTTTGGGGCTGTGAACCGTACACCTTCAATTCTTGTCCATGAATTAACCAGATATTAATCATGCAGACGTAATTGGAGGTTACGGGCCTTGTGTGAGTACATCTAAGCGAATTGCAATCACTGTGTGGAGTCTAATGGAGTGCCGAGGAGAAACCAGCAACGGCCGACTGGCCATGCGGTGTCATCTTTGGCAAGGCCTCGTCATCAGCGTGCGCTGGACACGTTGCCCGGTCAGTTATCGCACCCGAAGAACTGCAAGCATCTCATCAGCCACTTGCTGCACTCCGTAAATTATACACCAAGTTAAGTGTGTTGGCTCCCACCAAATAATTTGTTAATGGGTCCATCATATTCCATTCCGTCTGACAATCTATTTAGACGCTGGATCAATGATGCTGAATAAAAGGCAGCGGGACACGTCCTATAACATCCGTCTTGGTGTCAAACGGCGTGCCTCAAGTGCCAATCCTGGTTGGTTACCTTGAAGCACCACTTCGGCTTGATAGCATCTGCATGCATTAATAATGTGGGATGCTCCGGGATGATGTCTTCATTGGTGTCTGTGAGTCCGAGACTCTAAGGCTATCACACTGACATGTAGCTTTGAAGCTCCAGTAGATCCTCCCCGCCAAATGTCTTCTGTGAGGTTAATACGGTGATATCGATGACGTCACGTCACCAGCTGCTGGCCAATACGCGGATAAAGGAAGATGAAAAAAAAGATGAAAGGGCGTTTGCCTACGCACATCTTCGACGGCTGTTGCATGCGTGAAGGGAACAGCTGAACTCGAACTGTCTTCTCATAATGTAGCGTGATCATTACCAGCGAACACAAAAAAGCAGTGAGGACAAGATAATTTCCTGACAGATTCTCGGCGAAGGAAGTTGGAATCGATTCCAGCGTCGGGGCAATCTCCACCATGGCACGATCTGGCGATCGAATGCAACCACTGAAACAGTGAAAAAACAGACGGACGATAACGAACCCTGAGCAGCCGCTTCATTAATTACTGCAAGCGCCCTCATTGTAAAAATTAATCTTGATGATGTCCACATTTTGAGCAACGTTCACTGACGGTCAACGGCATATTATATGCATGACTTGTTATCTTCGCCCTCGTTTGGAATTTGCGACACCATTGATACATGCTTCAGGATTAAGAATGAATTTTATCAAATAACATTTGAAAGGTGCAACATTAGAAAGAAAAAGTCTTTTCAGTGTCGAGGTAGATATGCATTTGCACAACTGCATCAGAACCCCTGTAATGACCCTGAAAGTGTCACCTATAACTTTGACAAAGAAGTTACAATTCCCGGTGAAGGTGTGTTTCTTCTTTGAAGTTTGTGACTCAGATTTTCTCTGCATAACTCTTTGCAATTCACTTCTCGAGAAAAGGATAACTCGCAGTAAAAGATACAAAAACAAAATTAAGCTTTATCGAAAGAAGATAAATATTGCCTTTCTATGGAATCTGAATGCAGCAGGCGTGATCGCGAGATATTATGAAGTTAATGCATTCAATTTTTTCACTCGCAGTTGTTCAAATAAAACGCCCCGGGCCAGAGGGAATCATCGACAATTGTCTAATATTTCTGCAGACAGGTCACGGAAGCCAGCTTAGATTTCTCAACCACTGGCATAATTTGCAGTCTCCACAGGCGGTAGGGTTGAGTGTCCCGTTGATCTTGAGGCGTGAAAAACTCGTTTCGTATTCATGGATTAACAGCTTGCAGTTTGACACAATAATTGAATGACAAGCTAACCCATGCGGTTGATGACAAGTTCATTGAATTTTATTTTAATCCGCGAAAGTTTACATTTTAAAAATGGACTAGCAGCGTAGCAAAGGAAAAGGTATGTACTCAAACTTGCTAAACATCAGATTTTCGTTTTTGTCAACTTTGAACAAAATAACAGTGACAGCAATCCACTCCCGGGCTAAGCTATATAGGATCATTTCACATTTGTTTAACACAAAAGAGCTGGGCGGGTTGGAATCTGCCCTCCCCACTCAACCTTTGTTCCGATATCACTGCGTAAATTTTCAGGAGTTGAGCCTTTATGAGTTTTTAGAGTAGCCCTTTATGGTCACTTTGACACCAATTTTGCGAAAATCGAATATACCGTTGTTTGCCTGAGGCGGGTCAGCCAAAACTATGTACTTTTTTCATTGCAGTGCTCAATACACACGGGCTGCCACCCATGTAGCCTTGAACCTCAAAAGACCGTTACAACAAAACTATACGTCTGATTGAGTTCAAACTTCGTGTTTGTAATGATAATTAGTGCCTTTAAATACATGCCAAACTTTAAAAAAAATCGAGCAAGCACAGCCAAGTTGGAAGGAGGGAAGGAATCCGCCCCACCTCCGACAGTGAGATGGGCCAAAATACCCCGGCTTTTTAACTGGTTAAGTATACTTAAAGTGTAGCTGTAAGGAAATATTCTTACAACTATTCTGCACTTTATACCCTTCTGCAATGCATAAAAGAACTATCTGCAACCCTCCGCATAGAAAAGTGTATTTTAATCAGTCAAAATTATCCATGTTTTCCTGGATAACTGAAGGCGCTCTTGCTGTGATGTCATCCACAGAAAACAGGCTTCAGTGCATGGTTTTTTTTTCTATTCAAATTGTGAATTCAGAATTAACTCAATGAAAACAATTTTGGGTTCCAAGGAAGGGTTGCTTCCTTGCTAATTGCTATGCACTTGCCCAAAATTAATCACCAGAGAAGAGAAAATCTAGGCCAGCAAAACAAAATACAAGACTTTTTTGTGCACATACCATAGTAACATTGAAATTTTCGTCCAAGTCTTGTCGACATCAAGTAAAAAGTAAAAGAGGGTTTAGGATCAACTTCTGTTCTGAAAATATTGATTTAAAACTAGGAGTGAACACATTTTACACAGCAAAGACATCTTGGCTAAACGCCGTTTGACAACTACCGGTATTTTAGTACAAGGAAAAAACAGTTGAAAGTACTTCCTACAATGCATGACTTTCTTTCTGCGTCTGCAATGTTGAAGGGTAGAAATGGTGTTCAGCAAACCTTCGTGCAAGCATTAATCAATGAATACAATTTTAGGAGTTTTGCCTTTCCAGACATCGCTCTGAAACAAACGGCCAAACAAGAGTTTCCACCTTCCTATTATGATGTTAAATAAAGTTTAACGTTTAGACCACGACACTGCACGATGTAGACTAGTAGCACGGAATACGAAGAGTCGAAGGTATGAAAACCATTAAGTGTAGAGTTGGAAGTCGGGAAAGCAAACCAATCAATTACTCGCTGAGATGATACTTAGCTTTTTTTGGCGTCTTTTCTTCACTATTGTCTTGGCAGAACTTCGACTTGTGACCGAAGTGCACGTAAATTCTTCCTTCGAACTTTTGTTGATACTATACGGTCTAAGCACAAAATCATGGAAAGATGTAGGGTTTGGACAAGACGTTTGCATTTTTAGTCAAGAAGGATTAAGGCCATATGAAGAACAAACGGGGCTAAAATACACGTGTTTGCGATGGATAGCCTGTTTGCATTTAAATGGTGGAAAGAGTGCAGGTTCAGAAATCCAAATTTTACATCACATCGACCACCGGGCCTGGGCATTTTTCCCAGTAGTGGCTCCGTCTAAGTCTTGGGCTAGAGACACATCTTTAGATATTCGATAGTTGGTACTAAATGGAAATCCAACAATGAGCTAAAGTGATAAACGGTGTTGACAGACAGTGGAGCTCCATTTGCCAAGACAGCCTCAATTAGAGATTAAATGGATGAAGTTAAAAACTATATAGCCCAAAGCAAACGAAACAAAGTTGTAAAAACTCGAATTACTCATGAGCAATAGCCCAACTGTACTACGGAAAGAAGCTGTGCCCGGTGTGGTCTTGCAACCAGACGTCCAGTTCTATCAGAAGGGCTTCCATTGTTGGCCTCTGCGCTGGAGTGGTCACCATGCAGGCCTTGGAGAGAAATAAGAGTTCAGACATCCCGAAGGATTTGAAGGCGATGTCACTTATCAGTGACCCCATGCTGTAGATGTCCGACTTCACGCCATAAGGCACCAGACCCTCCACCACCTCAGGGGCGATGTGACTGCTAAAGCGGTAATAAGCGTCCTTCTGTATGGGCGTCAGCGTCAGGCACTGTGAGGTGGGCCCATTCAACCTTTGCGCGTTTCCCAGGTCGATGATTCGGCCGTGCCACCTCTCTCCAGAGTCGTCCGATTGGCTCCAGTCCCGCCACAGCAGCACGTTGTTGCACTGCAGGTCGCAGTGGGCCCAGCCTGATTGGTGGAGAGCGAACAGCCCAGTAATGACGTCGTAGAGTACCCAGGCCCAGTTTTCGCTTGAGATTGGAGGCTCGCCCGTGATCAGCGCCTCGGCGACGCTCAGCGTCTGGAATGTCTTCGGGTCCCCCACGAACTTCTGGGCGAAGGAATAATCGGAGATGACCCCCACTAGCTCTGGAAAGATGGGGCAGTGGTCCACCGCCCGCAGGGCCCTAATCTCCTTGGACATGGCAGAATGGGACCTCGCCAAGTACCGCTTTACCGCTACCAACGACGAACCTCCCTCTGGCTTCCGGTACCGCATCAGGCGGACCACTCCGCTCTGTCCCCGGCCGAGAATCAGCGAGCAATGGGGATCCTTCCAGACGAAGCGCAGACTTTTCTTGTCAATGCAGGGCGCTCCAGCATATTCATCACTTTGGTCCGGAGGCTCATTGCTCCACGACTTGCTTTGTGACCTAATAAAAAAAATTGCAAATACATGTAATCATCTATGATGTAATAAGAGAGGAATATATTTATTTATCAAACATTAGCACCAAAACCCTAAGAGAACAACACCGTTTGATTTTTTCTCCCCCAACATCATGTTACATGAGCCCGAAGCCGCATTCGCTCTGAATCTATCCCTCCCCAACACCATAAGCTGGATACGCTGCCGAATCCTACAATGCAATATTTACATCTTGTGACGAACTCCCTTTACATCTTTAATGAACTCACTTTTCAGGTAGAGTGACCCGCAAAGTGTTATCTAACTCGGTCAAATCAGCCATAGCTGCAGTCCTGCGCATGCCCAGTCCCCGTGAAGGCATGGCAGCTTGATCGCCGACGGGAGCAACCCGGCTGGATCGTAGTACACGAGGCCTTCTCGTCGGTACTCTAGGGAGGGACAATTGGAAAGGACACTTTTAAACTTTCTATTAGGTCTAACTTCAAGAAACCTACATACACAGTAACAGTCGCATACAACAGACTTACTGAACACATAAAAACGTAATTATAATAAACCGACACGTGTTGCATTCACAAGCATGAAAATCTATGGTAATAACAAAATGAAATTTGTCTTCAATACCTGTTGGACTCGGCAGTCCTGGATGCCTTTTGCGATCGAGAGGTCCACGGACAAGCGAACCACCTCTTTCTTGTCCCCCGACCGTCTGTCGTTCCATGAGACGGCGCGGGTGCACGGATGTCAGGGGGCTTGGTCTGGAGGGGAGCAACCCGGCAGCGTCGGAACATCCGACTCAGGGCGCCAAACCAACCGGACGGACCGGCGGTAGTTCCAGGCCTGTATTAGAATGAAACGTAAATTATAAGAAATGCTGAAACGAATAGCACATTCTTTGCCAATATCTTGGCTCTCAGGAAGTGTCTTGCACGACTACATCTTTTTTTTATCAAAATATTCTATTAAACCTTGACAACCCCTCAAATCTCCTCGAAGAATTTTATCTCTAAAGCTTTACTTTAGTTTGAAATAAAAATTGACAACATAAATCAAGTTAAATTATTTTTAACCTTTTGGATATTTTGTGGGCATCAAAAATCAATGTTCATAATTAATCAATGTTCAAATTGTACTGAAACCTTTCAAAACTAGAAAGCTGATGCAATGTCGTGTTAATTTACGGGGGGGGGGCTTAGCCACATCTTTGCCGTGCACGTGTACCTGCTGGATTTGGACGGGGCATCAGCGGGGTACTCCGGGGCGGATGGGCCGGGTATCGTGCAGTGTTCACCACCGTAATTAGCACTATTAGGTGCTGGGTCGCCGACTGATGACTCTCCAGGGTAGCTCGGTGAGACAGATCTATTTTCGTAATCAAATATTAAGAATCGTCATTTGTTCTTAAGTGGTGTATATCTTTCCTAAATACTTTTGCAACGTCACGTAATCATTGTTGGCTCTAACTTTAGTTAACTTTACCACACTGTTGTTAACATATGAAATTTCAGTCACAGAAGTAATCCAATACTACAAAGGATACGATGGCTCTCCTTGAAGTGACTCTCTATTCGTCAAGTTTGGACATCATTTTCTTTTCTTTCGCCTCAATATTTATCTCCACATTTTAACGTACAATTTCTTACATTGGTCGACAAACAAAAGATGTTTGACACCGAAACTGAATTAGAAAAACAAATTCTATATGTTACGTCTCATAAAAATTAAATAGACGCAATAAACACTAAGCTGAAGACTTTAAATTTTGAACGGAAATGAGAGTTACTTTTTGGAACTTTCTAATGAAACATTAAGCTCAGGAAAATACACAGTTATCTGTCAAAGGATTACATATACTTATAATTGATGTTGATATAGATTTTTCACAAAATGATATTGTAAAACATCGTTTTACTATTCTACATTAGGAAATAAAAGTAGAACATTTGAACCCTTACGATCAACATTCCACTAGCAATGCACAATAACTGTCTATAGTAGTTAAGCTATTTATTATATAAATGTAACATTAAATCTGTACAGTCAATACAAGAAAACTGAACTTTAGTAAACAAGGTAAACAGAGTGTAATACGTACATCAGTCGGGCGGTGGTGGTTCCAGCAAATCTAGAGATCTGTTCAGGATCGTATTTGAGCATCTCTCTCTCGAGGCAATTGAATCAAGCTTCGAAATAACTGGCAAAAACGAGTGCAAAATAAGGCTGTTCCGAACTCGATGAGCACAAAACGATTTCTGGCGTTGTAATTGTTTCGAGACGGCCAAATCATCTAGTGACATTGGTTGGGCAACGCGTGCTTATTGTTTCTTTGTTGCGTCACAGATAAAACGCGCGCGAAAATCAAACATGGCATTTCGCGCATGCCTTGACGTACACGATGATGCGAGGAGTTTGAATGATGATTTATTTTTTATCAGAACAGTTTCAAGGCATATCTTTGGGTCGTGGAAATGATTGAGGGGGCTGACTCTGCTAAATCACTACCATTTGTTACGCTGGAAATGTAAAATTACAAGATATTGGACTACGCAGTTTTTTCTCTCTTCTGTAGTCCTTTTTGTATGGTGGTATCAAATTAACTTCTTCAAATCACTTGAACCTACGAGTTTTTCCTTGGATCAAATTGTCCAACGCACATGCAGTAGTGCAGGCCCAGGGTTGGTTGGGTGACGGTAGCAGATTTTGCCTCCTTCACTTCTGTTAAGGGGCATTTAGGTTAGGTTTGGCATACATTCCCACATACATGCGTGTAGCAAGCACAGCAGGCGCCGTGCGTACGTGGATTTATGTGCCTGAGTGAGGGAATTTCGTCCAATCACCCCATGGCAAGATTGACGCTTGTGCAACAACAGCGGGGTTCTGTTCATGTCGTTATTTTATCGAAAACTTCCCTCAAGGAAGAACCCAAGTGAGAATGAAACCCACGACAAAGTCCGACAAACAACGGTAAATACTTTTCTCCTACTAAATACATACAACTGGAATATCAAGTCTGTCCAATTGGTGGGTATATTTCATCTGGTAAACGGTTGTGTTCATATCAAACAAAAGGCAAAAAGAGAGGAATTAGAAGAAACTATAATACTCAGGAAGGTATTTTGCCGCTTATGAGTAAAGTTGCAAATTTTTCTGGCGACATTTCTGACCAAATTAAATGTTTCTAATTCCCATATTTATTCCTTTTTCAACAAAACTAATAACCAGTGAAGTAAAACCTGCTGAATATCAAAGTCAGAAAATTACCTTCTTTGTTGCACCTTTCTTAAAACCCTGGGACGCGGTATGAATTTTTTTAAATGGTCTCTGGAGCGGCCTCGCCAGGTGTGTCCGTATCATTTCTAAGGGTTTCAGAGCCCTGAGTCCGTCCTAAAGGTATATAAATGCTTTAGTGGTTGTCCCCTAGCCTCTACAGCTCTTAAAAACCACCAAAAATACATCACAGTACCGTGGGGGGCCGTTTTCCCAGGCTATCCCGATTTGAGGGGGTGGGCCTCGCCACGCGCCAGCCAAGCCACACCACCACCACAAACCCCCCCAACCAAAGTAACACTTCAAAGACAGCCGAAAGAGGCCTCTGACAAGTTCCAGACAGCAGATCTGCAAACTCTAAGCAGGAGTTTCCTTCGTACATCCCGCATCTATAATAGTTTGGCATCACAATCTTTCCCCCTTATTAAAATTAAATATTCTCAATCGCGGCTATAAGCTGGGTTGTTCCTCATTCTGAGAAACACTCCATTTTGTCTGAAATGCAGGAGGAAGTAGAAGTAAGTGTAGTCTGACTTACCAGATGAAGATTCTGCCGGCGGAAACTTGTCCACTGTTGCTGTTGCCTGTGCTTGTCCAATGCACAGCTGCATGGTTCCTCGGGGCGCTACCATCTCGACTATGCGGACTAAGAACGGAGGAGCTACGCCAGGCGAGATGGTCGCTGGTTTCGTATACAGGGACAGCATCCCGCTTTCTCGCCAGCAGAAGGCCGACTCGTTGGCGCGAAGATGGCCCACTGGCTACCCTTGATCTCGGACCCCTGATAAAACAGTGTAGAAAATGGAAGTGGGAAAAAATTGGATGTTACAGATTCAAAGCCGGTCACAATGTATATAATTATGCTTCCTTTCACAACAACAGCAGGCTTGTGCTTGATTTAGCATAGGAACTAGTTTCCTATGTGTATATATGCAATAATGCAAGTCAAGGGAAGTAACCAATATCACACTCTGTAATACTTTGGTAGTATCTGCTGATGTTTATGAATTCAGAGTACTCTACATGTAAATATGAAATTCTCGGACACTGGGAAATCCCCTTATGTTTTTTGGTAAGTAGAAAGTTTCTTTGGGCCCAAGGCCAAATTTCATAGTACAGAAATATCCCCCAGTATTTTACATGTTCATGTTCTGCAAAATCCGATTCTGGTTGCAATATACATTTTTTACTTGTAGGATGTTTTGGACTTGAAATAAATTCTCTGCGTGGCAAAACTTTTTGTGCATGCCATTCAAGCAAATCTGCAATTCCAGCAAATTTGCAGGAATTGCTCCTGATGGAAGCTAAAATCTTCGGGACGCAGAAGAGTGTAATGTTTAACTAGCAATAGCACTGTAGTAAACATAAAAGATCAAATAGTTTACATGGTTCGAGGGTGTATAGTCCATTATCGCGGTCGGACATCCAGGAACTTCTGTACATTATTAAATAGTACGAAGCGGAAATTTGCCCGTAAATGTTGAAAGTCCGTAGTGACGTCTGCTGAACGCGAGAATGTGTAATCATGAAGGTACTGGATGTGGGCAAACTAGTTCCCGGAGCGAATCCAAGGGAGCAAGTATGTCAACTTCCACTTCTTGGGAGGGGGTGACATAAAGATAATTCAGCTGAGATAATGTTGTTTTAGCAGGGATGTTCAGTGCTGGTATTTTCAGCCATCATTTAAAACATTGATTAACGTGTGCTTCAACCGCTATCTTTTCATGACTTGTAGTAAGCGTCATGCTTACGCGGGCGTATTGGATGACAGTTTGATGATAACGACACCTTGCCGAAATATAATTTGTGACGTAAAAGCAATAACCTGGAACGTCTTAAGGGTGGTCCACAAAAACGAAGACCCAGAAACGGTTACGTGATCTGACAGAGGCAAGCGCAAGAGATTGTTAATGAACATCATTTTCGCTCAATATTTGGCATGTTTCTCTTTTCACGTACGTTCTGGAAGAAAGTATCTCTTTGATTTGCTGCGTATAACAACAAATTCTGAAATGTATCACTCATTTAATTAAGGGGCGATAAAAATTGTCTGTTTATTTCCAGCCATTTTGAACTGACGCTGAACCAACTCCAACCTTCGGTTCTCATTCTGTCGGAGCAATGACGTCACAGAGCCTTAACCAAGTCACGAAAACGCTTAACAGATGAGCAAATCTGAAAAAGCTTATAGTTTCGGGTCGCCCAAGCACGCCCCTGATATAGCACACAGGGACCAGCTTAGTACAAGGTTCCAGTACACTAAATACGCGCTCATAGAAAACAATGCAAAACTGGACATAAACAGTGCTACCTGGTGACTCTCGCAAGAGAGCTCGGCCTCCCATTCTCTTTGGAAATTCAAGATGATGGCCAGAGGTTCACTTTGCTTTTCAGTTTTATAACGGTTAGTCATGCGATTTTTTTAAAATCGCCCTTTGCCGAAAAAAGGAGGTAAAACTATGCGTTCAGCTCTCAATGTAGCCACCCACCTCTCCGCGAAATAAGCCCACGGGTTGGAGGTTTATGTGAACGAAATACGCCGAGTTGGACGCCAGAATACCAACATCGTGATTCAATGAAAATATCTCTATGATCGCTCCCGATGATGGCAACTCTTTTGTAAAATCCCAATGGGATCATAAAATATTAATGAGCTCTTGTGTTGGAATTTAACCATCTAGTGGAATGCACTCACAACTGTGCCCAACCTCGACTCTATGCACGGACTGCGTGACTTCTGCATGGTCCTCGCGTGCACGCTTGATAAACAGCAAAAGTAAAAATGAACCACTGAGAATTCGGCTGTCGATTATGATATGTAAGGTTGATGATAGGTATATGGCACAGGTGATATTGTTGTTGAGATGTGAAGACCTCGTTTGTATTCAGATTTTAAAGTTGGTACACTGCAAATAAATAAAGGACAAACTGACCCAGTTTATAACAATTTGAATGTGTTTTCGGCACATAGCTGTTAACCTTTAAAGAAGGAGCGACAAATTATGAGAAGAAAAAAGGACTTTTTGTTACTGTGCACCTTAAACAAAATAATATACAATAATATACAAAAAAAACTGTTAGATCTATAGCAATTTATTCCGGAACCAAGCTATACAATGCCATTTCACCTTTGTTGAAAGATAATAATGTTTATTATGCAGAAAAAAAACCTTAATGAAGTTAACAGTAAGATCAAGGCTGTCAGGCGGGGCAAGGCAAAGGAACAATTCAATGGAAACACAAAAAAGTGAAAGGCAGAGGCAAAGCGAAGGGCAAAGGGGAAGGCCAGGGGAAACGCCAAGGAAAAGGCAAAGGGAGAGGCAAAGGCCAAAGGAAAGGTAAATGGAAGGCAAGGCCAAGGGAAAGGTAAATGGAAGGCAATGCCAAGGGAAAGGTAAATGGAAAGGCAAGGCCAAGGGAAAGGTAAAGAGAAAGACACAGGGAAAGGCAAAGGGAAAGGCCAGGGCAAAAAGAAAGGCAAAGGCAAACGGAAAGGCAAAGGCAATTGGAAAATGAAAGGAAAAGGACCAACGGAAAGGCAAAGGCGAAGGGAAAGGAAAAGGAATATGACAAGAAACGGTAAAATGACAGGACAGGATAGTTATGTCTTAAATTATGTTATAAATAAAACTCTTACTGCGAATGAAAAAAAGTCGTACTTTGGTGCACCACAACCACAAGTTTTCAAAACCTAGGTTCTAGTACTTGTTTAGCTGTAGTCTTCAGCTTTATTATTTCAGGCGGCAGACCAAAGATGCTCTGGCCTAGAAATGATAATGCCAAAGTTAGGAGTCTGTCGGTTTAAAAAATAGGGTTAGAAGAACCTACTGGCTAAGCCAACGTTAGGAGTACCTATCATGTTTCCGTTTGAAGAAATTGTCGGGTGCAGATGTATTTACAAATAAACTGAGGTTGTAACCCGTTTTTGTATTAATGTAACCTTCCCAAAATCGTTTTCCATTTCAAAGAAAACTGGCACTTAATTTTGCATATTTTATGGTGCACGTTCTAATTTGTCGAAATATAAAAAGCATGTGCTGCAAAATTATGTAGCAACAGAAATAAACGGTCAGGAGTCTTAGAGATCTTCAACATGACAGAAAACAAGAATTTGTTTTTAAATCGGAACAAAACGCGTTTATTCTCAACTTGACAGTAAACACATTTTGGACAGAAAAGACCTTTGGGCTAAAAACATCTTCACTTCTATTTCACGCCCAGATAAGAAACACAGATGAAGGCACTTTTACAAATTCACCATATTTTTTTTTTTTGCGTCGGAAAGGTTAAAGGATATGAAATGCTGGTCAGCATCCCCTAGAGCGAATTCAAAACGAAATTGTAAAATATCGTCCATACTGTTACGATTTTAAAAAAGGCCAAGGCAATGTTTAAGATTTCTTGCCTTTCCAGATTCCGCTCTGACACGAGCAATCAAACAAGGGTATTGTTTTTTAAGATAAAATCTTCCACTGGTCAAATGGGCCGGAGTGTATATAGAGATTGGAAAATACTTCAACCGACTAAGTGTGTAGTTGGAAGTCGGGAAAGCAAACGATTCAATTCACTTGCAATGGCTAAGAAATAATTTGCCATCTTTAATCGATACGGACACGAATAGTTGATTGGAAAAACTTAGACTCGTCGTCAGATGTGATGTGAAATCCGCTTGCAAACTGTTGGTTATACTGGAAGGTCTCAGCACAAAGAAAGTACGTGTACATGTAGCCTTCATTGTTTAGACGAGAAGTTGGCAACTTTGTATGGTCAGATCGGATTCACTGCAGTATTGGAGACCAAATAAATTGTATTTATGATGCACAGCCATGGATTTTTGTATTAAAGAGTAAAATGGGTGCAGGACTTCATGTCCTAATTTTACACCACATGGCCACCGTAGACTGTGAAATTTCCCCCAATTTCACATGGTTCCTTTAAGTCTTTGGTTTAATCCTGGGCTTCAGACAAATCTCCAAATGTTTTCATCTACAAAGGGCCAAAGTGAATATAATCTGAAAGTTGGCTTTAGCGTCAGACAGTATTGGAAGACGACGGAGCTGCATTTGGCTGGATACCCTCGATGGGAGACTAAACTGATGACAGTGAAAACCAACGCCCACGACAGATACGAAGCGGAGGTTAATCTTGAATTACACAAAAACAATAACCCCATTTAGTGGCTCCACTATGACAAGAAGCCGTGCCCGGTATGGTCTCGCAACCAGGCGTCCACTTCTACCAGGAGGGCTTCTAGGGTTGGTCTCTGCGCTGGGGTGGCATCCGTGCACGCATAGGAAGCCAGTATGAGTTCAAACATCTCGAAGGATGAGCGAGCGACGTCTCTCATCAGGACCCCCATGCTGTAAATGTCTGACTCGACGCCATACGGCATAACACCCTCCACCACCTCAGGCGCAATATGACCGCTCAAGCGGTAGAGGGCGTCCTGCTGCATGGGCGACAGCGTCAGGTAGTACAAGGGCCCCGTCAACCTTTGCGCGTTTCCCAGGTCGATGATTCGGCCGTGCCACCTCTCTCCAGAGTCATCCGATTGGCTCCAGTCCCGCCAGAGCAGCACGTTGTTGCACTGCAGGTCGCAGTGGGCCCAGCCTGATTGGTGGAGGGCAGACAACCCTGTGATGACGTCACAAAGGACCCAGGCCCAGTTTTCACTTGAGATCGGAGGCTCGCCCGTGATCAGTGCCTCGGCGATGCTCAGCGTCTGGAATGTCTTCGGGTCCCCAAGGAACTTCTGTGCAAAGGAATATTCGGAGATGATCCCCACGAGCTCTGGGAAGATGGGGCAGTGGTCCACCGCCCGCAGGGCCCTGATTTCCTTGGCCATGGCAGAACGGGACCTCGCCAAGTACCGCTTTACCGCGACCAGCGATGAGCTTCCAGTGGGCTTACGGTACTGCATCAGGCCGACCACCCCGCTCTGTCCCCGGCCGAGAATCTTCGGGCTACGGCGATCCTTACAGGCGAAGCACAGGTCTCTCTTGTCAATGGAGGGAGCTCCGGCATATTCACCATCGTCGTCGTCACTTCGCTCAAGGGGCTCATTGCTTCGAGGCTTACTGTTTGTTCCACTTCTGTACCAGGGGGAAAAAGGAAAATTGCGAGTGCTCATTCTGATAAAAGAATTCAAAGAAGCCGAGGAGGAAACTGTAAAAAGAGAGTGAAGCAAACAGAATTCGTGGCATGATATTTATATTTGTGGAAGTGCTGCAATGATTACCTCAAATGTGGGGCGTTTTCGTATTGCAATTTAGGCTCTGGATTTTCAGCACCATTTAAGAGTCCGAATCTCCACATCGAAGTTTTTCAAAATGTTGGGTGGGATGATACCGATACTTACAGCAACTTGAGAGAAGCCTTCCGTATGTCCTCAGCAATCACGTTACTTTGCTCGTGAGCCACGGTTGTCAGATTCTGCGAAAAGGTTACAATGCAGATAAGTCTATAGTAAAGATGGGCGATTAAATAATTCAGAATCGGTTTTTTCCTCAAAAGAAAAGCTAATGCGGAAATATTTGAAAAGAAGCAAGTCGGAAATTACAAGTGAATATACTTACGCGCTAAAGCTTGGTCTAGCGAATGTGGGTTTTTTTTGGCAGATTTGCTTGACAAAAGTGAATGCTTGTAAAGGCTAAATGCATTTCTTTTTCACTATAGCATCACCAGTGAAATGTAATCTCACGAAAACTCAAATTAAAAATACAACAGTCGTGTACCTTCCTTCCAGCATTTTCCCAAACAAGAAATCTGTATTATTTGAGGAGTTTTTTTCTAATCCCACACGACTTGGTTGCAAATTTATTCGAAAATTAAATACATGTACTTGAAAATCGCAGCCGTTATTTTGGTGTTCCCTTTTGCTTTTCAGTGCAAATTATGTGAAACACTTGCTTTGTCCTCCATGACTGAGGAAGCCAGAAACATGTACATGTAGTCTGACTTACTTGATGATTTTGCTGTTTTAAGGCACCTTGCCTTCCTGTATTCTGTATTTGTCCTATTTCGTCTCTCGCGCTACTGTTACTCTGGGAGCTACCATCTCGACTCCCAACCCAGAACATAGGAGACGTGGCGGGTGCGACGGTCACCCGTCTCGCAAGGGGACAGCATCCCACTTTCTCATCGGGAGTCGGCCGACTCATTGCCTCAGTGGTCTGGCCTACCGGCTGCTCTTCATCTTGGGTCTCCCGACGAGACGGTCTGGAGGCAGGAGACCTTTCGAGCGTTGAGCCGCCTCTCTTTCCGGTGCAACAGCTCCAAAGGCTCGCCAGGCGGCCTAGTAGTTTCGGTGGGGACCTGGTGCCGAGCAACAACAGGGTAGGCAGCGTTATAAGCAGCTCCCACGTCGTAGCTACAACGGACAGATTTTGACAGCTAAGCTGTTCTGAAGTGTGCGGTCGCATTGCTGTTTCGCAGTTTTGGCTTATCATTTACTTGAAAAGACGAGAAGCATTCATTATGCCGCCAAGTCTTGAACTTCAGCAAAATATTCTCTGGAATTCAGTGAGTGCAGTCTTCACATACCCAAAATGCACAAAATACCTGCTCCAGCAGTCATCCTGGATGTAGGCCTATGAGCTAAAAATTCAATGTTCACAGTAAGGTCACACGTGAGAAACTCACTTCTCAGGCAGGGTGTCCTGCAAAATTTGGTCTAACTCCGCTAAGTCGGCCACAGCTGCGGTCTTGTGCATGCCCAGTCCCCGTGAAGACATGGCAGCTTGATCGCCGACGGGAGCAATTCGGTTGGATCTTAGTACGCGAGGCTTCCTAGTCGGCACTCTATGCAGGGAGATTTTAAAGGATGCTTTCGAATTTTAGGTCAAGGAATGCACATACTGAACAAATATTTTGCACAGAAAACATATCATAAGAGAAACTGGTTGTATTATGTAATGTATTACAACCTATAACGATGATAAAATTTATTCTGCTATAATTGGACTCACCTATTGGACTCGGCAGTCCTGGATGCGTTTTGGGATCGAGATGTCCAAGGACAAGCGGACCACCTCTTTCTTGTCCCATAACCGTCTCTCGTTCCCAGGGACGGCGCGGGTGCAGGGAGGTCAGGGGGCTTGGTCTGGAGGGGAGCAACCCGGCTGCGTCGGAACATCCGACTCAGGGCGCCACACCAACCGGACGGACCGGTGGTAATTCCAGACCTGTATTGTGATAAAGTTTTAATTAGAAGAGCTATACATCCACAGTAAACTTCTTGCCAATATCTTCGTTTCTAAGTGTCAGGCAGGACGACACCATATTCTCTTTACGTATATTTTCGACTTAATAACCTCTCAATCTTCCTCCGCAAATTCTGTATTTCTGAAGCTTTCTTCATATTGGCAATGTAATCCATATTATTTCCAACGCAACATCGTGTTGATTTAATGGGCGTGGAATTAGCCACAGGTTTGTCGCACACATACCTGCTGGTGTTGGACAGGGCATCGGCGGGGCTCTCCGGGCCCGACAGGCCGGACACCGTGCGGTGTGCGCCACCGTGACCTGCACGACAAGGTGCTGGGTCGCCGACTGATGACTCTTCAGGGCCACTCGGAAGGACCGATCTGTTCCGTAATCAAATTTTACGTCTTAACATTACAAAACCTCTCTAAAGGTCTTCAATTGTGTAGTTCAGTCTTACATTACTTTTATAATGTCAAGCAATATGTTTAAGCTACACTTTTTAAATTTACAAAACTGTAATTGTTAACAAAGCGAAGTTCTTTGCCAACTTTAGCATTTAAAGCTGGACTCAACGCCAATTTCGGTGTGTGCATAAATTTAATGCATTCCCGGCTCCTGGCAGGACAGTGTTTGTTTCGTCATTTTACCTTAGGCTTTCCCTCACATACCCACACCACTCCTCTACCGAAAAAATTTTGGAGCATGCAACCTTGAAAATAGCATCAATTTAAGAGGTCCACAAACATGGAAGTACATGTAGTTTTCGTTTCAAATAGGCGTAAGTGCCTAAACCACACTTGACAGCAGAAATACGGTAACTCTCTCCCCTTTCATCACAGAAGTAATCCAACACAACAGACACTATGCGAGTCTGTTAAATGGCATCTCTGTTGGGCAAGTTTGAATATCAGAACATATATCCAGGCGAAATAATTGGAACGGGAGCAATTTGGTTCCACACTTTAAAATGGAAAGCAAAGTTATCTTTCTGTGCACTTTCTAAGGACGTATTAAGCTCTCGAAAACCACGCTAATCCATCAAAGGAAATACATGTATATAGGCCTATCGACAATGTAGAAATGGGGAAAATAGGTTTAATACGACATGCACTTTATATATACATAAAAGTAGAACGATTTAAAAGTAATGATCAACGATAATGCAATGCACAATAATTGTTCATTCACGGGTAAAAACTGAAAAGTTCAAGCACAAAACAAGAACTCGCTAAAATGAATATAATCATTCTTTGAACATTTGTATCACTGCATATTCAAACTAAAGAATTTAATCTTTCCGAAAAAACGAGACATGAAAAATCAATATAAGAAAACTGAACCTTATTTACAAGTAAAAGAAAGAGTGCTACGTACATCAGCCGGGCGGTGGTGGCTCCAGCATGTCTAGAGAATTCCTGAGAATCGTATTCAAGCATCTCTCTCTCTTTGAAGACGATTCAAACTTCGAAATAACTAGCAAAAATGAGCGCACAAATAAAGCTGTTCCGAACTCAATAAGCATAAAACGGTTTCTGGCATTATTTGTGTTTTGAGACAGCCAAATCATCCGCCAACATTGGCTGGGCAACGCGTCTTTATTGTTTCATTGTTGCGTCACAGAGAAAACGCGCGCGGCATTAGGCACATGCTACTGACAAATTTACATGCAGAGTCCAGTCAATTAGTAATTTTTTCTGAAGTTAAAGAAGAAATATTTTATGGTCGTAGAAATAACTGAAAGTCGACTTCCCGAAATCAGTACCATTTCTCATGGGAAATATCAAATTACAAGATATACGACTAGCAGGCATTCTCTCGGTTTTCTTGCTTTTTTTGAAGGTGGATTTTAATCACTTGCTCATATCACTGCTCCTTGGATCAAATCTAGCCGCCGCACACGCAGCAATCTAGGCCTAGGGTTGGATAGGAGACTGGTAAAGTACCTGTGGCAGATTTTACATTGAATAGTTTGGTTGTGGGATGGTAAGGGTGGGCTCTGGTATTACTCCACAAGAGTGCATGCAACGGGCGGCGTGCGAACGTGGATTCAGGAATTTCGACCACTCACTGCGTACAAGAGCTTGGCCTAAGACGATTAGCGACAGACGTTGTGTGATACTTTTGTTACATTCTTCCAAAAATTCACTCGAGGAGTTGCTCAAATGGCCAAACTTCAGTTGATTTCAAAGTTTACTCAGGTGGGACTCGAACCCACGACAAAGTCTGATAAACAATAGTAATTTCGTTTCCCATAGAAATAATTATACATGTATCTACGCAAAATTCTACCCGAGGTCAACATTATCAAAATTTAAACACACATGCATGTTCCACATGGCAAATGACTGAACTCTTGAAGAAAAGCGGAGATGCAGTTGGGGAAGAAAAAGTGACACACATTCAAAGCCAGTAACACTGACTGTAATCAACAGACGTTATGATCATGTATACTTTATTTTGCAAAGTGGCAATATTCGACAGAAAAATTAGTCTTTACAAAACAATGGTACGCTTGTGGTTTGGTACAAAAAAGTAATCTACATATTCATAAAGCAATACCAATCAAAGGAGGTATCTTTAAGTTAAAGGATGTATTATGCATCTTATAACACTCATTGTTAGACATTGGCATCAGCTGATGTTCGAAGAGTGTACCGTTAATATGAAATTCTCAGACATTCGGAAAAATGTTTCCTTTAATTTTTCTGGGTAGCGTGTTGGTTATATTCTGGTTTTTTGAATAGTCTTTGGGCCCAATTTCATTGTACCAAATATTCCTTGAAAATATAAATGTACATGTTCAGCTAGTTCCTCAAATCCATCCGGGTGCAATGCACATCGAGGATATCTTTGACTTGTAACAATTTCTCTGCTTGGCAAAAATGCTCTACACTATCTGAGCAAATCCGATGAGCTCAGGGTGGCTCCTTGACATCTGCTCTTGGTGAAAGCTAGAATCCTCAGGTGTAGTGTGTCGTGTTTGAAAGGCAATGGTTCTGGTGCACATAAAAGATCAACCAGTACTTTGATCTGTCAAGACTGGCAATGCAAGTCCAGTGGCCAGGCTTTAATAGAGGGATTTCACATTAGCGCTGTCTGCGCATATCTGTATTGAAACGGAGGCTCTCTGTGTTGAACTTCATCGCGCGCCCGCGGAGTCCACACAGTATAATGGAGTATCCGGTTCATAAGTGTGACGCCACTTCAGTTTAAACCTCGCCCATTGCATAAGATACACGACCATCACTGGTGCGTTAGTTCGCGGTCAATTGTCATCATTTTTTCTTTTCATTTTACGTGTTGAGTCATCCTGAAAGACTCTTCCACAAAATTTGCAGCCTGAAAAGTCTGAATTTAACATACCTTTATGTATTTTGTGTCTTGACTCCTTACTTTCAATCGTCTGATTGTATTAAGAATTGAAGCTGACACATACAGCCTCGTTTTCAAACGCGGAAGTACACAGATCGATACTCAAAGCGTCGTATTGGGATCCATCTATAGGATCTCTGAACTATCCGGCTCAAGTAGAAGCCCCCCTCCTTATCGGTAGAATAGAGCCATATTGGTTGGGAGTGACTGCAACGCTTATGCTTCCTAGTTGTTCGTGAATCAGCGATACCAAATTAGTACCAAAGGAGCCTCCATTGCTGAGGAAATAGCGTCTTCTCTTGGTCCAGCTTGAGGCCCATAGTAAGCACAATGTCATGGGTTCATGTACCACCTGTGCAAACTTGTGAAAAATTTTTTTCTGACAAGTTCTGGCATGATATGACACTTCATATAGTCAGTGAAGGACAAAGAAACAACACAGAAATTACAGTGCTCCTATACACAACATACACAGCAACTGTGACTGACTTCGCACACACCAAGACCACTCTTCTAAATAACCTTGCCTGTTGATTTCCATTCATCCTCCAATGGTTCTGCACATCTGATTGGTTCATGGTGAAAGGGCCAAGGTCCAACTGACCAATAATGGCATCTCGTTAGTCTCCATCAATCATTTCAAAGTGGGGTTAGACTGAAGTGGTGGATTCTGAAAGTCAGTTGGCTCACGACTACCCTGCTTGTAGCACTTTGACAAATCAGGTTGCTTGTCCATTGCCACTTAGCCTTATGGCCCATAGTAGGTGTGATGTGATTGGTGATTTTTTTTCAACTAATGATAACCTCTTCCTGAATAGCTCGGGCCAGGTTCCTTGCCAAGGCCAGTTTGAGGAGCTCGAGTTTTTCGGTCTCAAGCTCTTGTTGCCCCTGCAAAAGGAACAAAATGAGACAACGCCTTTCCATTAAAAATACAAATGCTCCAAATCCTTCATCAAAATGACACTAAATAACCTCTTTCAACAGTGTACAAAAAATACAAAAATGCCTCCCATTTTATTGCAGTACTCATGAAACTTTGCCACTGAAGAAACCTGAGAAAGGACAGTTTGAAAACACAGAGGTAATAACATTGTGAGAAAACGGGCAATAATGGGACCCACCAATCCATAATTTCAGACACACAATAAACTGATAGAGAAGACAGCAAATTGTGTCTCTGATAACAGAATCTACTGACAGGAGAGGCCCCCATAGAGAGCAAGGTGTCCCTGAAGACAAGGTGTCAAGACTGCAAGTGCTTTAGGGGGCATGCCAGTGAAACTTAAGGAATGACACCAAGAGTACCAGTGCTTGGTTTGCGCATACAAATTATACAGTTTACAAAGCTAATTTTCCTTTGCATGTGTTCAAAACTGTAGAATCTTCACAAAGTAGATATGCAACATTCTGATCCATTAGGCCTCATCAAAGGTAACAGCTATGATCTATGTCCGATTTGCTTGTGTAAATGTCCAACATGCAAGCTAGTGTGTGTGGCACATGCAACTGAAACATGCAGATAGGCACTGGAAAGGAGCAGGTGTTAATTGCAAACGTGCTCAGTGGGTCTTATCCACACTGAGTAGGAACAAGAGAGGGCATGTTTTTTACACAGCAACAATGGTCCATTGGTGGGAACTCACCGTGTGGGGGGACAGGTTCACACACATTTGGCACAGGGTGCGCTGAACACACGCAACTAATTTCATGAGCTGTCTACGTTCACGAACCCGCATGAAAAACTCAGCACTGGCCTTACCCCTTCTTTGCCGTTTCAACTGAAGTTGGATACTGCTAGCTGTCTAGTGAGCATGGGCTTACCACAGAAATGAAGGTCCTAACCCTAAACAACAGCATTGTGCTTTTTAAGGGGAAGATGGTTAGGCAGGGAGTTGATGCACACCTTGGTTTTGCGGGTGGCAGCTTCCGATCTCAAGTAGTCCTCAGAAGCAAACCACTGGGTCAACTCGTGGAGGCAGTGCAGCAACTCGTACGTCTGCTGGCTGCTGAAGATCAGCTCTTCCAATTCCAGCAGGGGGAGAACGTCAGTCAGGAGAATTAGCCAGAAGCTGGACGGGACAGGAACCAAACAACAAATACATCTGGAGGTTCATCTTAAAAGTACTGATACTTTATACCGATATACTTCATAATGGTGAGAGAACCGTTGGCTTTCAGTGCTTGGTATATAAATATGTCTTGGCATTTCTTGTGTTCCAAGATTAAGTTAAATAGCACGTTTTTCTTCACAGATGTCTTAATAAGATCTTCTGCTAACATAACTAAACCTTCTAGTTGGAAGGCTCTGGCAGTTGAAAACATGACTCGAGACCAGTAAACATTAGCAGTTCACAATACAGTCAACTCTTGTTATAACAAAGCTGACGGAATAAAACAAATTACGGCATCATAACTAGGGCTTTGTTACAAAAGGAATGGAGAAACAAAGAAAACACACGAAATTGAGAAATCAGGATTCTCTGAATTTGTGCTTTCAACAGGAATTGTAATGACAATGTTCTTTATAGTAAGAGTCAAACTGTAAAATTAGAATTTCGTCCACAAGTAAATAGTTGGGTTATTGACTAAAACATTACCAGGAGATGGATGCAGGGGTTTGAGTGGAACACGAGAAAAATAGCTCAAAATAGCTGAAATTGCAAGTGCATAGTGCTAAGCATATACGGCATGGGGTACGAGGTCCAGCGCCCTGAAGTGGGCGGAAAAGCAGAAAAACGTTTGAAATGTACCCCAGTAGATGCACTGTGGTGCATTTTACAGCCTCTTGGTGCAACGGTTGATCATATTGTCTTGTGATTTAGGCTATGCGTATTTTTAATTTTACTTTTTGTTCAGATTTAGCTGAAATCCCTAAAGGTTAAAAGCAACTTTTAACAGGTATCCCAAAAGTGTAAATATCGAGGTTTGTGGAATGATTTGGCCCTTTTCCCACCTGATCTAACCACGTTTTTAAAATTTCAATTCTTTAAAGAATGCACATTGGACGTCCATTCTTTTGAATTTTCCCAGCATGGACGGTAATTAGGGTTCAGGACAATTAAATTCGAGGGCTTTTCCATGACTGAATTATGAGAATCAATTACCCAATACCACAATTTTTTAGACTCTTTGGACTTCTAAAGTTGCAAGTAAAATCACACATTTTTGCACTTATTTTTGCTAACAGAAATCACACACAGTGCTTAAAAATTCCATGACTTAAGTCATTTTTAACAAATTCCATGACTTTTCCAGGCCTGGAAAGTGAAAACAAATTTCCATGACTTTTTCATGAATTTTCCAGGCCACAAAATCAAGGAACCCTGTGTGTTGCCTATCCCTCTACAGTGTATTCCATTTACTTCCATTAAAGTGAAGCTAGTTAGTCATGACTTCCGCTCACACAGAAACAGCTGTAATGGGTCCCGCTGACACATACACGAATATTGATATTTCATTGGCTGCCTATCACAGCACAATGACCGGATGGTCCGAGGATGCTGTTTACACACAAGGCTTGCTCTGCACCGAGTACTGCCCACACAGATTTATGTGCACTGTACACATGCATTACGACGTTCAAGTCCTGAGGGTGTGCAAGTTTGGCCTGGCTGTCGTGTCCCATCGGTAGAAAAAAAATGAGGAAAATCTGGCCCATCGATGGCAAAAAAGCGGAAAATAAAACGCGGCATATTAAAAAAAAAGCAAAAACCTGCTGAACAGTAGAGATTTCACATTCTGATTTTAATATGAGAGGACAGTGTGGGCATCTCCATTACACAAAAATTCACAAGGATTTGGCAACTTGGATTGAAGATGATAACCCTAGGAGAATTTTCATCTCTTGCAAGAGGAAATTTTGACATTTGGTTCATGTGTTCATGACACACAATCTTACCTCTTTGGAGCCAATTTGGCAGTCAGCAGGGATAGTAGGAGACTGGCTGCCTCCTGGAATTCCCCTCTCTCGTACAGCTTGTGGAACTCTCGGTACTTCCCTGGTAAATGAAGGAAAAAATAATTTGCTTGCTCTTGAAAGAGGCTTCTACCTTCATAGTTTTGAATGTAAGAGCTTCATTCATTACTTAGGGTCCTTTAGGGTTGACACACAAAATGCATGGATGAAGAATTTTGAAGGACCACTGCAAATGTTTTGCACTTGCTACAAAAAAAACCTGACATTTGACTTGCCTTATCAATTGAATTGCTGGGTTGACTATGTTCAAGTTAATGTGTTTGGAAAAGATGCATAATTGTGTAAATATTCACACTGGAGTACATGTACGTAGCTCAATACATTGTGTGCCGGTGAATACATGAATTTGGAACACATTCAAGACTTGTGAAAAAAATAAAAGATGAAAAACTTTAAAGTATTCCAACAGCAAATGTCCGAATTGAAGCGAGGTACATGTGCTTTGTTCCTGCATGGCCTTGCTTTTTGAAAGTACTCAACTGGTTCATTAAGACTACAAATTTTATAAAATTAACCTACAGAAAAGACGCTGAACTCAATTTTCAGGAACTTGTAAATGCGACTCTTAATTTATTCAGAGGTTCACTTCAAACTCAGTTAACTGCAAAATCTGAGAGCTCCATTTGTGACTTTGTGCAGGAGATGCTAAGCATGATTGGAACTTGTATATGTGGATCTGGCCTCAACTGCAAAGTAATTTTACTTTAAGTTGGGCTGAACAAGATGCATTCAGTTCCAGAGGAGCCAAACACGACACTGAAATTTCAAGCGGCCCTCAACATGACACTAACATGAAAACTTCCGGTGGTGCTAAATATGATGCTTAAACTTCCAGTGGTGCTAAATATGTCACTGGAACTTAAAGCAGAGCTACATACCGGTATATTTTTACTTCCAGAGGGAACACGACATTTAAACTTCCAGGGGTGATCAACAGGTCATTAAAACTTTCAGCGGTTCTAAATATGACATTTAAACTTCAAGTGGGGCTAAACTTGACTTGTTAACTTCCAGACTGGCTAACATGTACATTTTACACTTCCAGTGGAGCTAAACTTGTCAGTTTAACTTTAAGTTGGACAAAGCATCAAGCTTCAGACTCCAAGTTGCGATAACTAGACTTTCATATTATGTAATACTTCAGTATCAAACAAGGTATTTCTGACCTACCAAGGAAGGTAAGTCGATCGCTGAGCAGCATGGCAGCCCCCAAGTTGTCGATCAGGTCCAGGTTGGAGAAGCCACCTCCAAGGCTGTATTCGGCCAGGAACCGATCCGAGAGGAACGTGGCAAAGGCTGCATCCTTGGAGCGGATGCACCAGGACAGGGCGGAGCCCAGCTGGCCCTGTTGGAGGGCTCGCATCCCAAGGACCTTGCATATGCTCCTCACTAAGGGAATAGGGAGGCAGGTTTAGAGGATGAGTAGAACATTTTTAATGAAGAATGTCAGGTACATTTCAATGTGTTTTCTTAATCAGAAGGTTTTAACCCCAACGTCCATAATACTTCCGAATATAGGTGGTTTGGGGGATTATGCAGGATTGAAGGTGAGAAGCTGAGACTCCTTGAAAGACTGTGATGTTGGTTTACTACACAGTGGAGAATTATGGGGATTGAAGACGAATTTTGCCAAGAATGTTCAGGACGAATACGATGGTGTGTCTCCAAGAGTTTGCAATGAGTTGGCTAATCACAATTCATGAAATCTGTCAGCCCGATGCGCATTAAGAAAGGATTAACATTTCGAGCGTTGTGATTGGCCGTGTTGCAAACTCTTGGAGGCGCACTACTGTGAATCGCCCAAATTAGGAATTAGAAAAATTGACACTTATCTTGGGCTTTGACCTTCAGAGCACCAATTTTTTTTAAAATAAAAGCTATGCATGTACACTCAATGCTTTTTTAGAGCTTTGTGATAGAAAAAACAGTACAATTGTCTTTTCCTAAGTGTACAATGTACCTTGTTCAGTCATTTCCCGTTCTTCACACACTCTCAGCACCTTCGTGGCTTTCCTTTCTGACTGCAGCGGGACCCTCTCAATGAAAAGCTCCAGGTAATGCCTGTTGGGAAATATTGTCGGGAAATGAGTACCTACGAGCTCCTTATAGTTAACTTGGAGAAGCAGAATAAATGACTAATTTCACTATGCAGAGCTTCAGGTTACATGGCGCTTCTAGACTGAGAATTTGGCAGTCTATGGAAGCAGCATGAACTGCTTATTCCGAGACAACAATGTGGAGCTAGTCCCACAGAACACTGCCACAGGCTGGCAGGCTGAGACCCTGGAGTTGTTTGGTCTTGGGATAGCTAGCCTGCTGGATGTTGTAAGAAACGAGCAGGCTTCTCACAGTGACAGTTGTCTCTCTTGCATTGAGTACAGGTTCCATGCAAAAATACTACTCAGTCAGGGTACATGAAAGGAAAATTGGTCCCACTTTTGCATGTGTAGAATAGACTCACTGCTTTCCTGCTTACCTCCCAAATTCTGGACAATGGTCTAAGTAGCCAGCAACAACCTGCCAAAGGCTGTAAGCAACAATTGAAAAGATGTAAGAAACCCAAGTATTTAGGGAACATTGTTATATTACCCTTAAGAACTGAAGCCCAATTTGCCAAAAATACCATAAATTGATGTACAAAACAAACAAGGTACAAAAAGGGGAACAAGTAAATAACACTATCATGATTTTGGTGATTTACATTTTTTCCCTTTGTGGTCAATTGCACGAAAACTTCATCTTTTTAACACTGTTTTTAGCAGAAACTGATTAAATAAAAACTAGGTTCATAGTTTGACTGGCGCAAATGAGCAAGGACTAACCTGTTGTGAGACATTAAGGTGGAGGCATACTCCAGAAGGAGGAACTCTCTCAGGTTGGAACCAAAACTAATGGGGCAAAATGAAAGACAAAAAACTGATGTTAGGTCACTTGCAGGAGACGGGCAGGAACACTGGTACCCTCTTTGCCTTTCATTTCAGCGATCTGGGTTTGAATCCTGTCCAGGCCAACATGTGGGTTGGATTTCAAGGGTACAGTGCTTTCTTCACCTTCCGTCTCGGAAAGCTGGGTTCGAATCCCACCCATATTTACATGTGGATTGAATCATGTTCCCCTGGAAAAGTGCTTTCCTATTTATTCCATTTCTGTGACTAAAGTTCGAATCCTGCCAAGGTTAGTACAGTGCCTTGGTACAATGCTTTCTTCACCTTCAATTTTCATGAGCTGGGTTCAAGTCACGCCCAGGCTAACGTGGATTTGGATTGTGTTTCATGGCACAGTCCTTCTGTAAGTTCAATCTCTTCTATCCCATCAAGACTGACAAGTGCCTTGGCATCTTTTCCTGGCTACACTGTTACAGTGTTTTCTGTGTGACCAGGTTCATCTTGGAGAGCTATATCAGGGTTCATACACCTTTGTGAAAAAATATTGCAGGACTTTTCCAGGTCAAAAGTTTGATTCTTCCAGGACTTAATACTGGACACACAATACAATATATCAATACAATACAATACAGTAACACAATACAATGTAGCAAGTGCATATCTACCTCTACCTGAAATAACTATTAATTTTTCTGACAGTGACAACCTGACCACAAGGTGGGCCTACCCACAGTTGGCGATCATAAAAAAATAAACCTTCCCCTAGTCCATTCAACGTTAAGGAAAAAGGTTCAAAACAGTTAAAGTTTTACTTTTACACTGAGCTTCATTAGTTTATAATGACTGGAAATATTTAATTATGTATTACATAAAGTACATAAAGTTAATAGAGATTAATTTCATAATTATATCCACAGTAGACAGTTTACCATGGGGCTACAAAAAACGAAGGTAAAATTTGATCACAAGAATTTTAATAATGATTGGTGTCTCGCACATGCAAAATAGAAAGAATCACATTGTGGGCACCATCCAAAACTGATTTCACTCATAGCCCTATGTGCAGCGCAGGTATGCTAACCTTAAATACCTTGTGTGGACTTGTGAACAAACGATGTCAAACACGATGCAGGAAAAGAAGACGTTCTGTGGACTTGCACATATCTATAGGACATTTCCCCTCTCTGAAAAATAAGTTTAGAGGCATTTTGGGGTAGGGGTTAAGGTTCTTGTCTTGGTCCATTATTATTTATTTTGTACACTAGCCCACTGTTTGATGTTGTTCGGACCCATCTTCCACATGTTCACTGTTATGCTGATGACACGCAGCTGTATCTCTCATTTAGCACGGACTATTCTGAAAATCAAAGGTCGTATTTAGCTGTTTCAGAGGGTTGTATTAAGGATTTGCATAATTGGATGTTAGCCAGTGGTCTTATGCTGAATGACAGTAAAACTGAGTTTATGATTATTGGGACCCCCCAACAGTTGTCTAAAGTTGATATCGATTCCATTCGTGTTGGTGGTTGTTCGGTAACTCCTACGCCCATTGCTTGCAACTTAGATTCATGGTTTGATGTTCATATGTTGATGAATACTCATATTCAAAAGATATGTGGTAGTACATTTTATTATTTGCATAATATTAGACGTATAAGAAAACACCTGACCACTAAGTGTACTGAAACCTTGGTCTATGCTTTTATTTCTAGTCGTTTAGATTACTGTAACAGCCTTCTCTATGGCTTACCTGACTGTCAGATAAATCATCTTCAACGCGTGCAAATGCCTGCGCTTGACTTGTCTGTAAGTCGTATAAGTTTTGTCATATTACACCATTAATGATCGATTTTCACTGGCTTCAAGTCAGATTCAGGATTAATTCCAAAATATTGTTGTTGACTAAATGATTTTATGGTTTAGCACCAGTTTAATTAGCCAGCTTATCATAAAGAAGCCCTCATCTCGTTACAATCTTCGCAGTTCTGATGACGACTCTTCTCGGCCACCCTTTTCATGGCACCAAAGTCACCCTTGGGGACTGCGCTTTTGTTATTGCTGCCCCTACCCTCTGGAATGCCCTACCTATTCACATTAGGAGAGCTAGTAGCCTTAGTAATTTTAAGTCGATGCTAAAAACCCATCTTTTTAAAATCGGCCTTTTATTGATCTGGCTGTTATTTTTTGTGGTTTGATTTTGCATTATTTTATTACACTTCGTCGGGTGTTTTTACAAATTTAATTTGCACAGATGTTTCACATTTATAATTATTTCATTATTAAAGTTTCTGCTTGTATTATAATTTTGGATGTACTATGGTCCATCATGGATACAATATTTTAGTGTGGTTTTCTCAGTATATATTTAAGTCATTTTATTAAGCAGCGCATTTGAACAATTCTATTTGGAACTTGCGCTTTATAAATGAATAAATTATTATTATTATTATTATTACACGTCATCTCGCGTCAACACCTTCAGCAAAATTCATCTGCAGCACAGAGCGCATGCTTTTACGTTGTTTACCATGAGCAACATGAAACACCCATTACTTATTGTGCATTTAGGCTTTTGATGTGTCAGCTTTGTTGAAGCATTTAATGTTAGAATACAGATACAGAAATGCAACTAGCCAAATACAAGCTGTACAAAATTTCAAGTTTTCCACCGGTCGTGTACAACAGGCTTGACTTTCCACAGTGAGTTAGCACTCGGATAATTTGACACAGCTCCATGACTCAAATCCTGCCCAGACAAATGGATTGGGCTTTTGGGAGTCCCTGCCTGATTCTGTGGGGCTTTTCCTCCCACCTCTTGCGACTGAACTTTTTCATAGCATTATATATCATCTTACTTAATAACAGGTGTTTATATAGTGCTTTTAACTAAGACCAAAGCGCTTTTCATTATCATTACCCCTGCTGACAGGGCCCATGAGACAATCCAAATACATATACCATCTCAGCTCAGTGGGGAGTGTACAGCTCGATTTCGGTGAAAAGCAGCTAAATCAATCACATTATCTCTGCCCTCATAGGGTACCCAATTACTCCTGGCTGGGGAGCAGCTAAAAGAGTGCTTTGTCCAAGGGCACACTTGAATGACCCCAGGTTGGATTCCAAGCCGCAACCCGTGGCTTGACCTACAGGCTATGTATCGAGGCCACAGCATTCCACTTACTTGAGTTGGTGGGAGTCCAGCTTGCCGCAGTGATGCAACAGGTCGGCCAGGTGGGCCACAAACCACCAGTTACTCATGGTGGCGCTGTCAACAGAAGAGGAAAGGAACCATATGCAGAGATGTTTCAACTACAGTGTCTTCTACACAAATACTAAGCCACTGGCTGCATCCACAATGTCCTGGCTGTGGCTGTTTAAAGTGACCCACACATGCTACGGAATGTAACCATAGCCTCTAGCCAGTCCCTTCAATTGTGTATACCGTGCCCACAGCTGACACTTTCAGAAGCAGCTTCACTTTCAAAGTTACAGTGACCTGGTCAAATCACACCTTAATCTACCTGTACAAATAATCATATACTTCAGTGTTTTTTGGAGAATAACTTTTAACCATGGAGGAAGGGGGAGTGGCCTATTAAACAATTGTTTTTCGTTGGTCCTAAACTTTGGGTTATGAAGCCATAATACAGAACCATCTTTGATTATGAAGACAACAAAATCCAAAAGAAACAAAATGAAGGAGGCTGTTGTATGCACCTGCTAGCTTTGATGACTTGATGAACGTCAAACTCGAAGGCCGCCATCAAGATGTTGTCCACTGCATTCATCCTGGACGAACCACCCAACTCGTCAATGCAGGCCTGGGTAACAAAATGAACAGATCTTTTAAAGATATTTACGCCACCTTGGAAGCAAGCCTTTTGAAGAAGCACAGACGGGACATCTATTCATCAATGACAATCCCACAGAGCACTGAATAAAAATAAAACCTGTCAAGGCAGCAATAAAGACAGTTGCTAAGTCTAAGATACCAAATACATTTGTAATTAAAATCACAGATACTGAAAGTATGATTGCACAACGGTGAACAAAAGTACACATTTGAAAGTCTGAAAAAAGCTACTTTCTCCTGAGAATACCACTCTTTACATTGATGCTAAAAATAATTTCTAACACGTCTGACCAAGAAAGATACTTCAGTCTGTTTCGTTAGACTGGCTTTACCATAGCCTACCAAATAACATGGCTCCATGCTGCGCCCACAATGATCTCCATTCAAATCTGGTAATTGCCACTGACAGACCCCCCAACATTGGCTATCAAGAGTTACGAATTTGGAATTTTTCATGAAAAAGCGGAATATTCTCCGTACTACCATGAACAAGGAAAACTCAGTGCTGCATTGTACAAGAGTCGAGTCCGTAATGGTTTAGAGTACTGCACGTACTCACCGATTCCATAAAATTTTGATTTCCACAAGAGTTACGTCATCTGAAATGGTTCACAATAATTTTGATCTCCTAAATATGTTGATTCACCATCAAGTTCAGTGCAAATTCAAAGCGAAATTCACAGTATGGTGCTTGCACATTTGACACTATCGTGGATGATTTCACAGCAGTGCTTAGTCTTGAATCTAAACGTTCTTAGCTGTGGTTCCGAGTGAAAATGGGCACTGCGTGATGCATACACAACTCTATGGGAACTGGCCGTGGGCACTACCATAGACTCGTCTGTAATTAAGTGATTCAGACTTAGCCGTAGCTTGTCGATAGAGGGCGTTTTGTCATGTGATCACATCCAACTCATGGCAAGTACGCGTTCAAAGAGGGCGCAGGCGCGGAGGTGGCATGTTGTGGTACAGTACATGCATAAGATTACATGGACATTTTTCGGTAAAGGATAGGCATGTCAAAATTGCGATTTGGTGGAAATTTCAGGGGCGAAATCAGAATGGCAGACACGAAGCGAAAAAGCAGAAATTTCTCGCCTAAGTCGGGAGGGTTGGGAGGTCTGCACTGATTCACTATTCAAGCAACCTCATCCCTACAATGTCTTGCAGTGCGCCCCAAGGCTACTCGCTCTCTCAACCAGGTTTTGGCTCATTTGCGGCATCCAAGCATGTTGGATACAAATGTTGATGAGCAACATTCCTGTGCCTGAAGGTGCTTTCAATTAGCATTTGTTCTAGGACGCAGCATCTGGTATTAACACTTCACAGGGTGCTGTTTCGAAAAGCACAATTTTTTCAAAGGTAAAAAGTTAGAAGCAAGCAATGTGGAGCATGGAGAAAAAGGGATTGTTTAAAAGTGAAAGTGGATGTAATAAATCACTGCAAACATGAAAACATATTATACACAAAATAACGTGTACAGATTTTAGAATTTGTAATATTTTTTCCTTCAGTTTCTTCTTAAAAAATCCAACTTGGAAAAACGGCTTTGAAAATTATTTGCTAGTATATCAATTTATAGAAACTGAAAAATTACCTGATATAAAAAAGAAATATCCTGCGACAAATTGAACCATCATTTTCAAAAATCTAAAATACATGAAGAACAGTTCAATGCGGCAGTCTCTCTTGTGCAGATGAACATTTACGGTTTGAAATTTTAAGGTAGTCTGTGGGTAAACGCCAAAATAAAAACCGATCAAAATATTTTACACTTTTTGGTAATTTATAAGGTAATAAACATAAAGCAATATTCAACTTTTACGAAAGATTCTAATATTTTATCGAACCGTTGCTGACAACAACTGCGTGATGTCAACTCAACAGAATCTGGAACCCATCGACTGCAGGTAGGTAAATCTTTGCAAGGTTGTACAATCTTGTTTTCAAGAAAGCACCGCAAGTGAAAAAAAGGTGCATGAACGAGGAGACCTAGGTATCGCCAGATGTGAAAGGTCGTTAATAAAATTTATTTTTTACCCATCTCCAGATTACTTTTCCAAAATGTTACTTAAGGAAGACAAAAGTAAAATTCCAATATGAGTGGTTCAACGGGCGGTTTCAGTAAGGAATTATTTTTCTAGAAATTATCGAACGTGATATCGAACGTAAAATCCCCATAGGCAGACTGCGCAAGGGTTTCGGAACCTCGCTGCGTGACCTTTTACTTTCAGGCTCTATTGTAACCACCAAATACCCAAAAATTGTTTTCTTGCTTTTACTGCACTGAATCAAAATACAGGAAGAAACTTTCCTTTCCAGGGTTACTATTAAAAGCTAAGCTGAGAAATAAAACAATTGCTGGGGATGAGGCTGCAGCTCCTGGATATTTTGTGTGCCAAGGTTACTAAGGGAAATTAACCTGTGATCGACAGTCCCTGATCAAACTTGGTCACACACACAAATGCCCACATCATCAGGAAATCTTTTTCTGTCTGACTACCTTTGCGTGGTGCTGCAGGTCTAGTGCCCTGACTGTCGGGTTGCAGTACAAAAGTTTGGTGACCAGCATCTGATACCAGCTTGCAATCACATCTCCCTGCTCAGACAACACAGACAGGTCCCCAGACAGTATCTGGATGAAAAACCATAATGTTCGACAAGTCAGCGGATATATCTTCTTAAAAAAAATCAACAAATGATTACGTCCTTTATAAATCCTTGAATTGTCAGTTCAATGCATCCTTATGCCATTTAAGTTCTGAAATCTGTTTCCAATTTGAATGTGTAGTTGGAAAAATATTTTCTCCTCTGAAATGCGCTAAAAGGTTACAATGTTACACACTCTCCCAATGCAGCCAGAGCATCCTGGTCGAAACGTAGAATTGACACTAATTGGCTCTGTTCAGAACCTTACGTCATCAAGAGATAGATCCCATGGTGTACCCGCAAATCCTTAGCAAAAATGTTACATTGTTTCTTGGTTTATTTTGTAAGTGTTTTTTTCACATTTTACAATGTCTATGCTCCTTGATGGCATCCACGAGTGTTCTTTTTGTAATCAGTTTTGATCCTTTGGGGATTTTCTGTAACAAGAATGACTCAAAGACATGCTAAGTTAACAGAATAATGAAAAAGGGGGAAAAAACCGAGATAAAGCAACTGAGCTGACCACAGCTAAAAAAAAAAGACATTTCCTACGGTGTATAAAAGGTGAAATTCCTGGCTAAGATAAAATCCCTACTTTGCTTACGAATGTGGAATGTTCTGAGAAAAAAGACCGAACAGGTACTTAAATGGTCTTTAAAATGACAACCCCAAGACTACACATACAGTGAAACCTCATTAATAGGAAGTCCTTCAGACTTTGCAGAGTATCGTGGTATAGCAGGAACTTTGTATGATCAGGAATGAAAACAAGGAAGAAGTGACTGTGATCTGAACATTTCCTTGTCATGAGCAGCATATTCCATTAGTAGTGCTCTTATGAAGAAGATTCGACTGAACTGGTTCAGGTCGACACGACAGTGCATTTCGAGAATTCCATATAAAGAAATTCTTGCACAGGAACCATTACAATGCACAAATTATGTAAAAGCTGACAAGCATGTAATCCATTGACAAGAGAACCTGGGTTTCAATTTGACTTTTCTAGGGTCTTGACAAAAAGGCATACCTTGCATATTGCATGCAGGTGGGAGTAGGAGATGAATGTGTTGTCCTCCAGGCATTGCCTGCACTGGTCCTGCCAATGGCGCCACCGCAGGTCAAACTCTGCCAGGGACTGGCGGCTGGAGGCGCCAAAGACGGGCATGTCCCGCATCAGCTTGTCCATGCGGGCAAAGACCTGGAGAGAAGAAAACGAGAGGAAAAAGGTGTCCTTACTGCATGCGTAAAAAAAAAAAAATCATCTCAATAGTATAATTTGACAACCAGAATTGGAAGCCATTACTGCTGTGGCACAATGCTCGTGGATAGGTGGTACGCCTGCCATACATGTCTCTTTGGGGTGTGATGGTTTATCAAATGCTAGGCCTGTGCCGGTTACCTGGGTACCCGCGCGTCGAGTTCAAAATCGGGTTCCATTTTTCCGGGCAGGGTACCCTTAAGAAAATAACTAAATAAGGAACGAACATCCATGCATAAAATGTCTGTGAACTTTCTTACTGAAGGGCAGACTTCCTGGAAAACCACCGTGCCGCTGAAAACCCAGTCCCGCGGTCATACATGAAACTTGAATTTGGAGATCGAAAGCTAATTTTGTTATCCACTCGGCCCATTGTACCGCAAGTCGTTTTCCTAGTTCCGGAATTTTCCTAGTTCACAAGAGCAAAAAACCACTAAAATTCACGGGCGATAGGTCACTCACTACATGTGATTTCAAATATTTCTTTAGATTGAATAGTCATATAAACCTTTGCATCTAATGTCTGCTTAATCAAAACGACTTTTTTAGAGTTTCCGTTTTTGTTAATTTACCGAAAAGTGCAAGCTTTTCCCCCTACTTTCGGATCGTGCAGCGTTACAACGTACGCAAAGTTATTGTGAACTTAACTACACGGGCGCAACAGAAATGTATGTGACGTAATAGGTTAGTCAACTGTGNCAGGGAGGGTACCGTTGATAGTTCACTGTACAATTGAAAAGTCGAGTCAAACTTTACGCAATTTCTACTTTTTAATTCATTGGAATTTTTATTTTTCATCTAATTTTCTCAAAACAAAAAAATTCTATTAGAAAAGCAACTGTTTACAATGGTTCTGGCTGAAAATGGACTTTTTGTATGGTTACTTTTTATTTGTGAAGACGTTTTTGTCTTGATCCTAAACCGATCCAGAACTGGGAAAGATGTCGTAACTTTCATCGATCGATCCTCAGTGTGAGTCCAAATGTAAAAGCTTAGATTTTGAAAAAAAATTGAATTATATCCAAACCAGAAAGTTGACTTCTTACCATATTTCACTCAAATTTGAGGATTTTTTTAGCTGCAGTCTTACTGAATAATTTTCGCCATCCAGAACTAGGAAAATGACGGTACCGAATCTATATGAACAAGAGACGAAGGAGTTTTGTCTTATGAAGTGGAAGTGCTGTTGATGTACACTTGCATGACTGGATTTGTAACTTTCAAACCCTGTCGGCCTAAATGACTTTTGTGTGGAATTAGTGCTTACTGTTTGAGTTAATAGTATTTTTGTCAAATAAAACAATATGAATGAAAATTACTTTATGTCGGGATTGACGACGAAGCGAGAGCGGACTGTGTGATATTCCAGCGGTACTGGGACTCCACACTGCGTGCGGTAAGTAGTGATCACGCACAAATTGTGCGGTTGATCGGCCTCTGTTTATAACCAAAGCACTAAATGTGCTCCACAAACCCAAAGAGTCAGAGAACCAGTTTAATTTTTCTACCAAGAAATATGCCGTTTCAAAATTATTTTTAATTTAAAGCAACATGAATTTCCTCGGTGATTCAGTGGAACTGTGGAATTGAACACAAAAGCAGGAAGGATATTTTCTGTATGTACAAAAGCATTTCAAATCTAAGTATTCTTTCATTTGAAAGAAGGGAAATGTTGACAGGTGCAAGTCACAATACAGTCGGCCAATCAAATGTCACTTGTCGAAGTACTTAAACATTAAAATCTTGACAATTTGAACTTCAGGGGAATGGAGTTATCCTGAAAAGGTATTTATTAAACTAAACCACTTCATCGTGGTACCTTCGTGTGGAAAAACTTTCGTATCACTTGGTCATTTAACAAGGTGAAGCGCTGCTATTTTTTTCAATTGGGCTTCCCTATGTGTGGTCACACGACCTTTCCTTTTGCGGTCACATGGTTGCTGCAGTGTCAGCTATTGGACTGCCTGAAGGGGACTACCATTGGGCCCGTGTTGCAATCAGGTTAGTTTCAGTGTCTTGAGAGCCAGGATTACAGTTGCAGCTATGTTGATTTATGCAACTTGCATACAACTGGTCCTCGTGAGAAAAGAAATACACTTGCGATGACTCCTTACCCCATACAGACTTCCGACACTTGCAATGCCGTTTGAAGCATTTTGGTGGTGGTTTTTTGAATCAGAAACTTCAAACTAAGCGGCTATAATGGTGTGGGCATTGTTTGAGTTACGGTGGTATTTTTGTACATAAAACTTAAAGCCTTTTAAGCCGTGACGTACATAGCACTGATCTGGTCCGCACGTGACACGGACCAGCGCTCACCATTTGTGCGCGCCACGTGCGTTCCGCGTGTACGTGGTCATGCAGCATCCGGGACATTTCCTTTGAGCGGTTGCAGGTGCGTATATCATGTAGGTGGTTTGCAGCTCTGCCCTCTTTTTTGAAATTCCCCGTAAGGATTTGTTTTTCTGTTTCATATACCCACAAAAAAAATTTGCAAACTGAAGGTAACAATTTCGTTTGATAAAAAGGTAGGAGAGATTAACTCCAACATTTAGAACAATGTGCTGCTTGCTTCCTATGTACCAAAAAGAACCGTGTTTCGGCCACATGATCCACGGGGTGGCGCGCAATGCCATTTGTTATTAAGTGATCTCTTTTCCGGGTACCCGGGTACCCGGTATTAACAAAAATCGGGCACCTGGTTCTAAAAATACCTGCAAATGCACGGGCGTGTCAAGATGAAGAATGTGCGTGTCAGTGCCGTGACACTGCAGTTATGGCTTGTAATAGTCTATACACTTAGTGTGGGGTAGCATTGGGCGATTCCAGCATTTTGGGACATGCAGTGCCTAATTTACTAACTTTTGTGATATTTTTCATAATTTGTTGTGCAACTTACATGTACGTATTGTGCAAAAGTTACATGAAATCGACTGCTGGACGAGGTATATCGTAATACATCTGACTTACATGGAGGGTGTCTTGCTGTTGCTGTACGTGTAGGGACAGGAGATGTCTTGCCTCTGCCAATCTGCCCTGCATCACGTAGATGTACACCTGTGGTCGAGATCAAAATAAGACACATGCAGGTTGCGCTAACTCTAACCAAATATCCCTTTGCTGCGCCTACAAAGAGGTGATTATTTTTATGAAAGGTCACACCAGACAGGCTTAAAAATCCGGGCTTGGAAATTTATACAAACAGATTCTAATCAATTGTGGCACACACATACGCATGAAAATCAATGTATTTGCTGTGTCGTCTACCACAACATGTCTTGAAACAGGAATTGGTTTTACATAAGTTGTCAGTATAAAAAAAGACACTTTTTCCGCCAGAAGAGAAACTATAATTTGGATGGATGCTATGTTACAGAAGCTACTCCATGAAAGACAGAACACAAGCCAAAATCCCTCATAATTTATTTTGTGTCCGACAAGTTCCCAGAAATGTTTTGAGCTCAGCACATAAATCTGCGGAGAAATCCCTTCTAGGAGGCGAAGCTGTAAACTTGGGCCCTAGTTCGACTACTCACAGCCCTCCAGTACTTGTCATTGATGAGGAGGTCCTCTGACTCTAACACCTCCCTGGCCAGACGATCGCCCTCCGTGAAGTGAAGCTTCAACCAGTCTTGTAGCTGCTGCAGCACCACACCACCTGGTCACACCACCGAGCAAAAATGTCAATGAGGAAGAGCATGAAGCATCACTTGTGATTTTTTAACAATTCCTCCATCGGCTGATCGACTGACAGCACAATGTAATTGCGTGATCATGCCCATCGACCGATTGCACTCAACATTTACATTCATTTAGACCCCTACCCTTAAAGGAACCTCGTAAGTGTGTGTAAAAGCTCACTGGTTTTCTGCTGGTTTCAAGAAAAAACCTACAAATGTAATGCCTACAGAATATGAGCAGCTGGCATTTTATTGGGTGTTTCCTGCTTGTCCTCAACTCTCACTGAAAATGTCTACACTAAAGTGGAAATGCATATGCACCATAAAAAAAATGCTTGCCTTGTTGCAAAGAAATTGATGGAGAAAAGAAAAGTTATTGAGCACCAGTCCCTCAACTCAGGGACCTAAAATCTCCTGAAGCCACGGAGAAACTGAATTGAATTTGGAAAAATCCATGTGACACAAACAATAGGTCAGTTATGCTTGCAGTGTTAATAAATTTCTGAATAAATTTATCAGCACACCAAACAAAGTACACTTTTTTCAATATTTCATATTCTATACAAAGTTCCTTATTCCTTACTGCATTCAAGACTGCATAGGACAAAATTTACCTGTCAGTTTTGACATTAAAATGGTTTTGGATGTTTAATGACAACAAGAAATTACTCTCTGGTCACAATCCAGTTATAGCCTCTCTACTGATACACATGAACTTGTGGATTTCTCAAGACATAGCAGAAATCAATCCTGGAAACACTGTTAAAAAACAAGACAGTAGCTTACTGGTCCTCTTTGCTGTTTTTGTGCCATTACATTGTGTCTCCGGACCATAAATATACGTAGAGGGTGGTCCATGCAAATTATAAATGCATTTAATGCCAGCTCCCCATTGCTGCAAGATTCCAGACCATATTGTACATACACAACACTTCAGTCATGTCATCCACCTTGACCTGAAGCACTCCCTCATTGGTTGAAAAGAGCCAGGTTGGTGGAGAGTATTCATTTTGTTTATAGTGAAGCCACCGTAATGCATGCATTTCAGTAGTCATTTGTGAACAAGCCAAGTGCGGTTCCCACCAAAGGCGACAGTTTGCTGGCGAAATTGCGCAATCTCTTGGTCCCACTCAAGGCTCCATACCTGGAAGCGTCTCCACAAAGAGGATCTCGCAGAGGCTCCAGATGAGGCCCATGGTCTGCAGCAACTCGCTCTGTGCTGCGTAGCTCTCGCAGTCCTCACGGGACAGATTGGGATCTGAAATGATGGGACACAAAGCAACCATTGAACAGGTCAGGCTTGAAACCCAGTCTGATAAAACAATGGCCATGTTATGAGAAGTATATGAATCTGTTCAAAGTTGACTGTCTGGGCCACTGCTGTGGAAGGTCCTGATATAAAACGTGAACCCTGCTGGGATAATACTGCGCATAAAAGGCTTGCCTACCGCTTACACATGTGCCAATGGCAGCTACAGGTAGCGGCTTTCATGCATGTAGCCAATGATACCTGTTATATGTAGATATGGTCAACAATGAGTACATGGCGCAGTTGGCTCTCCAAGTAAATTTATCATTACTACTCCGTATTTCACTCCGCATTAAAAAAAATACAAGTACATAATACAAATAATATGAATAGGATAAGACTTGCAAATAAAATAGTGAATACATGGTATAATGATTGAAAAGTGGGCATACAATAAATTAAGAAGAAATGCATTGATAAGAATGTGGAGAAGGCAAGATTTAACCACTCGGTGCCGGGGTTTCTGGGGTTTGTATGCAAAGCCGGCAGCCCGAAATCGGACAAAGGCACTGGGCCTTGTAACAAGAGAACATTCTCAGGACAAAAGACCCTCAGCTGGGAATTGCCGTCATTTTCCAGCTGGCATTAGCGGAGGTAATCCGTCATTATTTTGAAACAGTATACCACTTTTTGCAGCATTCAGCATCTGCAGATTATCAGCGCAGACAAAAGTGGCCCAGTACTCCAACAATGAGTGATACAGCATCGCTGCATGCTAATCTTGCATTTGAATCAGTTGTGCAGGTGGAAAACATCCTGTAAATGAAGCCATGAATTCTTGAAGAATTTTGAAAATGGAAAATCTTGAAAATCACCAAGGAACTTGTCCTGCCTATTCAAATTCCACCCAGCAGGAAGTGGTTGAGGCAATTTAAGATCCATTGCCAAGCCTTTTATTGTGCGGAGGCAAGCGGCCTTGTGGTTAAGGTATGAAGTCCCTGAATCAAGCACCAATCCTAATTACGCGTTGCAACGTTGGGCAAATCGCTTTCCCCTACTTGGCTCTCCCCACCCACGGATACGAATGGGTACTTACGAGGGCGGTGATGGTACAATATTCCATTGGCCATTTGTACTTGAAAAGGCGGCATTGGTTTTTAATACCGAAGCATGTAAATGAGACAATGAAATTGGGCAATGGATGGCTTACAAGCTGTGATGACTTTGTTCAGTTGGGCTTCTTCTTGGAAATACACGTTCAGGACTTTGGGGTCACCCAAAGTGGGTGTTATTTCTCCGAAGTGGCCATGTGAATCAATGCATTGTGCTAGTGTATTTGTTGTATTTTTTTCAGCAGCATGAAATGTACCAAGGCTGACCACATTACCTTCTGCAGCTTTGCGCAAGTCCTGGACGCACTCCCCCATGAAGGCGCGGTAACGACGGCTGTACTTGACGAGTCTGGCGAGGGAATGGCATCGAGAGGAAATCGCAAAGTGACTTCAATTTACTTTTGGGCATTATTGGGGCAGATGTTCATGCTTCCAAAGGGTAGGAAATTTACGGGGCCCCCTTCTGGTCCTGCATATTTGTTGCCATTTTAATAACGTTTCATTTCAAAAAGTCCATGCAATATGCTGTCACTGTGGGAACTTTTACAGAGACTTTAGGCACTTGAGTCACTGTAAACTTCCGGGAATTTCTTGATAAATTACAACCCCTAACGTTTCTCCTGATTATTTATACAGTCCACTGTCAATATCAAGAACACTGTGATAGCAAAATATTGCTAAAAAGAGCAAATTTTGCAAATCCTAGTTTCTTGAATTCTTATACTTTTCTTTGGTTTTCCACTTCTTTATTATAAATTTGTCTGGGGTTGGCTGTATATGTTTGCAGTTGTCATGAGGTTTAACATGACTAGAGACTTTGGGAATCATGTAGGATTGCAGACAAACTTACTGTGGTTTTCTGACGGCACCTGTCGACTCTGGACCATGCTTCTGAAGAGCCACAAACACATCTGTGATCCAGACACACAGTGCTTATCAGCAGGCATTCAATTACAATATTCCATTTTATAGTGAATTCTCTCAATTAAATAATGGGTTTTTTTTATCCAGCATGGTGTTTTTACTCTGTTTGGGTAAGTAACTTGACAAATTAATATTCTTTTGAGGCAAAACCCTGCAGCCCAAAGAAATGATGCAAGAAATCCCATTTTGTGACACTGCCGAAGTTCTTGATGGTGAAATGGTTTCTTCAAGCCTAGCTGGTCTTTGCATGTAAAAGCTTGTGCATACCACATTCGTATAACTGCCAAATACTCTTTAGACCACATTCGCCACATAGCTACACACTTCTTTCAGCATTCAATGTTCTGTAAAGCAACGAGGATGGAGTGTTTCAAATATTGAGCTGGCAATATATCTTCCCCCAAAAAGAAAACACAAAAAACCTTGGTAGATTTTCAATGTTACAAAAGTAGGACGAGATATATCTATTTAAACCTAAGTGTAGTGTAGTGCTGCAGCTGAACCGCCGAGCCGAACCAAAAATTATTGAACATGGCACTTTCGAACCCAACCAAACTGGTCGGTTTTGAATGTTTGGGTTTAATATGGCATGGCATTGCTAGCGCACAGAATGCATGCAAGAAGATATGATAAAAAAGCAAACACAACGAAAAATGAATACATGTAAATGAGTTATGCTGCACTGGCGCTTAGCATATGTGCATGTACATGTACACACTTTCTCTAAATGTATATGTACAGTAAACTTACAGTGGTCCCGCATCACACGATGGTTGGAAAAATCACATGGTGAGAATTCACCAATACTCAACCGACACCATGCAACGTACGGCATTTCCGCTTCACAATTCTAAATTCTCGCGACATCCAATTGTGCTTATGTATATTAAGATTTAACATTATGTTAGCCAATCTTCGATACCCACGCCATTACATTCCATGTTAGGCCAATGATGTCATAAATGGCCGTGCAAAATGAATTTTGATTGGATGTTGATCACAGTCCGACTCCTGCTCGATCGAAGGCAACTCCGGAGGGGAAAATTGATTTTGGCAGGCGGGCCGGTGCAGCGATCCAGCGCACGACAAGATTTGGTTCGAGCGGTGGACCAATTTGCCTTTTGTTTGATCATGTTTGATAGAAGTCATTGTGTGAATACGTCATAATGGAATTTTGCCAGATCTCTAAGTTGTTCGCAAATCTCAAATAACAAAATGCCGTTCTCCATTCGATAAAGACTGATGGAAAATCGTCCCTTTGGCCACGTGGGCACTGTCCTGGGAAAGAATGATGAAGGTTTTTTGAATACATCAAAAGCCATAGCTTGGTAGCTGAATCTCTTTCGTGAAAAATAACCAAAACAAAATTTTCTGGAAATCTAATTTCATCTTGTATCCTGTAAGGGAGGAAACCCCCATTTGAGCATGCTGGCTTTTTTTCTGTTTTCACATATCCTATGATTGTTTTTTGAGTCAAGTGTGGTCCAAACGCAACTGCTTTTGGTCTGGAAAACACAGTCGGAAACTGTCACACCTCCGACGGTAACTTTCTGGGGAAACAGTTTGGAAAAAAATTATGTTCACATCAAAGTTGCTTGTGGACGGGAATGTAGAGGAGATTCATTGCTTGTATTAACATATTTTATACACGGAAGTACTATAACAGCAAGTTCGTAGCGAGCTGTTTGATGTCTCAATGTGCATTGTACATGTACATGTATGTACATGTACACATGTACGTGTGTACAGTACGTCCGAACCCGAAACGAACCAAAGTTAGCAAAAATTTCCGAACCGCATCTGAACCGAACCCAAACCAAACCTTGGCACCCACATGTACTTGCAGCACCAGTGAAGTGGAAGCCTGTACGTACCGTGTGACTGGGTGACTAACTTTCTCGCTATCGGTTTGTGCATATCCATTTGCCACTGGACCCAATGCAGCCTGGGTGGGCTAGGCAAGACACTTGCTGTATAACCTGGGTAAAGAGAAAGGACATTTAATTCACAGGACAAATTCTTGACTCTGGAATTTATTTGAAACAGGGCAACTTCCTATCTGCCACGAGCGTGACCAACAGAGGGAGCAACAGAGGCTCCTTTTGTGGGAAGTGCACTTCACTAACGACTAGGAGACGCTGCGTTCATGTCACTACCAACAAAATGAGCACTCCCCACCCACATAACTCTTTTCAACCAATGAGGGGGTGCTTCTGCTCAAGGCGGTTGATCTTCAACGACCACCACTGTTTACAATCTCAATGGCAATTTGCTTCAAGATGTACATGTACTTGAAATTTTAAGCCCGCCATCCCTCTATCCAAATTCTTCTACAAACCTTGACGGATTTCAAAGAAATTGAGGGGGGGTTAAGTTTGAGTACAGCTATGAAATGCCAGATGCAGTAAATGTTAGCCAAGTCTTATCTCCTTTAGCAAAAAAGAGCAATTTCTAATGTGATGAAAAAGTCTTCACAAGTGGGATGTCAATATTGGTGTAATGTACTACCCACTTTTCACTGGCCTTGTTCTCATCATATCAATGTCAACATTAACCACTATGAACCATTCAGGCAATCTTTACAAAATAGTTTAAAAACTGATATTGAAAACACTCTGAAGCCAACTGCTGCCCCCAATCACATCAACATTTGGCATTTTTCTCCTAAAAAGTATGGAACTTTACACTCAGCAAATAATATTAGGCACCCTGGGTCAATCCTGTGGGAGATCGAATAACCTTCCAAACATGTGAACTAGGAAAAGAAATGCATATTTGACTTATATAGTGTGAAATCACCACAGTGATGGAATGCTGGCAGTGTCATCAAATGATACCCATGCGCAATCAACCGATCATTTGCAACTAATCTGTGTGTCACTACAGGTTGCTGCCACAACTTTTGGGGATGGGGGCAGAGGGGGGATAGGGACAGGAAATGACTCAAACAAAAAACTGCTGGGCTGTGGAAGTTTGAAAAGTTGGCGGGGTACTGTTGGACACCACATGAAACTAGGGGACGCCAGGGCTTCATTTAAAAGGAGCGCAATCGCGCTTGCGGTCCTCCGCGCTCCTTAATGTTTTCCAAGGAGAGCAAAAAAAGCACTCCTTAAAACTTTAAGGAGTGCATGATTTTTTCAAACCAGCAGATGTTGGTTTATGACAAGCCCCTTGAATCTCGTTGGGTCGACAGTAGCAAACGAGTCCAATAATTGAATGTATTAAAACACATGGGCTGGTTATCAAAGTCTTTGAGTTGTGCACGCGTGCTTGATAAATCCCGCATCGCAACACACAAACGTGCTAGCGCATGTGGGCGGGCCTATGGAATTCCATGGACGCACGTGGCCGTGGCCGTGCCCGGCCGACCTCTCTCCCAGAACGGGTCGAGTTCAGGTGCTACGTTCTCGGCCGTTTGTGAACAGCAGAAGTTTGTGAAAAACCCTGTATTGGCTGGAGGATGGTTTGTGATCCCTTGCGTGTTCGTGTGGTTCGAGCGTGAGAACAATGTTCGCTTGTCGAGAACAGAAAGTATGCCACAGAAAAGAAAAAAGTCCCTGGAGGGTAATGTGCCCGGTGTTCTATACGAAAATGCACTGGTCGAAGTAGTATCATGGAGGAAGGACACAGGAGGAGTTTGAACTGCCCGAGCTATAACATCTGACCAAATACCGCTTTCTGGCATACCCGGTATGTCCATAGCCAGAGCGCAGCGCATGCCTGCTACTCACCACCTGTTTTGCAACCATAAGCCCTCTTTGTACCTTATGATCGTCGCCGCAATTTTTCGTTGGTAATCTGCATCCCTAAAACGTTGTGTGCTGCACGAAACACAGTTGAATATTCATGCCATCGTTAGTGCTTGATATGATCCGACAACAACATCATATTTAGTGCTTAATGGATTTTCGGGCGAGCGAGGAGACTAGTTACATTATGCACTTGTCAATTGTAATCCCGGCCCCGGGGGACCCAGGACTACCGGGGACTTGGCGCGCCAGATAAAACAGGGCAATCGTGATAGTCCCGGCCAAGTCCCCATAATTTGCCCAGCCAGGGCGGGGCACCTTTTTTTGTATTCCCCGGCTGGGCGTTCAAGTTGTGACCATACCCCGCACCTTACCTGCCCCAGCATGCGGGGTTGTTTTGCAACAACCGAACAACTATTAAAAAATAAATAACTAATAACTTTCATTAATTTCTAAAAGTCCCCTACTCTTCTGGGTCATTGCTAAGATGACATCGAGTCGGTCGCCGTAAGTGCAGGTAAAATGCCACTGAAATAAAGCAAAGCAAGGGGCAGTTGCTATAATTATCCCAAACTTTGGCGAAACATTCGGCAGCATATCTGAAGCACCGGAATCAGGGGGCCGACGAACCAAATCGCTACAATCTTTCTTTGCGGACGTCTCAGAAATAATTATGGAAATTCATCCTATAGCAAAATTTGTTACGCACTGTGTTGAGACCAATTGACTAATTGAAACGCTCATTATGTACATGTGGCCATGGCCAGTGCCAGCACATGAGACAATTGACAATTATCACAACACTACATTTGTTTATTGAAGATTGATCTAGAAGATAACCAACGATTTGAAAAGTATCGCCAAAACAAAAGACACGTGACCAGTGCTACTTGGTTGAAAGATTAAATTACATATGTTTTAATCATTTAGCAGTCCATAGAAAGTGGCAACAATGTTTGTAAAAAAAAGAAAGGTCTGTATTTTGCACGCACTGATCCCAAAATAAGGCGTCATCTTTGTCAGGTTTTCATATGTCAGGGTAAGGGAAACACTTTGAATTTCATATCGAGGCTCAGTACTATAAAATTTTACAGATAGATAGTTTAACAAATTGTACAACCCCGCCAAGTCCCTGCTATCGTCCCAGGTCAGCGGGGTAGCCATTGTACATCCCCGGGCAAGTCCCCGCTATCGTCCCGTCCGGCGGGGCACTTTTTTTTGGGACATCCCCGGGTACGTCCCCGCTACATTTTTTAAAGTGCCGGATCCCTCGGGGCCGGGATTACAATTGACAAGTGCATTAACTCATTGAACTCAGTAAAAGAAGTTAAATTGTGTTAATTTTATTTGAGTATGTTTACATTAACTTGGTTTTTGTTAGCGAGAGCAAATCGCTCCTCTTAATTCACTTTGTTGATTTAAGGAGAGCAATTTTTAATCGCTCTCCTTAAATCAACGAAGTGAATTATTTATTAAAATGAAGCCCTGGGACGCTGTTCATGAGATGTACATCTTATGTACATTTACACTATTTGACCTTGCATGAAAATGACCTACATGTACTTTTATATTTTCTCTTCTCTCTCTAGGGCTACTGAATACATTTGAGTTGTTGGGTTGTTTGAAAACTTCCTCAAACCCTGCCTTGTTTCATTCTAACCACTAAAAAGTGGGAGGGGGCAGCACCCAAACTAGAAACTAGGAGGTGACACATGTATACACCGCCCCCCAAATGGGATCATTTTAAATGCTCATAGTTGCTACCCACCTTTGCCTGCTGTGTGCTCATATATCCTCTTGCCGATGCCAGCATGCAGGAGTAACTGGTGTCCCAAACCCCAAACAGATGAGAGGCAGTTTGTGACTGCTGCTGCATCTGGAATGGTCTACAAACAATATAAAAATAACATTTACATGTATGTCAAAGCATTTATGACATACACAGCATCTAACAGTACCTTTCATTCAGAGGTGGCAATATACATGTACAGGAATCATCATTACCCCTACACACTCCGCTCACAACATCCGAACATTCCTGAGACCATTTCAGCTCCCTGGGGAGCATACAGTACTGGTACTATCCCGATGCTGCCATGAAATGATGATGAGCCAACTGCTCAATACAATAAACCTATCTGTCCCCACAGGTACCCTTTTACTCCTGGGTGGACCTGGTGAAGAGAGGCACCCTAAGGGGTAACTGACTTGCCCAAGGTCAGAAACATGTAAACACCTGCCAGGATTATGATCCTGATCCGGGACCTATGATCCGAGGCTAAAAAACTAAGCCACTAGGCCACATATCCTCACTCAAATGCAATGAAATCTTAAAGGCAGAAAACATCGGTCTGAACTTGGGCACTACATGATATAAGACACTCATCAGCGATGGAACATGCTGGCCTAAGGCTCCAGATACATGTACAAGTTACTCCAGATACTCCATTGCATTGAGAACTAGACTGCACGCATTGACAACATGATAACAGCTCCGCAAACAACACAATGACCATGATGACTAGCAGATGACACTGAGCCAAGAGAAATTAAAAAAAACCACCCTGAAAGAGTTTGTCATATTAATTGTAAGCAACTTGAAATTTTACAAGGCATGTATATTTGTAAGCATGGATATGTCTTGTTTAACGGACAAATATGTAGGGCCTATAATGTGAACAATTACAAGTCTGTGCAACATGCAGGAATGTTCATCTAGGCATGTTGACGGCTAGGCCTATGGCCACCACAGCGCAGCCTAAACAAGCAGACAATCTGCCAGTAACAGTGACACTATAGTGGCAGTGTAGTTGCACAATGAAAAAAAAATTTCACCCTTCAGGCTAGGGACAATGCATACATGTAAATGAATGGGGGCGCTGTTCATTTATAAGGAACTCATTTTCTTAAATAGGAAATTGTGATTGAAATTTGTCTTTTTCCGCATGCTCTGGCTTCCATATTTAAATTTGAATTTTAAAATTTAAAAAATAGGCCTATCAATAAGCCTTTTGTGAGTTAAATTTGAATAAAATCTGGCACACTGAGTTCTTTAAATTCACATGAATATACCAATTGGAATTCGCCATACTAAAACCACTGCTGATATACAACATACAGTACATGTACATGTACCTTGTGATTTGGGGCAAGCTTTTCCTTAGTTACATAAGAGATGCCTTGCAACAATACACTGCTCTCAATGGAAAAGAAGGGCATAAAGGAACCAGTCCATTCCAGAGATGGTGGTCGCTGAGCAAAAGCTTGCCCCGAATCACGAGGTATAGCAACAGTGTCTTTAGTCTGGGGAATTTAAATTATGTTTATGTGCAATCAGATACATGTAACTCAGTGTCCCAGATTTTATTCAAATTTAACTCGCAAATGGCTTATTGAAGTCAGCAAGGCACAAATAACATGAATAAGAGCAAACACTTTATGCAAATATGTATTTTAAGCTTTTCAGTCAAAATCCACACTCATTTTTGAGTACAATAAAATAATAAAATCACAATTTGCTCTGCAGTACAAAAACACGGCCTAGGCCTTACTTCAGTTTCTTTGCCATGCACAGTCCGATGGGATCTAAAAATATATCAAAATATTTCTTGTGACATTCTCAAGTTCACTTCAAAAAGAAAACTAAAAAAATAAACCAGCTGGAAACTTTATGAGCCTCCCTAACCCACCAAGCTCAGAAAATCATTCATGAAAATGGTACAAATTCATGTAATTTTCACCATCTATCACCAACTCAAAGTTAAGTCTAGGCCTATCTAATTTACTTTCAGGCTTCATGAAGTTAAAGAGTGAGTCCGCTCAATATTAACGTGGGGTTCATTACCATTAGCACCCTGTTACTATAAAAAGGGAAACAAAGTCCACTTTCTCAAACTAACATTTTGACCTTTAGGAACCATTACTCAATCCTGATAGGCCTAGTTTAAGTAAATTTTGACAATATTTAAGCAAGAAAGCTTCAAACTTCTAACGCAAGTTTGGCAAAAGACAACCACTTGGTCGAATGAAGCCATTTTGTTTTTTGTCTGGTTACTCGACTCAGACCTTTTGGATTCATCAAAACAAATCTCCATCCAGGTCAAGGAACCAGACTACATTTGCTTATTTGTCGTTCACAGCTCTCTTTGGGCAGTCATGTAACTACCGTTTTACTCAAAATTTCTCCAAACAACCAAAAGCCCTGTTCTCTTTTCTTTCTGATGTGAAAGAGGACACCATCAATAACTCGTTTAGATGAGTTATTTCGAAAAAGTAGAATTTTTTCCCTTTTAGGCCTAATAGGAACAGGGTGCTAAAGGTAATAAACCCCATTAACATGACCCAAACAAATATAGGCCCTACTGCATACAGTGTATATTTCACTTACGAGTCAGGTTGGCATAGTGAAGTGGTTCTTTCCTTGCCTTCCACCTCTGCAGTCTGGAATCAAACATGTCAAATCCTGGCCCAGTCCACACGGGGATTGGGTTTTCAAGCCCTACCTGATTCCGTGGATTTTACTCAGAATATTCCTATGGGGTTTTCCCGGGTTTCCTCCCACGTCTAAAACTGTATTAAAATGCTTCTCACATGTCTCACTGACCATGCTGACTGTCTCCTCTCTTACAGAGTTTCTTAAGGCTTGCGAGCAACAATGTACATGTAGGCCTACACTCTACGGTGCCTAAGGCGCTTTTGAGGTGTCCTTGGTGTCATGATGCCGACTTAAAATAATTAATAATGATTTACTTATTTTTTTCGCTAGCACTGACGTTTAACTTCGAAACAACTTCACTCAATAGGCGCTCTCGGTCAGTGGTGTCGGAAATACAAGCTCACCTTGGTTTTGATTTGCGTATAAAAATACAACGATTAGCATGTACTATGGCGAAATTTTTAATAAATTTTCTTCCCGTAAACAAGCCCCAAATTTATTTCTAAACTCCAGTCAATATACACTATACATTTTATTTCAAGAAAAGTGTTTTTATAGGGCGAAAAACGATGGAATTTTTATACAAACCAGAAGTGGAATTTCGCGCTCGTGCACTGCCATCCTCTCACAAAACATCAGTAGAGCTCGAGGGGGCGCACTTTCACATTTGTGTTGGGGCATTTACTTTTATCTAGCTGGCTGGCCAATGCCCATAAACCAGTCTACAACTTGGAGTCTCATCATTTTTTTTGGTCCCTTATCAAGGCTTATAATGAAACCTTAAATTTGTGGACCTATTTTGCATGGAGGCAGCTGCAGGCGGCTAAACTTGGAAGTGGGATAAACCAGTTACAGACACTAGACGGGGAAGTACGAAACATATTTAGGTGAAGTGTTTAAAACTTTGAACTGGTGAAAAAGAAAATTGTCCTTGCGGTCATAATCTTGAACTTCCTATGAAGTACGCATTGGTACTCTGTTAATAGCACCACGCCAGAGGAAAGTACTTTACTCGAAATTTTCCCCTTTTTATCGGGCATATTTTTAGTTCGAAGGCTACGGGAATTCCAATACGAACTCAGCTTTATTTGCTCAATAACATAGAAAGTAACATATTGCTATCCGCACATAACAGGGACAAATATTATGCTTTCTCTTTTTATTTGGGCTGTGCAAGTCTTAAAGTGTTCACTGATTTTTGTTGAGTTGAGTCAACTGGTGATGAGAAAAATGAAGACAAATTGTAAAGATTTTTTCCTACTTCCCAACAACCAACATATATTCAAAAGCACTCAAAATGGGAGACCCCCCATCCAGCGGGCCAGTTTGAACCGACCACGCCAATCCAGAGTTCCTGGAGAAAATTGCAGTATAGGGAAAATTCCCAGGACAGGGCATGCCAAACTCGCCGGCCCACTCTCTAAATTCCAAAGACTGAAGATTCACTCTGTTCGAGTGAAAATTCAATCTCTCCAATTAAAATTAAGGACCACACGACTTAGAGTGAAATATAGTAAAATATCACTCGAGCTTCCGCTGGAAGGGGCTATTTTCAGCCCCTTTTCAGTCTAAATTCAGAGTGATTTTCACTCTAAAACGTCCCTGATTTCATCCTTTCCGATTTAGAGAGCAGTCTCCCAGTTGTGTGTTAGTTTTCTCTTGGCACCTTAAACTCAAGCAACGGTCCGAAGTCCCATCAAAAGTGGGGGAGTGTTGGCAGAAATTAAATGTCGAGGTGACATTGGTAGGACAGAAACAAAGTCAGTAGAAAACAATTCCGAGAGAAAATTGTGTTTTCAAGTACGGAGATTTTTGGTTGCGGGCTGAAATGGTTACAATAGAAGGGTAGAATGTATTAATAGGGCTATCGGTTTCTATTTCTGTTTTACTTTTCTTCAATAGCCCTCGAAAGTTCTTAGCTTTTGAACAACATATTTGGATGAATTTTTCAAAATTGTGATTGGACTCAAGACTACTTTTAGAGAGTGGTCATCTTAAGATGGAAATATCTTCCAAAGACATCAGTTGACCAACCTTAAATTGAAAATGAGGGAAAACGTGACATGAATATCAGTAATGTCTTTTTTTCTCATGTTTTATCTTTCTTTTCAACCTTTAGTTGGTCAAAATGGTTGGTTGCAATGCCTTGGACAAATTACTCTGCAGGTAATGCGTCATACGAGGAACGCGCGCGTTTAATCTGTGACGTTACAATGAAACAATAGGCAAGCGTTGCCCAACCAATGTTGCCGGGTGATTTGGCCCTGTCCAAACATAAACACCGTCAGAAACCGTTTTGTGCTCATCGAGTTCGGAACAGCCTTATTCTTACGCTCGTTTTTGCCAGTTATTTGAAGCTTGATTCAATCGCCTTCAAATCGAAATGTTTGACAGCGATCCTAAAGAGTTCTCTAGATGTGCTAGAGCCGCCACCGCCCGACTGATGTACGTATGGCTCTGTCTACTGCCTCAGAAGTACAATTGTTTTCGTGTAGTGATTGTATAGCTCTAATGGATCAGGGATAGCTGTATTGGGTAGTTCAAAGAATGATCATGATTGTAATATCAATGAAGTCTCTGAGAATCTGCACTTATTCGGATGTGAAATTTCAACCATCCACTATATATTGAAAATTAATCGCTCGACTCACTACCATAATAATTATTACAAGAACAATGCATTTATAACAGGAGTGCATGTAATTTGTAAATCTAGGACTAAACCGTAATAGGACCGATTTATTTACGCTTAAGACCCCAAGAGAGGTTCTAATGCTGTCACAGAATGTTGATTACGGAAACAGATTGGTCCAACCGAAAGACCCTGGAGAGACATCAGTCGGCGACCCAGCACCATATAGTGCTGGTAACGATGGCGAACACAGCGCAGTGCCTGGCCCATCGGCCCCGGCGAACCCCGCCGATGTTCCGTCCAACACCAGCAGGTACGTGCGTGGCATTAAATTTACAGTCGCACACAGATAAGAAGAGCACTGTTAGTACAACGTCACATTTATAACAAGGACACTTTTAGGTTCTATCTGTGTTTTTCTCTGTTTTCCATTACTGATAGTTATAACAAGGTAACATCAAGCAGTCGCAAGGACTTTGTTTTTAACATTTTAACAGCGTTCAATCAACACTAATTAGTGTTGATTAGAGTCAACTTTTCTGAATCTTTGTCCCAAAATATCAAAAAGCTCTGAAATGTTTTTGATTTGCATCATCTGTTTGAAACGAGAATCAGAAATAAAACTCTTGAAGGAGGCTTTAGAGATTTTAATAGTGAGAGGGTATTTTAAGGGGGGGGGAACGGTTACGTTGTCCCTGTCACCAACCAAACCAAGATAACAATAATAAAACGTAGGCTTCATCGTAGGCCCTCTTTATCGTAATACAGGTGTGGAACTAAGTTCAGAATATTTTACTAAATAAAAATGGTTGAACTGTGTCCAACACCCCTAAAAACCAAAATATCGGCGAGAAAGTTTACTATGGATGCAGCCTTTCTTCAAATTTACCTTTCACCGTAATACAGGGCTGGAACTGCCGCTGGTCCGTCCGGACGGTTTGGCGCCCTGAGCCAGATGTTCCGACGCAGCCGGGTTGCTCCCCTTCGGACCAGGTCCCCTGACCCCCCTGCACCCACACCGTCCCAGAGAACGGGAGCTGGTCGAGGGAATAGGAAGAGGTGGTTCGCTTGTCCGTGGACCTCTCAATCCAACAACGCATCCAGGACTGCCGAGTCCAACAGGTGAATTAGATTTTATGCATATTTCCAGAGGCATAGTATATTATGTGGCAGTTTCCACATGACAGATATAATTATTCATAATATAGTTCGAAAAAATCGCAATGCAAATTCAGTTTTTTAACTCTGCAGATCTCAGAAGATCTTTCTCAGCAAACATCAACCAGGGGCTGCCATGAGCTAGGACGCACTATACATGTAATATTTTCTGTGCCTGTAGTAAATATCTTTGGTATTTGGGTTCTGTGAATTATGGAATTATCAAATTATCCAAAATCATCAAAAGCATCTTTGAATAATCTCCCTAGAGCACCAAGGAGGAGGCCTTGTGTATTAAGATCCAACCGGGTTGGTCCCATTGACGATCAAGCTGCCATGCCTTCAAGGGGACTGGGCATGCACAGGGCTGCAGCTGGGGCCAACTTAGACCAAAGTTTGCAGGACATCCTGCCTGAAAAGTGAGTTCATCACAAGTGGCTATAATATGGACATTTCATATCAAAGTTTCTGGCTCGTACACGCAGTATCACCGCTGAAGCAGGTAATCTGTGCTTGTATGATGAATTTTCCAGTGCACACACTGTCGCGGATTTTAAGAGAATTCTGCACAAGTTGGATTTTTCGTGACACTTACGTAACTAAGCAATTAACTGATAAAGCAAGGCAAGGAAATGCTGATGCAACCGCAGACTTCAAGACGGCTCAGCTGTAAAAACCTACCATTCACGTCCGTTGTAGCGTGACGAGGGAGCTGATGATAACACTGTCTACCCGATTGTTGTTACTCGTCACTAGGTCCCCACCGAAGCTACTAGGCCGCCTGGCGAGCCTTTTCAGCTGCTGCACCGGTAAGAGAGGCGGCCCAACGCTGGGAAGGTCTCCTGCCTCCAATCCGTCTCGTCAGGAGACCCGAGATCAAGAGGAGCCGGTAGGCCAGACCACCGAGGTAACGAGTCGGTCACCTTCCAGACAGCGCACGCAAGGGAGCGAGAAAGTAGGATGCTGTCCCCATGCCAGGCCGGCGACTGTCGCGCCTGCCAAGTCGCCTGTGTTCTGGGTCGGAAGTCGAGATGATAGCGCCCAGAGTAACCTTAGCGAGGGGGACGACATGGGACAAGCACAGCCTACAGCAAGAGCGAACACCTTACGACACCAGAATCATCAGGTAAGCGATTATGAAGACCTTACAAACTTCCTGTTTCTCCCTTGGAAAGAATACTACATCCTACCTCCACTTTCATATATCTCAATAAAAGTCTGTCAATGCAGAAATGCTGAAAAGACAAAATTAAATCTTGGACTCGGAAAAAATTCCAATTTTTGTTACGAAATACTTAGAGAAATTCTTGACTTCCCAAAGACTTCGCACACATCTTTTTTTTTCTCGCAATGCTAAAACCCTGGTGGTAACCTCGCGCGGATAAAAGTCGCCACATATCACCAAATATGGTAATAACTTTTTTCCAATGGACTGATTTGGCAAAGATTTCATGCAGTCCTTACCTCAGGCATACACCACAAGCCCGTAGATTCCAATTGGCCAGACCTAAACCACTGTAGAGTAAGAATTTTTGAAAGATCAGTATCCCAAAGACACCCATATGACCGGGAATGACCTGGTAGTAAAAAAACATCCACCTCGCAGCTCGGAGGTGGGCGTGGCTACAAATGTACTTCCGCAGCAGCATAATGACGTGTTGTTAGAGAGGGGACCCGAGGGATTTATTGGCTACCAGAGAACAGTCATACAGGTTCAGGCATGACCGTGGACTCCAGGAACTGATGTGGTAATGATTTTCACCGCGTGGAAAAAAGGTCCCCCTTTTTGGCGTTGCGGCTCCGAGGGTGTTTAAAAGGAGATCAAAGGAACGGGTTCACTGATCACTGTAATAAAAAGAAAAAAAAACAAAAAACGAAATAGCCGAGTTGAAAGTACAGTTTCTCACTTCTTGTACCTTCAGTTTTATGTAATTTTAATCTCCATAATGCTTTTATAAGGTGTTTGTTATACTTGAAATAACTTGAATTTTTTTCATTGTATTGCCCATTGCAATTCGGCCCGTGGGCCTTGACTGAAAAGGTTTGACTAATATGATGTGTCAATTACTTTATAGTTAGGATTCAGAGGAAAGTATAATTCAAACCTTATGGGTCCAGAGGGAAACTCCTTAAATTATTCAGATGTCTTCTTTAGTGAAAATTCTACAGGAAGACGGTAAATTTCTAACCTCAGTGTTTAATCGTGTTCCCGTGAATGCTGTTTGCTAGAAATGACTTAGAAACATACAGTTTTGTGAGTAGAATCTTCAGAAAATGTCACAATATTTTGCTTGAGTTAGTGAGAAGGTCGCGCGTAAATATTTGCCTTCACAGACATCACTTGACGACCTGTGCGCAAACCCTGTGAGACTGGTTTTAAAAAATCCGAAGTATTTTCTAAGTGTATATTTCAATATTTTCCTGCGAAATTTGACTTTATAGGTCATGTCATATACATGTCATGTAAATGGACCTTCTCTTTTAATTTTAATCTTTACCCAGAATCTGAAAACTGTGGCCCACAAGCAAACCATTGCAACTGCCGAAGACATACGCAAGGCAACTTTGGAACTGCTGTAAGTATCCGCGTCATCCAACTGAAGTCGAAGTTTGTACCCTGTAGCAGCTTAGATTTTGCAAAACCTCGAGTAGAAACTCCTGACTGCTGATAAATCAGAACACTGAAAATGACTGGCTACTGACGTAATGATTTAACACACCTCTGTATGAATAATGCATTCTTAAGCTACATCTGCTCCCCGTTCTTATTTGCATAGTCTCACACAGGTCTTCCTTCACAAATTGGTCCTCAGATGCCATGAGTGCTCAGCTGTATTTTCCCTCTTCCTTCCATTGCCCAGGAGTGGGTCACAAAGCAAGCCACTCAGTAATGAGCCTCCAGAGCAAATCGAGGACGATGGTGATGAATACGCTGGAGCCCCTTCCATCGTCGAGAAGGACCTGCGTTCTGTCAATAAGGAGCGACGTGGCCCACTGATTCTCGGCCGGGGACAGAGCGGAGTGGTCCGCCTAATGCGGTACCGGAAGCCAGCGGGAGGCTCGTCACTGGTCGCAGTGAAGCGGTTCGTGGGGAGTTCCGCCCACTCTCACAAAGCCATGGCCAGGGAGATCAGGGCCCTGCGGGCGGTGGAGCACTGCCCCATCTTCCCGAAGCTGGTCGGGATCATCTCGGATCAGTCTTTTGCACAGGAGTTCATCGGGGATCCTAAGTCCCTGCAGACGCTGAGCATATTCCAGGTGATCCGTCAACGGAAGCCGTCAATCTCGGTCGGAAACTGGGCCTGGATCTTGTGTGACGTCATCATGGGGCTGTCTGCTCTCCACCGATCAGGCTGGGCCCATTGTGACGTGCAGAGCAACAACGTGCTGCTATGGCGAAACTGGAGTAACTCCGGCGAGTCCAAGGAGAGGTGGCACGGCCGGATCATTGACTTGGGGAACGCCAAGAGGTTGACGGGGCCCACCTCCCACTGCCTCACGCTGACGCCCACCGAGAAGGCCGATTACTACCGCCACTGCAGGCATATCGCACCCGAGGTGGTGGAGGGGCTGGCTCCTTACGGTGTCAGGTCGGACGTCTTCGGCCTCGGGGTCCTGATGTCAGACATCGCCCACAGAATCCCCGCTATGTCCGGACTCATACCGCTCGCCAATGCGTGTTTAGTGGCCGGGCCCGAGCAGAGACCAGTGCTGGATTCCCTTGTGATAGAATTGGACGTCTGGTGCATAGACCACACTGGACAAGGGTTCTCCCCGGCGGAACAGAATTACGTGTAATTCAAGTTTCAGTCCTGCGCTTTGTCTTTGTCCTGGGCTACAGCTTTCAGTATCATCAAGACCCTCCCGTAAAATGCAGCATCATCTGTAAAAGGTGTCTCATACTGTGCCAACTGGATTTTCTTTTGGTTCGAACATAATAAGCAGGCATTGGAAGATAATTCTGTAGCCAAAGACTAAGACGAAGCACGATTAGGAAAACTACCCAAGTCCAGTGGCCTTGTAGCATAAAATTTGGATTTGTAGACTTGTACTCTTTCTAGGCTACCCTGTAATTCAAAAATATCTAGGCTAAGTTTTTTGATCACACGTGTCTGTAAGTTATGAACTTGCCCATATTTTAAGCCATATTTCATTCTCTGTTCCTTAATGTATTCCTTTCAATTCCGATTTTAAAACTCCACGTCCAAACCATTTTATACCCTCCGTTAGTTTGTGTTAAAACCCTACAGTTTGCAAGTAATCGCAAACTTTGGGCCACTGGTCTAAGTTTGCAGGCTCTATGTAAAGAAGAGATGTCATATTGTAGGTTTACTTAAGTAGTGAAAATGCATCCAATTGCTTGCTTTCCCGACTTTCGGTGCACATTTAGATGTGTGAGGTACATGTACCACGCGGCATCATAGCCTGCACTGTACATGTACATCGTCCAGATCTTTGGTTGAAATATATATTTTTTTTACACAATTGGGAGGTGGAGGGTTGGCTGATTCTGATAAGCCAAAGGGCGTGAACCATGACCTTGTATTGATTTGGTTGTCAATTGCGGGACTCAACTTAGTTTCCATCGCCATTTTATTTTTTAGTTTCCTTTTAAAAATATTTTTTAACGATGAGCGATAATTTAAATGTTTTACAATTTCGTTTTTAAACTAGCAAAAAGGGATGATATAAAAGGTTTCACCCCCAAACTTTGCATGCAGACACAAAACGACGATAATGTTGAAATGAATTTGCCAAAGTGCCTTGAGCTATATTTTCCATCATGTACTGAAATAGCAGACAAGATTCGCTTTTTCCCCAGTTGTGGCGTCTTTTATATGCAAAATCTATCTCAGGTTTTAAATGACTATTTTCGCGAACACACTTTTTCCAAGCGATGTGATTTTTTCGTGTGTTGTCAACAAGTCGTACTTAAAATGATGCCTCTGTGATTATGCTTAGAATTTGCTGTCACTTACCGAGGTCTAAACCAATGTTGATTCAACCCTAAGACACTTTTGGAATTTAGAACAACTCCAAGTAATCGTACATACTGCGTGGTTCGGGTCCAATTTAGGGGAAAATTACAGGTGCTTTTTCAAGCCAAGAGCAACTCAAAGGAAAATATGTTTTCTCTGATTTTATCTGTTCAAATAAATAATTATGGAAGCATCTGAATCGGACACCGTGTAATTTGTCTTCAGAGCTCAACTATGACAAGCTAAAAGGGCATTTTTCTGTTCTGAACATGCTGAATGTAGATTTCCTCATTCAGAGAAAACGAAGGGACCCCTCTCCCTGTGTTCGTAGTGGATAAACCCTTGCGCATGCCGGCGCGTACAGGGGTTTATCCACTACGAACACAGGACGAGGATTCCCCTCGTTTTGTCTGTTTTCTGAGAATGGCGCAATCTACATTCAGCATGTTCAGAATTTGCATCTTGGTATGAACAGAAAAAAAGCCCTTTTAGCTTGTTATAGTTGAGCTCTGACGACAAATGACACTGCGTTCGATTTGGATGCTTCCAAAATTTATTTTAACAGATAGAATCAGAGAAAACATATTTTCCGTTGAGTTGCTCTTGAAGAACAAACAAAAAACTTCTTTTAGGCACCTGGACTGTTTTTAATGTGTTTTATTGCCACACTAAATTATGCTTGGAATAATTATTTGTTATTTTGAATGTACACAATGAATGCCGATTTTTATGTTGAATTTAAAACCAACTATCGTCTTAGGACTACAATAATACGACACGAGATGTAAACCTTATAGTTTTAAGTACAGGTACATCCGGACCCAGCCTGACACTTTCTTTAGATTGAAATGCAACACGTTTTCTAAGTCACGACTTTGTCGACAGCTTTTAATCAACTGAGTCCACACTTTGGCATCAACTTAGGCCAGAGTCTCGTTGGTCTGCAGTCTGAAAAAAATCTAAACCTGGAAACAAGACCTTAAGCTAGTCACAGAGCCTAGCACAGCTTTGTCCGGAAAAAAAATTATCAGTGCTCTTACAAATAGGCCTACTTGTCTTTTTTTACTTTATTAAAGCGGACAAACTTAACAATCGATGATCGATAGATGCAGTTCTAGGTAAATGATTTTCGTTATTTCGCTATTCCATTTTTTAAATGTTAGCAGCTAAGACAATGAATAAAATGCAGTCAAACAGGCCACTATGTTGGCTATGTATTTATCAAAGAACATCTGAATGCGAATGAGTTTTTTCATATAATGGAGAACAAACACTTTCAACCTTCACCTCTGTGGACCACAAATGACGTAGATGATCAAGAAATCCGAACTGGCTCCCTCATCCATGTATGTACACAAATTTGTATACCGGTATCATTTCTACAGGGGATTTCTTTCTGAGGAAAAAAATCAACTCATCAAGTTAAGTACATGTATCAAATTCATCAGTTTTCATGAAGAAGTCCCGCATCGAGATCACATTGGGACTCAGGACCATGTGCCAAGAATGTCTCAGAAATCACGTGATTTGATCGTTCTACTGACTGCCATCTATGACCTGATCGAATTCCCGTTACTTTTCCTAACCCCCCACCTAATTATTGAGAGGGGTGTCAATCTTGGTATTGCCCTGGCAGTGACTGAAGGGGGGGGGTTTCCATATCAGTTCCCATATGTTTGTGCACAAAACACTGCTATATTATGATAATGCTTACAATACCGACTCCCCTCTAAAATACTCCTTCCCCCCGTTGGAAAATGCATCAGGCCAAAGGCTGGGATGCTTGCCAATGTTTCTGGAGGCTTGTGGTTGGCGCCAGCACTGTAAACAGAACGGTTGACCTGGAGTCCTGGATAAGCCCTTGTGGTTGACAGGGCCGAGCCTGGGTCTGGAGAGGCTGGCCACGTGGAATTATTACACTGTATAGGCCGTGCTGTTGAGCTATAAAGGCCCAGGATGAGTAAGTCACAGTGATTCAAGCATGTATAGCGGGTATTTCCCGTGTATTTTTAGTATCGCCGATGTATTTCCGTATTGTTGAATTCAGCGCCCCCACTGCAGACCGCGCCCCCCAAAGGACATTTCCCCCACAAAACACTGAGAAGTCTTTCTAGGAAGGCCTCCGTCTGATTTATTGAGAAAGAAACAGAACAACATCGAATAAGGATCGTTTAACAAATCTGAGACAATTTTGGCACAACGTTCTGCATTAGTGTCAACAATTGACGTAGGTGCCTCCTCGGGATCACCCCACTGCAGACCACGCCCCCAAAAAGGACACTTTCCCCACAAAACATACTGAGAAGGCTTTCTAGGAAGGTTTCCATCTGCTTTATGCTGAAAAAAACTGAAAAAGACATTGAACAGTGGTCGCGTTATCCACAAAATTAATCTGAGACAATTTCAACACACGGTGCTGCATCGGCCGTTATATTGAACAAGGTGCCTCGTCCCAGGGTAGAAAAACGTGCACAAAACCTATGGAGAAAACTTGCAGCTTTAAAGTCTTGTCACGTGATTTGCGTTAATATTGGGGAAAAAATCTGAAATATTATTTGATATTGAGACTCTTGGGTATACATGTAATCGAACGAAGATTGATCATCACAAATAGCCGTGTAAAAATGGCTCTCGCGACATATTTCTTTGCCTTTAACGACGTAGGGTTTGCCTAGACGAGGCTTTTGAAATGGAACTTTAAAACTGCCAGCTCACAATATTCCGACCTTTCCACTGCATTAATTTAAAACATTCCTCACTTCACTAACAATTATGACTCCTGAGACGTGGAACATGATGTTTTGAAAACCCAATCCTCGTCACTTTCTGCATCACTGGGGCAATCCTCATCATCCTAAAAGTCCCCATCTTCTCCATCATCTTCATCATCATCGACGTCGTGATTCGTCCTCTCTTTACCTCACTCGTTGGGAGTACAGCACTCCTGTTTTAGCTAAATAAAATAATACTCGATGTCTGGTCCGACCAAAGTTCCAGAATTGATTCAGCGATGCAGTTTTTTCCTGGTGGGGGTGGGGTGGCTTTTTAAGACTGGCAACGGACACGGAAATGAGTGGCATATTTGATGAAAGAGCAAAGGCTAGTAGTAGCACGTCGCACCGCTATTGTTGATGATCAGCTGGCTGCAACTTTGTACCTTACCCACGTGTTCGACATCAACATTACGCAGTCATAACGGATCCATCACTGCGTACCAGCTACCCACGAATTAATCTGGTTCCTTGAATAAGTTGCCCTTCGGACTTGGGGGTGCACCACTACAAATAAATTCCCATAGACTGCAATGATAAATCCCCACACTTTGCAATAATTTTAAAAATACAACTCTCACAGTTGTCCAGGCTGCACAGAAATACGATGATCGACATGTCCCCTTTCATTTTCCTTTCAATTTTCGGGGGTTGACCAATGAATTTTCGCGAAATTTTCACCA